TGCTGTGTGTGTGTGTGTGTCTGTATGTGTGTGTGTGTCTGTGTGTGTGTGTGTGTGTGTCTGTGTGTGTGTGTGTGTCTGTGTGTGTGTGTGTCTGTATGTGTGTGTGTGTCTCTGTGTGTGTGTGTGTGTGTGTGTGTGTCTGTGTGTGTGTGTCTGTGTGTGTGTGTGTGTGTAACGGACCAAACATAATATTTCACCCGGCTGAAACGCGTTATCGGTACTATACAGCATTCTCTATTGCAAGGTATCTCGCATGTAGCTAACAAAGACCGTATGAGCACAAACAAGTTTAGCTGCCTCCATTCACCGACCTCAAAAGTCACATCAACGCCTCTCGCGCTAAATTTCATCCCGAAAGCTGCCGCGTATGTCATAATGGAATTCTGAGATGACGGCGTATGATAACTCGGACACCCAGCTTGTGATACCATTTGCCGGCATGAGCAATCCGACTTGCCACCAGCAGGCCAACAAATTTGCTTTCATTTCTATATGAAATACACAAGCTGCTTGTTTGTACATTTTCTTTGGCCAATGCATGGGGCCTCCGAAGACTTGCGGTGTGCCGCGATGAAGCTCGCGGCTGTGGGGCGGATTGCTGAGGCCGCTGGCGCTTCGGGGATAAACATCACAGACAGCACCGAGCTTCACTCAGCTTGCGTTACCAATTTGCCCGCACGGGCATTCCGACTTGCGGTCTGCGCACTGTCCATGCGGCATGCACCCGGGATGGATGCGATTCGCGTGGAGCCCGCAGGCGGTGCTGACGATTCCGCCGGTGCAAGCTTAGCTCCCACACCATCAGTACTGCTGCAGCAAAGCACATCTCCCACCGCAGTGACACTACCCATCAATTGTCACACGTACCGTGCTAGCTACCGGCCTGTACGGATGCAGGGGGGGCCCGAGGAAACCGACACCCGACTTGTCGCGGTGAGGTCGCCAGAAAAGGCCGAAGACTGTATTACCAGCCTATGTGAGCTTTTGTTTTACACATATGCCTTTCGACCTCCATAATAGCATATGGGTCTTGCTTGCGGTAAAGGCGTCGGAATATGACAATTGACAAGGACGTATCGTATCTATAAACAGAAGTTTATCAATATACCAAGCCATTCCTTATCCACAAGGTCCCTGGCATATTGTGTATAGCGGAAGGGGTGCCCGAATTAAAGTACCGAATTAAAGGTAAGCCCCAGAGCGGCCAGAGAATCCGAGGCGGCTCATTGTGAGTTTAAACTCTCCGATACGGTTTACCGCAATGTGTACACCGCACTGTGCCTGCTACTAGGGACATGGCCTCCTTGCCCCTTGTGATGCCGTTAAGGAGCAGTTAAACCCAAATCCAGGCCAGGACGGACGTCCCCAAAGCAAAAGATTTCGAGCAGCAAAGAGGACAACTCCAAAGCGTGCAAATGAGCAAGACATGCATTACACTTGCTGAAGCCCGTTCCCGCAGGACCTGTGTCCAAGATCGCGGCTACGGGTTTCAGCTATATACATTTCGCATGGCAATTGCCATGAGCAAAAAATGCATGAAACTTTCAAGGACTGGTACCAGAGGGCCTGGCCCAACTCTGCAATAAGGTCTCGGAGCACGACTGGCAACGTTGTACGACTCTCTTCGTCAGCATAACTGAACCAATGCATTCGCATGTATAACGACCGAGTGGCCACCTTAAATTGCAGTATTATTAGATAGACAATCCAGTGCATCTTATTCCATTTTGTTTGACTACTCCTCGACCAAACGTTCCCACAATGGACACCACTGCCTTTGCACAAGTCCGCCTGTCGGTTCTGGCTAAGCACATTTGCCCGGTGGGTTATAAATTAGAGGAGCCACAAAAGCCAAACAGGCTGGACGACGTCTGTTGCCACGTTGGCAAGCCGAAACTTCAGGTTTACAAAACTGCTGTGCCTTTGAAATGCCACGTTGCAGGTTCCGAACGGTGTGCAAGGCCTGTCCCTGCAGGTATTGTTTTCGATATGAGCGTAACTCGCTTTACTGATGTTCGCCTCAATTCGATGTACTGACCAAAATTGTGGCCCCATATGCAGGGATGTTCGGCGGGAGATTCAGCTGCCTATGAGCGCCACAACACCGCCGATGACGATGTCGTCATTGTTGCGGCGCTTCGCACCCCGTTGACGAAGGTGCGCAAACACCCTTGTTAAGGACTTGGAACAGAGACCCTGCCCGCATACAGTCACCGCCTTTTGCCCTCTAACCCTCATCTTACACATAAACCTCCTGTGTAACGGAGTTTCCTAAAGGACCGGGACAAGGCAATGTTGTTTCCTGCTGTTCCTACGTCTACCTATGTCTTGCATACCTATGCCTTTCAACGCCACGCTAATAGGTGATTGCTGATCGCTCGCTGTGCAGGCTCGGCGCGGCGGTCTCAAGGACACGGATGCCGTGGATCTGCTTGCGACAGTGTTTAAGGCGGTTTTGGACCGGACCGGCGTCGAGCCCCAGGTATACCACATCCCTGAATATGGCCCTTCTATCTGTAACTGTGATTGACCGTTGTGCACAGGACTGCGCGTGGACACATCTTCTCACTGCTGCAATCTGTTGAACGGTCTCTACATAGCAGTAGATATAGTGCAATAAGAGAGGCAAGAGTTACTTGTCATCCTGGACACGCCGTGTGCTCTTGTTTCCACTACAGGCCATTGGTGACATCGTCATCGGCTCTGTTCTGGGTCCTTCATCTCAGCGTGCAAACGAGTGCCGCATCGCGTCTTTTTTTGCTGGTATCCCGGAAACCGTGCCGGTGCGCACTGTGAACAGGTAAGCCGCCATGGTCCATCGGTCTACACGTCCTTCGGTCCAATTTGGTCCAACCCCAATGCGGGAATACGCGTTGCGATTTTCGTGCGAGACTAAATGTTTTGCGAGGGAGAGACCGAATGTCACCCTTCGGTGCCTGGCGCAAGACCCAATTTTACATCTCCTGTCGTCTTGTGGTCTGCTTGAATCTGCAGGCAATGCTCCTCGGGTCTGCAGGCCATCGCGGATGTCGCAGCTGCCATCCGCGCCGGCTTCTACACGGTATGCATATCTTCGTTCTGTGTTGGTGCGGCCAACATTCTTGCATCAGCCTGCCTGGCGTGGCCTAGTTTGCGCACGACACCGATCTTCCGTCCGAAGCAGGAGCACCTGTGTGTCGCATCCATGTTGCTTAGCATAAATGTTTCCAAAACAATTTGGCCGTACTTCACCTGCGTACCGTCGCTTTGCTGCAGGTTGGTCTTGCGGGCGGTGTGGAGACCATGTCACTCAACCCGATGGCGTGGGAGGGCGGCATCAACCCTCGCATTGAGAACTTCCCAGGTGCTCAGGGCTGCATGATGCCGATGGGCGTGACTTCGGAAAATGTGGCGGCCAAGTTTGGCATTGATCGCAAGAGCCAGGTGGGTCCTCGCACATGTTGAAGCCCTCGGATTCACACCACGTGGTGTGCTAGAACCCATTCCCGTGATTCACCCAAGTTACCCGGGGAACATCCTCCGGCCTCGCAGATGACCATGAGCAACGCTCGCATCTCTAGTTTCGTAACAAAATTTATCAGACCAGGCTACAAGAGTTCTTGATTTTTAGTTAATTTATGCTGAGAGAATTTAAGCAATCTGTTCGCATAATCGATTACCTTATTTAGAATCGAATACTTATTCCAAGTAAAAAGTTACTCCCGTCCGCCTTGCGGATGCAGGATGAATTTGCAGTGCGCTCTCATCGCAAGGCCGCCGCTGCCAAGGCTGCCGGCAAGTTCAAGGATGAGATTGTCCCCGTATCCACCAAGGTCAAGGACCCGAAGATGGGAGCGGAGACGCCGGTGGTTGTGTCGGAGGATGACGGTGTGCGCGGCAGTACCACCGTGGAGTCGCTGAGCGGGCTCAAGCCTGCATTTAGGAAGAACGGCACCACCACGGCAGGCAACTCGTCTCAGGTAGGGGCTGCATTTCCAGACGTCGTGTTTCCTTATCCCATCCCCCAAAGTGCGCCTTAGCCCAAACCCCGTAAGGGAACTAACTGCTTAGTACAGCTTAGTACAGCTTAGTACAGCTTGGAATGGGTTTTGGAATATCCGCATTGAGTTATCCGTGTCGAAACATTACGTAGTAACGTGGTAGCGCCTCCTGCCCACATCTGAATGCATCAGGTGACGGATGGCGCCGCCGCCGTGCTGATGATGACCCGCGCGGAGGCTCATCGCCGAGGACTGCCGATTCTGGGTATTTTCCGCTCCTTTGCGGCCGTTGGGGTGGACCCGTCTATTATGGGCATTGGCCCCGCTGTGGCCATTCCCGAGGCTGTGGCACGCGCTGGCCTCTCGCTGGACGACATTGACGTGTACGAGATCAACGAGGCGTTCGCGTCGCAGGTGAGCGTCTGCACCCACTGTGAAACTGTCCATAAACAGTACATGTGAAACGGAGTGTAAAAGCAGAGCGAAGATTTAGTTGCCCATGGGCACTTACGACCGCTACTTGCTGTCGTTAGCTCTGCGTTTACTACACGGTAATGTGCATATGGCAATTTCTATATACACGGATGTTAAAGTTGTCTGTGTAACATCAATGATTACGTAATTTTTGTGCAGGCGTCCTACTGCGTTGCGAAGCTAGGTATCGACGAGAACAAGGTGAACCCCAACGGTGGCGCCATTGCTATGGGTCACCCGCTGGGCGCCACGGGTGCGCGCTGTACGGCTACACTGCTGCACGAGCTGCGCCGTCGTGGTCGTGGGTCGCGTTTTGGCGTCGTATCGATGTGCATCGGCAGCGGCATGGGTGCTGCAGCGGTGTTCGAGACGGGAGGCGAGGTCGACAAGTTTATGACGGCGCGGGCCGTTAAGGGCCAGGTCCTCCTTTCGAAGGACGCGGTGGTGTAAAGGGCTGACTGTCGCTTGGGTGCATGTTTAATGCTGTTACCTAGCGTGCAGGATATGCTTAATCATGACACGGGAAGTTCGTTTGTCATACAACCCGTGGCCACATTGCGTAGAAAAGTATTGTTTAAATGCAGGCTTGAGTGGGTGACTAGGAATTATTTGTCGTGTTCCAGGTACTGTCTGGTTTCTGTGCCTTCGTAACTTACCGTTTTGACTTGGCAGCATCAAGCATGGCCCCCGTCCTGTCCCATGGGGCGGCATATGGGATGGGTGGAAAGCGGAAAGGTGTTCACGTAGAGCATGATATGGGTTCATGCTCGCCGATTGTGTAGGTTTGTTTATTGGGCTGGAAGAACAGTAGATATGACCTGACCCATGGGTCAGTGCATGCCTGAGTGGGCACTGTGCACCCTGGTGCGCCGATGTTCATTTACATGTAATTTCCTTTTTCTGGTTGTTTGCCTTCCTATTCCCTGTGGTTTACCCTTGTATCCATCGAAAAGCAACTTTCCCCTGCCAATCTCCGTCAACGGACGGGAGGGGACGACAAAGTTTATATTCTATAAAACAGGATCTAATTATTAATTAAGTACATGACAACAGTTTTCTAACCCAGGCTGAATGGTAGCTGGAGGGGATGGCCCTGGTAGTCATCCTACACATTATCCTAATCGCCAATTGTTGCGGTGTATTAATCTTCATCCAACACCACTGTACTACTCCTAATCCTGGATTTGGGGTATTTATCCTAATCCTGACCAGTGGGGGCCCAATCTGGATCCTGTGGCCGGACCGGGCCCCAATCCCTAATCTTTGCAGCCCTCAGTTAATGCCTGATGTGTCACTTAAAAGCGTGGTGTCCGGTGGCGTGGTATGTTTGTTGCGTTCTCCAGTGTCAGCATATTGTCAGCGTGCTGCTTTTGGGCCATTTTGGCCGAATCTCCTTTGGCCCTGACAGCGTGGCTGTACCTGATTGGTAGCAGTCTTGTAACCGGCCCTGACAGATAGGGGGATGATGCTTCATGGCCTTATACCGTGGACTAGGAGCTGATGTACTATTTTGTATTGCGCCACCTCTGCCTTCGTTCCTTTGTTCTTCGTTCTCTGCTTTCGTTCCAAACGTGTAACGATTGGTGGTTTATATTATGGGTTCGACCATTTCGAAGTGTCCCTGGGAACTGTTCCTCAGCTGTATACCAGGAAAGGACAAGCCTGAACATCTGCCATTGCAAAATCAGCGTAGGCCACATGACTCTAGCAGCAGGCAGACACCCTCGGCCTCTGATTGAACTTTAGCCTTTTTGCTGCATCGAATGTGCGATATGAAATGGTGTTTACAGGCGGGTTATAAGGCATATAGATGTAATGACGCTGGCCCTGTCCTCGTCCCGTGGCTGTTGCCAAGAAGAGAAACTCAGGGAAGTCTGTGCGGAGGGAGGGGGAAGGAAGGAAAAACGTATGGCGCGTGGTGTATCAAGGTCATGTCCTAGCGTGCTATGTGTATGGCTGGACCCTGTAGTTCTGCTTGGTAATTTGCAGTAACGACGAAGTTGTGAGGCATGCCGCAGAGGATTCTGTCACCCGCAAAGCCATGCTGCACCGCCAGGTTTAACCTCAAAGTTCAGGCTGAAAACAATGAGACGTTACTATGACACTGCGTCTACGTGTCGAGCTGTACGGATTGAAGCCTGTACAAAACCGTCGTACAAATTTTGTAGGCTGTATTTCAGTTATTCCTGCTACTCAAGAAAATACAGACAATATAAATGATACCAGCTTATGCCGGCTAGTTGGGGCTGCTTCCCGTGTTGCTGCCGTACTTGTATGTCTTCTGCAAATCCGTTAACGACAACAACCAGTTCAGCTTGTAATTACAATCTTTCGCTCATTTGCTTGTATGAGCCTTTATGATTGCAAACTTCTGTCCCGCTTGACTTCAATCTTGCTGTTCACAGATACATTCACAAATTGTTCTTATTTTTTCGAAACGATACGGCCTGCGTATTTCTATTTATATTTGTGAGCAGGACAAAGCAATAGGACCAACCCAAAAATGGGCGATGTGTCCTATATTGTCGACAGCCTTGGGCTGCCGCCCTTTTCATACCAGATGTCGCTTCTAAGCTTCACGTAAGATTCCCAAGGTCAGCTAGAGCACATGAGGGCACAACGTTTGACTCGCCTGCGCCGCGGCTTCGTTGTTGCAGTGAAAAGGGACCAATGGAGCTATTGCAGCTTCTAAGCGATGTGTTCAGCACAATCAGTCCAAAGCACCAGGTAGGGAGCTGCAGACTGTGTGAGGCGCTCCATGGCATGTGGACCTGCTGAACGCCTGGCTGGATACCCGATTGCGCAGAAAGTGGATGTCTCCAAAGAGGTGCCCGATCAGACTGCCGATCGCCTGATTAATTTCCTGAAGATCGTCAAGTATCGCCCCGGCGTGCAAGACCCGTGAGTCGGCAGGGGGCTCCTTAACATTACATTGGGGCTTTGGATGCTGGTAGTTATATGTCCAGAAGTGTGCGCATTTGCTCCATGTGCATGTGTGAAGTATTCCTGTAGGCCTGGTCTGGGACACTCGCGCATACCGCATGCCTTCTCATGGGAATTCTAAAGCATCGCCCCACCGCTGTTGAACCCCTGTACACCAGACATGCATACCCCTCCGATGTTCACAACGAACTGCTAGTCATACCTCGTGCATGTTCCCAAAACAGGCTTCTTTTCCGCCAGCTGGTCGCCTCGGGGGACCGAGAAACGCTGTACCAAATCCTCCGATGGGTGGTCCCGCAGCCCCAGCTGCTGGAGAAGCGCGCCTTCGTGGGCTACTACCTGAGCTTCCCCGATGTGGGTCCGGGTCTGCTGGGTCGGTGGGGCGCGACCCCGGGGCTGCCCGGCACGGTGCAAGACTTTGGGACGTGCATGGTGTGCTCGTCTGCCACATCCGGGTGCATTTTGAGGACCAGAGGCCTCCGACCCGGGTGGGAGGCCGCAGGCCATTCCTTTATCACCCGGGCTGGACCGTGGCAATTTCCGTGGCATCTGGGGCTCGTTCGCGACCGCACTCCAAACGAGCAGTGCCGGGCGTGGGAGGGGAAGCCCTATTCAATACGTTTTTGGTTTAACGTGTTGCTAGCCGTTTAGTGTGGGTCCGTAGCAGCGGCGCTAGTCTTGTCGAGAGGGATTTCTGCATTAGACAAGGGGGGGTGGGACCCAGAACAGCCTGCGCCGGCCCCGAATGGAACCTTGCGCGGGGCAGGGAGGCTGTACCCTGTGCGGGTACATCGCTTGGCGGGCCGCCGGCAGGGCCTGCCAACCCGATCAGCCTTCAGATAATAGAAGCAGGGCACCATTACAGTATCGCATCAAAGCAATTCTTGCCGGACCCGGAGACTAGATAGCTGGGCCGGCATCATGCAAAATGGATACATGGATATATGGCCGGGAGCATCACACGGATGTTCACAGGGCAACGCGAGGTACCTCTCCTGTTGCTTGTTATGAGGTCCGGCCTATTCCGCTGAAGCGCACTCTTGAGTGACCTGTGGCCCTGAGAAGTGCCCCTCGACCCGCAACCACGTTACGTGACCCAGATGCCGGAGGAGTTCAACTTCGACCCAGATATTATGGAGCTAAAGGAGGAGATCAAAGGCATGCAACAGGAGTTCATCGAGCTGCACAAGAACAGCGACGCGATTAAGAACTTGTCCAAGTGAGCCGAGAAGCCTCTCCCGTTCCTCCACAGTAGTTTTGCTTTTCTTTCCTTCACTCCCCTCGCTACTTTCCCCAGGGACACGCAAGCGCTGAAGAACAAGATCAAGTCGCTGGAGGAGGAGAAGGAACGGCTGGGCGAAAAGGTGGAGCGGGCCAAGGGAGCAGTGGATAAGCTGCCGGACAGGTCCAGCTACATGGAAGTGTGCACCAACCTTCGCAAGCAGCAGGACGAGGAAGTTAACCTGTCCACCGCTATTCAGGTGCGGCACAGGCCAGGGGCGGTACGGAAACGATACGGTGTGATGAGCGCTTTCGATTGCTTTTTCACTCGCTGCTTTTGAAATTCCTTCGTCCGGGTCTATTACTGTCTGCAGACCCAGAAGGCGCTCCATGAAAAGGCCGAGGCGGCGTACCACCGCGCTGCCGCACGCCTGCGCGAGCTGCAGCTGTCCTATCAGGAGGGCTCGGCAACCAAGCTTCTTGAGACGCTGGCCGAAGACGTGAAGAACGTGCGGGCCCAGGTGAGAGAGGGTCTCTGTTTATGTATGTCTCAAGCACGTGGAGCCATGATACGGATGCTGTGGTGGTGGGTGGGTTTAATGCCTTTAGGAGGCAGAACTGAGTTTGGGTCTGCACGGCGCGGGACTGCTCGCTCTTTCCGGGACAGCCAGACGGCATCGGGCGGGAAGACGGTGTCGTAGCACCTAAAATTTTTGAACCTCCTGGCCATTGCCATGCACCGCCCTCCATGACCCGAGACGTGATGGCAACTAAGCCGATGAGCACACACAGGACCTACACTTGGTTCATGCCCCGTTCACGGCTGGTTCTCTCCGGTTCGTCCTTCTCCGTTCGCGCGCCACGTGGCTGGTCCCGTTCTGAGCTGCGATTTCCCTTCCTGAGCCCCACTGCCCTTACCCTGGCCCCGGCCCTAGGTGAACGAGCGGTACCCCAAGGATGTCGAGAAGCGCCAGAAGCGCCTGGCAGCCCTGTCGGAGGCGCTCGCCTCGGGCATCTCCACGGAGATGGATCTGCAGCGACTGCAGGCACAGGCCACCACACTACACAACCAGATCACGGAAATCCAGGAGCGCAAGGTGGCCCAGGACAAGGCGCGGCAGGTGCGGGGCACGGCGGGGCAGCCTATACTTCATTGCTGCATAAAGCATCTTCCCATCTTGGCAGCGGGCCCATATGGTGCGCGATCGCGTCGATCGCGGCCATCATCGTACTTCCGCCCCGCGGCCGAAACCGTCCGTGCCAATTGATTTTGTGTCCGCAGGGTGATAAGGCCTACCTGCAGCTGCGCCAAGCCCAGCAGATGGCTACCGTGTCGGCGCGCAAGAAGGAGGAGCTGACAGCTAAGATGGAGCGTCTGCAGGAGAAGAAGGGGGCGCTCACGGCGCAGCTAGACAAGATGAACGCCGAAGGTGGGTTGGTGTGTGCGCCATACGGACGTGTCCTGCTTGCCTGTGTCAATTTATATTGTGAGGCGTTGAAGGAGGCGAAGAAAAGGATGAAGACGGCGGAGAAACATTGTGAAGCGAAGCCGCCATACGCCGAAAAACGTAAAAGGATGCATGCAATGGAGATGGTAAATGTCCCCAAAACAAGATACCAAGACTTCAGCTGCTTACAGATGGGGCTAAGAAGGACAGGGCCGCCAGGCGGCGGTGAAAGGGAGGATTGGCAACCAAGGGCTTTGCTGGGCGCCTTAACGTTCTGGGCAAAAACATTTGCGTCGTTACGCAAATTAATTTACAAAACATTTGTTACCAAAAACAAAAACGTATTATTGGACTATAATATATTTCATTAACGCCCAATGTGGGGCTCGAACCCACGACCACAAGGTTAAGAGCCTTGCGCTCTACCGACTGAGCTAACCGGGCAGGACTTGTCTTAAAGAAATGAAAACATTGTACGTTAAAAAATCGCTGAGAGATCGGATCAATAACTCTCGCTTACAGGAGGTGGCAGCGGCACGGTGTTCAGCGAGGAGGAGTGGCGCAATAAATACGAGAGCATGAAGAACAAGCTGCCCATGTAAGTCTCCGTACCAGCTCGGCCGCAGGACACTAGCCCCTTGTCTCCCTGCCACTTTTTCTTCGCCACAACCCAGGGTGCTACCTCACCTTGCCCCGTTCCTTCCATGCATGTACATCATGGTGACGCTTTGTCCTCCATGCGTACTCGTTGCACACTTCTTCCTTGCGCTGCAGCTACAAAAAGATGAAGAAAGAGCTAGGTGACCTGGAGGCGGAGGTGTTCGTGTTGGCGCACACGGAGGAGCTGCTGGCGGCCCAAGAGCAGGCCATGGTGGACAAGGTTAAAAAGATTGAGAAACAGCAGGGCATCACGGTGCGAAGAGGGACACGGGGAGAGGGTAATCATGTCTCCATAATTGTGCTATTGCTGCGATGAGCGGCGCGGGAGTAACCGTAGCTTTAGTCATGAGCTGTAGCTGAAAGCTTCAAGAGTTGCGCGCGGGCAAAACCATGTATGTGTAGTACACCTACGGCCGCGCTTTGGGAATCTGTTCCGCTTTCCCCATCTGCATACTTCCTCGTATCCGCATATCTGCCGTTTGACAATGTCCCCACGCCTACCCACGGTTCCCTGTCGTTCCGTTGCATGTTCCACAGGGCTTTACGGACGTGGCACAACACCTGGAGAAGGTCTCCGAGGCCAAGAGTCAAATGGATGAGGAGAAGGGCATGACGCTTATCGAGATCTCTCGCACCGTGGAGGAGATCAACAACGCCATCAATCAGCGAAAGCAGCAGTTGGCGCCCCAGATCAAGAAACTGCGCACCGTGCGGCAAGACTTCGCGGTGCGTTGGTGTAACCGGCTGGTACTCGATACAAGGAGGGGCAGTACGGCAGCTTGGATCATTTTTGCACGCGATAACGTGTAGCAAGTATGTGCTACAAACTTGCCGAAGGGGATGAGCGGGTAAAATCTCACCACGCACAGTCCGCTCTCTTGTTCACTGCAGGAATTCGAGGCCAAGTACGTGGAAAAGAAGGGTGCGTACGACAATGTAGTCGCCACGTTCGAGGCGCGTACCGCAGCGTTGGAATCTGAAGTCTCGGGGCTCAAGGTGGGTGAGCGGGGCGTCATGGCGTAGGGGTTGGTGGGGATGGATTGGGCCCGATTAGCGCAGTTGATTACGCATGCATAGAGGCCCTGCAGTCTCTGCACTAAACTGTCTGGCTATGCATTGGCTTTCCATGCAAGAAAAGTTACGTGAAACCCCATTTTTCACCTCCCGCCCCACACACGGCACTTTCCCCGACTAAGTCCCTTTGCCACCACTTGCGCCCCGCAGCACGAGGTGTCGGAGAACGAGTCCAAGTACCACTTGCTGCATTGTCAGTTGCACATAACCGACCAGAATATCAAAAAGGTCACCAGCGGCCCCGCAGCAGAGCGCCTGCGCGAGAAGTAAGAAGGGACCCACAGGCCCCACGGCGGGGTCGGGAGCTGCGATGATGTGCTTGGCTTGGCTCAGGGAGAGGTGCCAGGGTGGTTTGTGCTAGGCATGCCTGAATGTATGTTCGAATTTCCGGGTCACCTCGGCTATTTCACACACTGGCAAGCCAGCTAACCTGTACCGCACGGACCTCGCCATGCATTACTTCTCACCCATTGTGTAGCTGCATTTCCCATGTCTTTTGTCCTGCAATCTCCCCCTTGCTGACCGCCTGATTGGCTGGCTGGTTAGGACCCAATCGTTAAAATAGAAGGAAAGGCTGCCATGCATCTGTTTCCTGCATGTGCATTTACAACGGTATCTCTCCTCGCGCCTTGTCCTCTTAGGTACGAGACCAAAGTCAAGGAGGCGGAGGAGGCCACCAAGATGTTGCGGGAGCGGCAGCGAGAGATCAAGGACACGCACACCACGGGGCTCAGCCAGATCGACATCATGAACGACATGATACGGCTGTTGCAGCTCAAGCTCAACTTGGCGAGAGGCATCCGCGACGTGGACGGGCCGGGGGTAGGCGTCGGTGGCGCTGCCGCCGCCGGCCCGGGGACGGGTGGGCAGACGTTCGACACAGGCTCGGCCAACGTGCTGCAGCTTTGAGGCTTGGGTCGACCATCCGTGACCGGCCCTTTGTTTGTTCGCCTCCGGGGCGGTCCGGGGCGGGGGAGGGAGTCTGTTGGTGTGGGATGGCGGGACATGAGGTGGGGTGGGGAATGGACTGGGAACATGTTTGCGCGCGTGCATTGGGGTTTGTGTTTTTCCCTAGCTGCAAGTGGCGTGCCCTTGGCGAGCTGTCAGACGTGAGCCATCATAAACCGGGCTTAGGTTGCCAGATGTCCGGCGCGTGGTGTGATTGGATGAACCTTGTCGGGCCGGATGCCTGTTTGGCCCTGGCTAGGTGGCTCTGGCACCGGTGTAGTTATGGTGGTGGTGCTGACTGCGTGCGTGGTGCCGGCGTCGTGAGGATGCTCGACGAGGGTTAGGCCCGGCGGGCTGCATCGCGCGTTCCAGCAGTGCTGGCCTACCAGTAGCCGTCGGTGCTTTTCCTCATGTGACAACTGCTTCTGAAGCGCTACGCGCGCGAGAAAGAGGGGACGCAATGCATGGCGGCGCTGTGAAATGCGTCGGTGTGTGCGGGGCCCTCTCTGCGCTCATCTGCGCACTGCGAAATACGCACAAGAGATGTTACACACGCGTACATACACAGCTAGTTGAGGGGGAAACTGCTGCACCTGGACGCCGCGCTTGCGGCAATGTACAGTTGTAGTGGTTGGCGACATCGGTGCAGCAGCCCCGTATGTCCCCCTTTTAGGCTTGGCTAGGCTGTCTTGGGAGTCTGGGTGTGTCCAAACGGAGGACTTGAGAAACAAATAGGGTTTCAATAGTTGAAGGCGCGGCGAAAGCGGGGCTTGACCTCTGGAGCGCCAGGGCGGTGAACTGATGATGGTGGGGATTCTAAGGGCAACGGTGATGTGTATTGGATACTCTGTACATAGGTTTCCTGGGAAGGCGCATGCAGCTTGGCTCCACAGGGTTCTTCCTTTTTGACAAGGATGTGCCTTGTCTGCAATCGTTTTTTGGTTGCTCCGTCCGTAGGTAGCTGCATGTTGGTCACCCCTATGGCTTGGTCCGCAGGCTTCGTCTCAAAAGCCGTTTGATCGTAATGCTGCCTCATCTGGGGCCCCGCTTACCCTGGCTTACCGAACCCCAAGCACACCTAGAGTTGTAACGCTGGCAGTTCGTTGAACAACAGGGACCAAGGTGGAATGCCTTCTCTCCTACTAAGGTCTCCCGAATTACCGATAGGAGGCGATATTGCAAGTCGGTCACTACAGGCACAGCGGACTGTCCATCGTACCGGGAACTACTTCTGGACGAATGTACGGGAACTACTTCTGGACGATCGTACGGGAACTACTTCTGGACGAATGTACGGGAACTACTTCTGGACGATCGTACGGGAACTACTTCTGGACGAATGTACGGCCACCGTTAGCTCGGCTTTGTGGGGAGTTATAGTGAACCATGACAATTAGCTTCATAATTACAACCTACCGACGTGCTGCTGCCTGGGCGGCGTAGGCGTGCAAGATTAGTAATGAGGGCCAACTTGCAGCCCAGGTGATCAGGTGCAGCTTGCATTTGTTTAGGCGAATTCAATTTGATCGCTGGAGGCTCTGAAATCGAGCCCGGGCTTACAATCATACGTTATATGTGCAGGGGCTGCCGAGCGACGGCTGATCGGTCCTTGTGGCGCTCTCAGCGTTTGCGAGTCAGTGTTCGGCCTGCTGCTAGCATGCAGCTGCCATCGGATTTTAGGGACGCTTACGTTGACCTCGCACACCAGCTTGCCGATGCGGCCTCGCAAGTCACGCGCAAGTACTTCCGGTGCGAAATAGAGAGCTTCTACGAGTAGCTTAACATGGTAATTGTTTTTTCATTTTAAGACTTATTAGTAGGCAGCTGCTCTCGGCTTGTGTAGGACGTCGTTTGATGTCGAGTCAAAGGGCGACGCGAGTCCTGTGACCATCGCTGATCGCCAGGCTGAAATTATCATGCGAGAGATCATCGAGCGCACAGTTCCGGAGCATGGTATCTTCGGCGAGGAACACGGGCTGAAGTTCGGAAGCGGTGCGGGTTCAAAGTACATGTGGGTGCTTGACCCGATTGATGGGACCAAGAGCTTTATCACCGGTAAGGGGTAATCAATACAGCGGCACGATATAAATCTGTGTGTACTTTTTCAAGGTTCTACATACTACATAAGTAGTATCCTGGGTGGGCGAATGTGTTCTGCCGACCTCTTCGTGTAACCCATCTATGTCACATGGAGTCGGCTTTCGGAACTCCACCGCGCAGGCAAGCCGCTGTTCGGGACCTTAATCTCCTTAGTGTATGAGGGGTCCCCTATTCTGGGCATCATCGACCAGCCTATCACCAAGGTAGATCGGCTTGCCAGTCTTTCCCAACTTGTACGGGGATCCTATCCCTATATACCATGGACAGGGTCAGCAACCCCTCGGCGCTAGAGCAAAGCAAGGGGTGGGGCTTGATTTCATGGGATCCACCATCACCGCTGCCGCTGTCTTGCCGTCATACAGGAGCGCTGGGTGGGTGTAGCGGGACGGTCGACATTTCTCAACGGTCAGGTGCTGAAGACCCGGCCCTGTCCTGATGTCAAGCTAGCATACCTGTATGCAACGACGCCACACATGTTCTCAGGTAAGATACCATCTTGTGTACGGCGGCTATAGGTAATTGCGCCTATAATGTTAATCACACGCCCCAATGCTCATCATAAACCCTAAGATGCCTTGAGCATGGTCTTGAAGGCCATTGCGTTGGTGCAGCCCCTGCAAGGTCGCCGTGGCGCACTCCACACCACTGCATTCGCTGCTTGGTTCCATGTTTTTCAGATATGTACCTCGTCACAAGTGCCAATGGACTCAACTGCTGCGGTGTTTGGTCCTGAATGCTAATTCAACCGCCAATAGTGTTACGTTCTCCCGCCCACGGCCTCTATTGGTTCCGGAATCTGGATCCAGGTGACAACGAAAAGGCCTTCAATCGATTGCGGGACAAAGTGCGGATTCCTATGTACGGCTGCGACTGCTACGCGTACGGCCTGTTAGCAGCGGGGCATTGTGATCTGGTAGTGGAGGCCGATTTGAAGCCGTACGACTACATGGCACTTGTGCCTATCGTACAGGTACGACGAGCGGGGCTTTGCGCGTCGAGTGAGTTGTATGCGTTTCACCGTTGACTGTGAGAAACGCTCCCTGGTCTTGTTCGTGCTCCGTTTTTTCGTTTCTTCCTCGTTTGCATGGTTTCCTTGCTCTCCCACTGACCCTCGCGGCCCCTGTTTCCGCCGCGGGATGTGGGATTTCGGCCGCAGGGAGCTGGTGGCGTGATGACGGACTGGCGGGGCCGTCCACTGGTGTGGCAGCCCGCCCCGGGGAGCACCGACCTCAAGGCAGGGTGGCCGGGGGAGGTGTGCGCAGCTGGGGATGCGGCCCTGCACCGCCAAGCTCTGGAGCTGCTGGACTGGCAGCACTGAGGACGGCAGCATATGAGACAGGATCTTGAGATGATGTTGAGCTTCATCCGGTATAGGGATCCGGTATGGGGACAGGGTTGCGCCTGTTTGATTTGGACAGGTACCGGCGACCAGACTAGTGGACGGGGCGCGACGGACAAAGTGTCGGGCTTCCGGGACAGGATAGGATGCCAAAGCGGCGCTGGCAAAGGATGCATTCTAACGGAGATGTGGATCCGGTATTTATGTGGGTGGCAGTGGCATAAGAAAATGGCTGCAGCATCTCGGTCCAAATTTTACTATCCAGTGGTTTCACAGTGATATTTGCGGTGCACTGCGACAGTGGGCATATGAAAGGATGCAAGTCTTTATAAGTGTGATAGCCAGGTTAGTAGATATGCACATTTGGCAAAAATAAAACTCTTTTTTTGTTCAGGGAACCCATCTTAGCCGGGAAGCTGACCATTTAAAATTACAAATTAAGTTCGCTAGGCAAGCAAAGTCATCGCTCATTGCTTTGCTCATACGAATGATCTGATTCAGACCATTTGCTCCATCCCCTATGTATTTGTACACGACGATCATCGCGTCCAACGTGATCCCCAGATCTGCACACCGGCTGCTTCCCGTCTGATGGAAAGGAAACGCGACCAGCAGGACGCTCAAACGCTCTTAACCACCTGCACGCAAATGCTCTTCCGCCAGTGGTCACGCCCCGCATGCTTGACCTCTGCCGAAATCCGACCCAGTCACCCATCCTGCCCCATCGTTAGGAGGTTCGCAACCGTGAGCCGACAAAAGCCAAACGGCTTGAACCTGGCGTGCTGTGACGGTTCTTGGATGAAATGCGCTGCAAAAGTAGGACCGTACCTCTCCTACAATTCTGATACCCGTCATAGACTTGCAAAACACGGCACAGCAAGTGAAGACCTGGACCTCCTGGTACGGCCCTCGTCATCCGCAAGCAAGTGTTAAACAGTCCGCATCGCGCCTCTGAGGAATGATCTGCCCACGTCATGGTACTACTGGAACGACCCGCCAGGGAGGCAGTGATCTTCTGTCCTAACGACGCAGTCATTGTTTTCCAATTGAAGTACTTATTCCAAACCAGGTCAAACAACTGTCCTGCGCACCAGGGCTAGCTCCCGGGTATGGGCGGGCCTCTGGTGCGGCCTTGGAACTCGTCTGGAGTTCTATTGACCTCCGCCACGTTCCCGTGAATACCTCCGCCATCCTGCTACACCCTCTTGCTGATCAAATTGCTTCCAGCTGCTGCTAATCCTCCTGCTGCGCCTGCTACAGTTCCCCCGGTTGCTGTTGTCGCAATTGCGGCCGCAGCTCTTGCTTCTCCTGGCATGTGCATTACGCCGCTTCTTCCTCACCCACGGCCCCCTTCCACCCCCGACCGTTCGTCGTAGCTGGCTGTGGGGCCGCACGTCCATGGCCGCACATGCTGCCAGGACCTCCATAAACCCGGCCGCGCTCTGGGCCACGGCTGCTAATGCTTTCAGACGCGTTCACGGTCCACCTGGCAAGCTCACCATTCTGAATAGTGTCTGCAGGCGCGGCCGGCGTAGCTGCCATTGCAGACTTAGCCGCAGCAGTCCTAGGCGCTGCCGTGGTCGCATCCACAGCATCTGCAGCTGTGGGTGGCTTCCACCATTTGGTGTTGGGGTCTCCATCGACATTGTCAGGGTACTGGTCGAACCAAACACGAAATTCGCGCCATCGCTCCGACAGCTCTGCGGCAGACAGACCCGAGGGTCGCGCCGCATCGCAGACAGCGGGCAGCCCGGCGGACTCCGCAGAGAATGCTTGGACCCGGTTAGCCCTGAGGGTATGGAGGAGCGGAGGAGCCAGGTGGAGGAGAGTGTGCCGAATGGGGCTTGGTAAACTTAGCAGAGAACGGGGTGCGGATGAGAGCCCTGTAGTGAGGAGTAAATTGGGTTTAGATGCACACCCACGACTCCGAAAATGTAGTAGTCACTCATTTCCGCTGTGCTTCCCTTCCCTCCCCTCTCCAGGCTGCATCAACGGGCACGTGCCTGTAGATCCGGGTCTTCTGGTATCGCTCGAGAGCAGTGGGCACGTCTGCCCAGAACTCTTCTAGAGCGAGAGTAAGTTGATGCGCATCCTGAGGAGGACGACAACGGGGTGGAGGCGGGTTGGAAGGGTAGGGATTGGGGAGTCGGCGTGGAGGAAGAGCCCCATCCTACTCGTCATACGTCATACGCATGGAAAGAACGTCGGAAGTAAAGTTTGTGTCGTCTTTGCACCGTACGGCCCTAGATGCCAGTAATGCAAACGCGTTTATTACGAATAGCCAATCTTTCCGAGATTTAATAAAAAGCAGGCCTCACACACCGTTGTTTTCATAGCAAGCCGCAAGGCTTGAGGCCCTAGTTGTCTGCCTGTCCTGCTGGCTACCTACAATTACGTGTCTTCTGGTTTTAGCTTTCATATGTACAATTGCTTGCAAAAAAAATGATGGATGGAAAGGAACACGCTCGCATCAGTGCAACTGCTGCTGTAAACCGTAAAGATTCGCGAAGTTGCATAAAGGGCTTTATAGATTAAGCGTGCTGGGCCCTGTGCCATAAGGTACAATAAATCATTACGACATGCAGTTGTTTAAGTTGCCGGTGCAACTGAAAAAAATGCCTAAACCTCCCGACCGTCCTTTTTTGTTGGTACATTTCGTCATTTCGTATCCTTGTGCATTAATGGGAAAACGTCACTTAAAACGCACCTCAAATGCCGATCTAGCTCCCTGTCCAGCCATCGGGTGCATCGCGTGCGCTGCATCCCCCAGCAGCACGACCCTTCTTCCGGAACTGGCCCAACGCTCCAGAGGCACCCTGTCGTACAGCGCCCTCTCGAATATGGCCGACTCCGGAGTGGCCTCCACCAGGGGCAACCACCAGTGCCAACCGGCGGACTGGGGAGGAGGGGAGGGGTGAGCGCGGTTGCGTTGGATTTAGGCGCAGGGAAGGGGTGCTATGGTAGGGTAGGTGCGGTACAACAGAAGGAGCTGCGCGTATGGGTGGGCATGTAGGAGCACTCAGCATCCCCCCTCCCTCTCTTCCCTCCCCCCACATGAGGTCGTGTATCACCTCACCTGGAGTCGCTCAATGACTCGCGCCTTGCTGCCAGGAACACCCTGCCCGCCACGACCACGTCGGGCGCCACCGCTGCCACTTGCATCGCTGTCACCGTTGGGGGCACCGCCAGTAGCAGCACCAGCAGCACCTGTGCCGTTTGCCTCCCTTGGCGGCGGCTGTGCCAATTGGGACGTGAAGCAGGGCTCGTCGTAGCGCATCCGTACCTGCACCAGTGCAATACATCCCAAAATGAAAAATGTACCTCTGTCGGTGTTTTATGTTAATTAACTTGACGTTTCAGAGGTCCCCCGGTGGACGTCCACTGTGTCCCTCACAACACCGCCCAGACCATCCGCCCGTACCTGCCAGAAGGTGTAACCGCCACCCGCATCACAGACGATGGCGAAGAGCGAGGGGTCGATCAACTCGGCTCCCAACAAACCGTTGTTGGCGATACACAGTTGACCTGACGAGTTCAGATTCATGTGGAAGAGCTGTGTCGAGCTCGGAGGACGAAATCGAAATCCATTTGAGTCGAGCAAATCGACCGATGAGTTGGGAAGTGACATTGCGGCACAATTCCCCTCCCTCAATTTTGAGTCAGGAAAGCCCATCTCCACCTCCGCTGAAGGCTAGCCGCGCATGCGGCGATGGAAATTACAGTAGTACCGTGCTCATGACAGTGCAGACCGCACTGCCGTACATCCAGCTAGCCGTACACACCTGGTTCGTGTGCGTGTGCCACTGTGTTGCCCCCGGGGTTGTAGATCAGGCAGTTCCAGTTCATGTGGCCCAGGTAGCTGAGGCAGCGTGGAGGAGGAGGGAACGGAGGTCAGGGAGAGGGATGCTAGGGGGTTGGAAAAGGGGCACATCAACAGGGACGATAAGTACGTGGCTGTTGCACCAAATCGGTAAAGGCTCCAGCACCAATTCACGGAGGTCCTTACCGCGGGCCAGGGTCGTTGGGGTACATGGCAGCTCGAATGGGTGAAAACACTCCGTCAGCTCCCACCACCAGCTTGGCCGTTACGCTGGGTTGGTCTCGGAAGTGTACGACAGCACGGTGAGCTGGCCTGACAGCTGATGGCGAGGACGCCATTGCCGTTGTTGCGGTTGCTGACTCGTCTACGTCCGTACCGTTATCCATCCCCTGCTCGTCCCAGATTTCGTCGTACCCCGTGGCCGCGTGATTGCAGTGTACGAATTCTGGCGGCACGACCTGGGCCAATGCCGCATGGACCTGTTGTTTACCGTTGGATCAGATAAAGTCGGTCGTTGGTGCCAAAATGCTGTTCTGGGAAGTGCGCGGGCGACGACGTTTCATCTCCTGCACAAAGTCATCTCACTCATACCTTCGACACGACAGCCTTGGCAGGTAATGACCAAAGCCAGCCAGACTTCGTCCTTACAAATACATCGCATACGAGTCTTGGCCCCAGCATCTGTCACAAGCATGTCAACGTTGCAGGCATGCCCTTCCTTTGCGCGTTATGCACCTGTCGACCACGAAACATCTCCGTCAACATACTCCGGACGTTTCGTCGCCGAGGATAACATATTGCTGATGTCCGTCCGTACTGCGCGCCCGTGCACGAAATGCAGTTCACGTGTCGCACCTGAGCCCATCGAATGGTGTGCAGACGCGTTTCACTGGCAAGCCGCTCGATGATGACCGGATCTCGGCCCGGCGGGAAGTACGAATACACGGCATTCGCGTTGACTACCCCTCGCCGCCTGCGCGTAGGGCACGTCCCCGTCAGCCAGTGCAGCGGGTGAAAGATGCGGCAATGGCACATCGGCTTTAGCGTACGGTCAGCGTTCCTCTGCCCTCCCCACTGCCTCTCTCCGCGCAATGGTTAACTCTCTTACGTTCAGCCCCCGGCTCGTTGTTCAGAAGGCATCTACATGGCCCACCTGATCTGCTCTGGCAGGTCGGGGTGCAAGTCGCCCAGGGCCGCCAGCGCGTTGGGTCCCAGGCCGACCATGGTGCTGGTCTCCTTGCGCAGCTCTGATGATGCCTCGAACACGTGGGCGGCCAGGCCGCGGCGGTGCAGGCCTGTGTGTGCAGACGGATGACGGCGGTCGGGGGTTGCACAGGGCGGATGTACGGATGCTAGGGACGTTGAATTTTGAAACTAAGGCATTGAATGATATGTGCAACCAGGTTTTCAAAATCTTGTGAGGATGTCTGGGGGTTTGTCAAAGAAAAGCCACAGTCACCTTCACCAGTCCGTTTCAACGTTCACTATCAACCTTGTCTGCAACCCATGTCCTGCTGATTTCAAAACTTGTTTAGAACAGACATGTACGTATAGACCCATAAAACACATTGATACAGACCTTTGGGACCTTACCTGCGGCCAGCGCCAGGCCGCCCAGCCCTGCCCCGATGATGGCGACCTCCACTTCGTGAGGTGGAGGTCCCATATGTAGATGCGTTCCTGATTTAAACATTTATAGATACATTTTCGCAATACCAAGGGAAACGTTATTTGCGCCTTTCATTGGATAGCACCGAACGCAAAACAGTCGTTGACTGCCGTTGTGGGGGATCGACATCTAAAAGCTATGAATACGCAAGTATGGGAACCACCCAGTCTTACATAGCGCAAAGATATTTGCTCTGCACAAAGTGCACATCATTCTCCGATCAGTCCAAAGCCGTTTCGGGGAGGCACACATTACATAGATATAGGAGACGGGATGCTTGTTCATGTTCAGGGTGCAGGCCTTAGGACAGTAGGGTATGTGTATATTGGGACAGCCCAGCTGTCCACGCGACAGTCTGTTGCTCTGGCATGATGACGGTATTACCGTTACAATTGGCAATACTTCCAAGTCCCAACCCCCAGTGACCGCCTGTATTCAAAGCATATTTCCATGTTTCTGTATGAGTATACATATGCGATAGTTATCCTACATTGTGTAGCTCATTGTGTTGGAAAAGACCATGTTCGGTTTGTTGGATCCCAATTCCGGGAAGTTTGAATTCCTATGGTTGCGACAGCTGCCCCTGCGATAAGCACTCAGCACACCGTCCGTTCACTTTTGCATCATGCATGCTTACTGCAAGTCCAAAGTGGCCTTTGGTGGGACGGTCCGTCTAGCGGACTTTTCGCTTGCCCTGCGGTCTTTTCGCTGCGTCCTAATGGGTAGGCAATCTGCCACATGATAAGTTAAGTTGTACGCAGGTGACTTGTAAACCTGGAGTGCACGTTCCGCCTTAACAGTGCCCTTAGCATAGTTTCCAGGTCTGTACTATACACACCGTCCCTGCTTTTCTTCAAGGCTCCAGCCCAGGACTGCCCTTCGGAACAGCTGCTCCCAGCTGATTATTCCATACATCGCCGGGCTTCCCACTGTAAGCACCTTCCATGGACAGTGATACGTGATACATGACAGCATATGTGGCCACATATATGCCAATAAACACTGTCCGGTGGCATCTGGTGCCATCCGGTGCCAAGTATACGACAAGTACTCGCGAGATGTATCTTTAGGACAAACCCAGTTTGGCCTTCTGGGTCAGTCGTACAAGTGCCTCAGCTTTAACCACAATCGTAGGTATGGTGGTGAGGGCTCTTCTCTAGCGGGAGCTTAGTCTTGCCCAGAAGTCTGCAATGCTATTCACGAAGTCTGCTGCAAATTGCCAATACGACGATCTTGCTTCGTAAATTCGACCTCAACGATCTCGATGCTCACGATAAGTAAATTACGAAAGTATGAATCTACCTTGCAAACCACATCAATATTAGTGTGCTTGTTAATACGTGCCATGCCCCTCATGCCTCTGCTGCTGGTTCAAGTTGGGCCACGCGGGTGCCTCATATCCCTCCATCTCAAGTGATTCCCTTTTTCACACGGGGACCCTGGAAATATCCCCGTCAGCCACAAACGGTTGCGAGTCATTGCGCCCGCCATCACGAAGCGCCTGTGTCTAAGCACCGTGGGCGCGATCGCAAGCATCACGTCCAGCAGCGACCCCTGCTGCCGCCACACACTTGGGAAGGCCATCCAGGTGCGCCGTCGCTGTGGCCACATCCACCGCATCCACGACACTCGTATCCGCAGCTGTTGGTGGCTTCCACCATTTGGAGTTGGGGTCGCCGGTAATGTTCTCGGGGTACTGGTCTAGCCAAGCGCGCAACTCGCTAAAGCGCTCCAACGCCTCCTTGCCTGACAAACCCGCGGGTCGCGACGCCTCACGGATGGTGGCCAGTCCAGCTGACTCGGCGGAGAACTTTTGAACCCGGTTGGCCCTGTATGTAGATGCATGAGCGGGGCTCCAGTGAGGAGGACAAGAGACATGGAAGGGAAGCAAGAATGTGAGGAGAAAAAGAATGCAGGCTTTGTGGTCAGGAAGAATGAGGGTGTTACGATGGCATCACGGTTTTTGCCGCTGCATTTGGCATCCGCTGGGTCCCTTTGCCCCCTTGTCCCCCATTATTTCTGAGGTGGATGCCCAATGACCCTTTATTCCGCAGCTATTAGAGCACGTGCCTGTAGATGCGTGCCTGCTGGTATCGCTCCAGGGCGGTGGGCACATCGGGCCATAAGGCATCCAAAGCCAGCGTCAGCTGATGGGCGTCCTGAGTAACGGGGAGGATGGGAGGAGAGGGCTATGGACTGGAGAGAGTAAGGCCTTGAGGGGACGCGACGGGTTGGAGTCGCCCCCAAATGGGAGGCGACTGCTCTGTGGTCGCGCACTGTTTAGACATTAAGGATGAGAGCGGTTCGGGACAACAGCTCTATGTGCGCTTTCGGCCGTCACAATGCAACGCGACTTCACAAACAGCGTGTGTTACCCGTCGCACGTGCGGCCACATATTACAACTAAAACCGGTCTGGGCTGGGAGACACTACTGCAATTTGCGGTTTAAGGTCCTGGGTTAGATTCCGGCGTAGACCTCTTGACACTGTCGGGAGCGTGATATTATGACTAGCTGCTGAGATGTGGAGTTGAGGTCACAGTTAATGGACCGAGATTCGCACGCCGGATTGGTGGCGACTGCTGAACCCTCTGTCTCAACGGATGATCGGGTGGCAGGACGAGGAGGGATTCTAAAAGGCAGAATCAACCGCCTTGGACATGCAGTTCGTATGGCATAGTACAGTGTGGTAATGGTGGATGGTGCTGTATGGTGTTCAATCCTAGAGATGACACTCCAAATGTGTTCCATTGGCCCAGAAGCCTCCCATTCTGCATGTCTTCCCTTGCTTCGGTTTTTTGAGTGTGTAGTGCAACCCCCTGAGTAGAGCCCCTGCCCCCGGTGGCGTTTTCGGTTTGATCTTGTTTTGGCGTTCAAGAGGGGAGAGAGCGCGCGAGTAGGCTGGCCAGGCGAAGTAGGGGCAGATAGCCCGTTTAGGGTTCCCAGAGGTGGTGTGGCGCCTGTCGTGCGGCTCTCGCTTAGTTCGGTTAGCAGTCTTCTGCGCCGCTGTGTTGCCTAGCCAGGGGCTGGGAGAGCGCCCCGGCTGGCGTGAGTGCGGAAGTGAGGCGCGCGCGGAGGAACAGATGGACGCAGCCGCGAGTCCATCCCTGCGCTGTGTTTCGGCCCGGTCAGGGCCCCCGGTGCTCGTCCTTTCTCTGGACGAGCCGCCCACAGTGTAACGCCCCATCAACAACAACAACGACAAATCAAATGAAACATAGGCTCTGTATGCATGAGTGGCATTCACTGGAGCAATAACTGACGAATTGACAAAATGAGCGGAAGCCCAACCCCATGCCCCGCCCCGCAAGTCACAACATAAAGCAATCACCTCAAATGCCGATCGGGCTCCCTGTCCAGCCATCGGGTGCATCGCGTGTGCTGCATCCCCCAGCAGCACGACCCTTCTTCCGGAACTGGCCCAACGCTCCAGAGGCACCCTGTCGTACAGCGCCCTCTCGAATATGGCCGACTCCGGAGTGGCCTCCACCAGGGGCAACCACCAGTGCCAACCGGCGGACTGGGGAGGAGGGGAGGGGTGAGCGCGGTTGGGTTCGATTAAGGCGCAGGGAAGGGGTGCTGTGGCGGAGTATCAAAGAAGGGTAGGTGCGGTACAACAGAACGCGTAAAGCTACAAGTTACAAGTGCCGCACGAGTGCGGGGGGGTCCGTCAAAGCCGGGGGGCCCATGGACTATATATATTGAAAGTTGATTACACCTTACAACCGACGGCGGTTTGGGTCCTGCCGACTAGACCCCTCCTCATCCAGTCACCCGTCACCCGACATCCCGAGACAGATCAGCCATCACCACCATATCAGCATGCGAAACTTAGTCCATCAATTAGACCTCATCTCCGCATCTTAGCAGCGTTAGCATGGCCTCTGCGCAAGGATGACAAGCACAAATCGAGAAATGATTCCCAATATTCTGGCAAAATCCCAGATCGATCCCCATAGTACATCTTAAATTTCCGAACAATGTCGGGGGTCTGACTGGGAAAGATGGGCATGTAGGAGCACTCAGCATCCCTCCTCCTCTCTTCCCTCCCCCCACATGAGGTCGTGTATCACCTCACCTGGAGTCGCTCAATGACTCGCGCCTTGCTGCCAGGAACACCCTGCCCGCCACGACCACGTCGGGCGCCACCGCTGCCACTTGCATCGCTGTCACCGTTGGGGGCACCGCCAGTAGCAGCACCAGCAGCACCTGTGCCGTTTGCCTCCCTTGGCGGCGGCTGTGCCAATTGGGACGTGAAGCAGGGCTCGTCGTAGCGCATCCGTACCTGCACCAGTGCAATACATCCCAAAATGAAAAATGTATCTCTGTCGGTGTTTTATGTTAATTAACTTGACGTTTCAGAGGTCCCCCTGTGGACGTCCACTGTGTCCCTCACAACACCGCCCAGACCATCCGCCCGTACCTGCCAGAAGGTGTAACCGCCACCCGCATCACAGACGATGGCGAAGAGCGAGGGGACGATCAACCCGGCTCCCAACAAACCGTTGTTGGCGATACACAGTTGACCTGGCGCGTCCAGATTCAGGTGGAAGGAACTGTGTCGAGCTCGGACGAGGGGGCTAGGGAGGGGTGAGGAGCTAACCGAAATCCATTTGGGTCGAGCATATCGATCGACGAGCTGGGCAAATGACATCGCAGTACAGCTCCCCTTCCTAAACTTCGATTCAGGAAAGCGCAACTCCACCTCCGCTGAAGGCTAGCCAAGCATACAGCGATGGAAATTACAATACTACCCGTGCTCATGACAGCGCAGACCGCACTGCCGTACATCCACCTAGCCGTACACACCTGGTTCATGTGCGTGTGCCACTGTGTTGCCCCCGGGGTTGTAGATCAGGCAGTTCCAGTTCATGTGGCCCAGGTAGCTGAGGCAGCGTGGAAGAGGAGGGAACGGAGGTCAGGGAGAGGGATGCTAGGGGGTTGAAAACGGGGCACATCAACAGGGACGATAAGTGACGTGGCTTTTGCACCAATCGGTTAAGGCTCCAGCACCAACTCACGGAGGTCCTTACCGCGGGCCAGGGTCGTTGGGGTACATGGCAGCTCGAATGGGTGAAAACACTCCGTCAGCTCCCACCACCAGCTTGGCCGTTACGCTGGGTTGGTCTCGGAAGTGTACGACAGCACGGTGAGCTGGCCTGACAGCTGATGTCGAGGACGCCATTGCCGTTGTTGCGGTTGCTGACTCGTCTACGTCCGTACCGTTATCCATCCCCTGCTCGTCCCAGATTTCGTCGTACCCCGTGGCCGCGTGATTGCAGTGTACGAATTCTGGCGGCACGACCTGGGCCAATGCCTCATGGACCTGTCGTTTACCGTTGCCAATTTCCGTTAGTCGAAACCGTTGGCTTAGGACAAAAATGCTTTCGACGGTCTTACCAGGTATTCTGATCACATACGGTTGTGACCCGGCACGCTCGTTAGCAATTGAAGCCCCCTCGCCTCGCCTCGCCTACACGATTTTCCTACCCCTACACGGTTATGGACTCACCCAGAGCGCACATTGGGCACAGTTGCGGCCGTTGCGCACGATTTGGACACCCCGGCCACCAAGTAGACTGTGCAACCAAGAATAGACGAAATGGAATGCTTTGCTACGTTATGCAGCTCTGGTCGCCACAGGGCTATGTAGTTGCAACACACGACATGGCATGATATGATATGACATGACCTTCCAAACGACAATCAGGCCACGGCACTGTGCTCAGGGCACGTCAATGGCGCCAAAGCGCGTGAGACCACCCGGTACCTGGGCCCAACGAATGGTGCACAGCTCCCCGCCACCGCCGGGCCGAACGTTGATTATTGGATTATCCGCCCCATCGGGGAAGTTCATGGTCTTGACGTTGTTGTTCAACACCCCACGTTGCCTGCGGGTACAAGGCATAGGGTTGTCGTCCGGCTACATCGTACGGCAAGTGACGTACAGCTTTGCGGTGCATTACACGGCATCGAGTCCTTGAAAGTAGCACACGATGGTATTTGTTGGAAAGTGACCAACACTCATATACACCAGTGAATGGTGAAAGCAGAAATAGGACCCGAGGGGGTCCGGCGCTTTGCTGATTCATATAACATTAACCCACTTGTGCCGATATGCTTATTCGCACTCTTAGTGAAAGTGAGTCCGCAAACAGTTGGGCCCAGATCGGATTGCAGGGAAGCCGGTGAAGCTTGCCCAGGCTAGTTGAGCGCTAGGTAGGTAATATCAGGCTGTGTAAGCATTGTTAAGGGCTGTGCAAGGGCTTTGTAATGCCTCACGGAATAACAGGATGCCCCAAGCCCGCAATCCGTGTGCAGATAAAACTGAATGTGGGCCGACAGAACGAGGATACTTCTTGGCTGCGACCAGGCCACTGACGGCCCGGTATTGCAGTCACGCAACTGACCAGCAATAAGCGACATGCAGACACCACCACGGCGACACGGACCTTGATAAGTGTATCTGTGGTGAAGAAGGTATAGCGCTTTCCTTTTCCCTCGCTCTTTTTTCCTCTTCTCCCCCTTTGTGTGGTTCACTGGCTGCTCTCTGCTAGCCTTTGCCGGACGACCCAAGTACTGCAGGTACGTGCTAAGCACTCAGCCACACCGCTCACCCACCTGATCTGCTCCGGCAGGTCGGGGTGCAAGTCGCCCAGGGCCGCCAGCGCGTTGGGTCCCAGGCCGACCATGGTGCTGGTCTCCTTGCGCAGCTCTGATGATGCCTCGAACACGTGGGCGGCCAGGCCGCGGCGGTGCAGGCCTGTGTGTGCAGACGGATGACGGCGGTCGGGGGTTGTACATGGCGGTTGATAAGGAAGGAGCGTGTACGGTAAAATGTTCGATAACTTCATGCCAGGCGGGGAGAATGGATTATCCATATGTTGAAGCCCTGGTTTGAGTCATTGAGTCTTAAAGTTGTCAATCTAGAAGGTCCAAAAGTGCCCAGGTGCAAGGCAAAGATGGGGTTGCAAGGCAAAGATGGCTAGGGGCCGCAGGGGACACGCAGGGGACACGCAACTCGAGCAACCATCATGGTGCTCAACTGTTTCAGAGGCCGTTCTCCAAACGTGTCCTTAGAATGGTTATAGCCAAACATCTCGGCAAACTCTAACATTCGCCTTTGTTGCACCCATCCATTCCCTGAGCAAACCAGCAATTCTTCCTAGCACACGACACGCATCATGTTGCATTTTTATAGAGTTGCCCGTGTGTCGCAGGCGCATCAGGAACGAAAAGGAACGTCCCGACGTCAACGCAAAACTTGGCACCTCACCTACGGCTAAAGCGAGGCCACCTAGACCTCCACCTATGATGGCAATATCCACTTGTCGAGGTGGAGAAGTGCGACCCATGCTTAACTGCTGCCCACCCATTATATGCATCTAGTCGAGACTGGTTGTATGCCTGATCCCCAGCGAAAATCCTGCGCTAGTATATAATACGCAGTATCTATAACGAAGATATATTTGGAAAGGGTTACGGAACTCAAAATGTTTGACAGATTATCGAGCATTTCTCGTCCCGCTCCTCTCACATCGTAGGTTTGTGACGCAAAATTCGTCGAGATATTTGAAAATCGTTTCTTACCGTATATTTTCTCGCTTAGCTCGGGTAGCTCATGAGCCTTTTGGCTCCCCTGGGCCGTACAAACCCGACAAGCGCTTACGAACCTCATGGGACGTACAAACTTGTAACGGCATTCACGAACTGAGTTTGGCGAACTCAAGGCAACAATCAAAGGTCGCAAGGAGCCATGTAGCTTCGCGCTACCTGCCCTAGCCTTTGTCCTGCGAACAAAGGTAATTCGGCAAGCCGTAAACAACCCCTTCTGCATGCCATGTATACGCACATGCGTGTGTATATACTACTATGGCAATTAGCACGAAAGTAACAGGTGAATAGTACATGCGACAGGGCTCGTGCCCCGTCACCTTGCTGGCACTGCATATCACGGTCACGGAACCCCATCCGATGCTTCTCCTTTGCTGTACTGTATGTATTGCGCAACATGGCCACTAACGAGTTCATTACATCACCGCGTGTGCATAGCTCGTGTATTACATGGTTGGGCCGTGTTGAACATGACGAGCCGCACAGAACTTGGCACATGCGGCAGCCCATCCCGGAGATCTTCAGGTACGCTGACCGACGTGCACGAAATGTGGAATCCCACAAAACTGCGGCAAGATGGAACGATGCAAACTAGAAAAAACTAGAAAAAACTAGTTACAATCTCCGCACAAGTGCGGGGGGGACGACGGCACGCCTGAGCGCGACGTGCCTGGTCTTCCAAACCTTCGAAACAACACTACCAGCGCCACAAAACTCCAGCGAGAAGGAATAACGCAAACCCAGATAGGACAACAACTGATCTGTAATCAAGCGAGTCACATACGCTGTCGCCATCCAACATCTTGGCTAGATGACTGCCATCAACAATCGCTTTCGCCTCAAAAAGTGTTAGCACGTCCTCAGCGGGCGGTCCCAGGTGGAGGAAGAGGAGGAAGACAGATGTATACGAGGCCAGCTCCAAGTCGGCCGGGGCAACACGCCACGGAGAACGGAGATGCCTGGCCTAGACCCAGGCCCCTTTTTACCACCTTGCCCCAACAGCAGCACTATTCCTCCCTGGCGACGGAGATCTATCCTAATGCGTTGCGCGGTGGGTTGAATTTGAACTAGGAGCTGTCTCCATGAGATCATGCGGTAGGAAATATAAAGTAGCATGAAGCAGCGCCGCCTCCATCAAAACCCATTAACTGTGTCGGACGCCTTCAGGGCGACAGTGAGGGACCAGAGCACGCGGCACGAATAACCGGGTTGGCCCCGCACGACCTAATGGCGGACAGCAAGATGGCGCTGGTGTGCATGTAAAAACCGAGCCAAAGTACCCGGCCTTTGGTATCTGTTTCCGATGGCTGGGTTTCAAAACCGCCTCAGGAAAGCAGTACACTACAAAACACGCAAAAAAATCCATAGCAAGCGAAATGACACGTGACTCTGGTTGGCAGGCAGTAGGACAGGCAGTGCACCATTTGCTCAAGCAAGAAGCACTAACGCGCGCATACTTTGCTCGCCACCAGGAGCATCAGATAGGCATCCATCCGTGCAGCCAATCGATTTGGGCGGGTACATCCGTAGACATACTAACTCTACCGTATACCTTAGGCATGTGCCCGACCAGCCACTTTCCGCTCCCAACAGCTGCAGCTTGGTGTGAACCTGCCCGGGAAGCCACGCTACTGCACGTGCAGCCGCGTGCATGCACACATTGCACTGTCGCCTTTGCGTTCGACTCCACATTTAAGAACCAATTCGCTAATTTATCAGATCGATTATGATTTTCTTAGTATTTAAGTTGCAAAATGGAGTAGCCAGGCCGGCTGGCAGCTAACTGACAAATTTCATACCCGATGTATCAGGAGGGCATGGGAAGATCCGTGAAGTGCCAGAACGTCGAATCAGTTTAAAACATCTATAATAATGATTACGATGATCGGATGCGCCTCTCCATGCGATGGACTTGGGTCTGTCACGAGGCGCCAGGATGAAGTACATAACTCCAAAGTATATAAACCATTTTAACCAATCGAGATTACGAACCTATGCTTGGCAAGCGATCATTTCTTCCCCTCATGGCGAATCGAAAATGTGTTGTCGTGGCGGGTAGAGTGGTTATTGGTGGCATGTTGGCCAAGGCGCATCCAATCCGCATCCCAACGGCGCAGAAGCGAGCCTAGCGTACTGAAGCTATTTGCGGTGAGCAAGGATGTGGCGAAGCATGTCAAAGTGTCCACCTGACAATAAGACGTGCATCAAGCAGCCCGAAGGGCCTGGCCGCCTTGCCCAGTAGCCCGGCAGCAGACACGCCTCCGCCTGTATCCAAACGTTGGCACACAAACGGGCAATAAAGCAAGGAATTGCTGTTTTGTTTCAGTCGTTTCAGCAGCTTAAGTAGGCGCATGATTTCAGTAACCCTTCAAGGATGACCCCAACATCCCGGATAATCCCTGAAAGGACATCCAGGGACTTCCTCAGGGTTGAGCATCGGCGACTGCGACGACGGAAGCCGCTAGAGCCCATGATAACCATATGTGAGGTTTCTAAGATTTTAGAGGAAGTTGCGAATTTCCAGGGAAAACATCGCTAAGATTGACAAGGACTTCCTGCGTGACTGGCGGGCGGCCGCTCAGGCCAGACATGCAAGAAGACACTGGTGGCAGCATCGCTTTGTTAATGCAAGGATGGGATATAGTGCGTTCCTTAAAGCCGGCGGGAAAGCGTTCATCAACTTAACGTCGAGCCCATGGACGAACACAAGGGTCCGTTGGAAAATCGCTCCGCATACTTCACTACTCCGAAATATGAAGGACCCAGCAACAATATACAGTCCTTGACAGTGCTATAAATCCTTTGCAGGCACAACCACGCGCACATCGCAGCACCTTACCTCTTCCAGCTTCCAGGACGGCGTTGTAGTAGAGGTCCAAATCCGATGGGCAAGCTTACCATTAGCTTGTCATCAATCGGTTTACATGTGAATATTTATTATTATTACTACCTGTGCTGTCCGTCAGGCTGGACTTCGCCCACGCTTCACTCAAACGGAACTAAGGGTTGTGTGTGTGGTTGTTACAGTGGGCTCCAGACTCCCGAAGAGTAGAGCCATCGGGCCAGCTGGCCGTGCACTGCAGTAGAGACTAAGGGTTGCCGGCGTGGCAGCCACCTACCGACGAGGCGGGCAAGCCACCTGCCGGACTTAATGCCTACTACTACATGGGAGAAACTCCAAGACAGCCTTGGAATTTTACACCTAATATAGCCATCGAATGCTCCGAGACCAGCATATGAGACGATTGCAATAACTTAGTCACCCAGCGCGCAGGGATTAACATAAGGACCGCAAAGCCACCGGACCAGAAAATAATATATCTGTGTTGAAGAAAATGTCACTATCGGGCAGCTTTCGCTACAACGTGCTCTATGCCAGGCCAGTTTCCTCGCATGCCAGGCCAGTTTCCTCGCAAGGATTGCTGAAGTCTTAAATTGACATTCATAATATTACATTGCACATAAGGATATATATGTCGATTTTTGTTGGGCGGGTGTGAACGTTTTCACGTATTGCATTAGTCATATATACAGTTAGACAATAGAGAGCATACAGTGCTCTTCGCGGGCATTTACGAATGACAACAATGGACAGATCAATTGAATAAAATCCAGATTCTGCACAGCGCCTGCGGCGGCAGCTGTCAATATCATGCGGTCAATGTTTTCAGCTTCCTGCCCTTTTCGCGCGCGAAGGAAGCGGCGTGTGGTGGGAAGCGGCCTGCGTTCGATAACATAACAATGGGCACAAATCATAAACCTTTGTTGGTGCAGGCAAATGCTTAAGCACAAGAGCCCAACGGAAACAGGAAAGGAGTTTTCGAGGGTTAGGCGATGTTAGGACACGGCGCAACTCGTCGCTAGCCCCCACATACACTTGCGCTCAATGGTGCAAACGCAAAAAAGGCTACACCATGTCACTATACTTGAAACAGGAGCTTATGTTGGGATTTTCTAGGATTACAGTGAGAGCTATTATGTAGCTTGCAGCTAGTCCCTAGCTTCCGATACTCGCCCCACGTGCTTGATTCACTTTTTCCTAGGCTGCCCAGCGCGCAAACAAAAACACTTAGGCGCTAAAGATGGTTAATTTAATTAAACTAGCACTTCCTTATTAGCTACTGTTCTTCCTTGTGTACGTTCCCTTGCAATGCTAGCTGTCGTTTTTGCTGGGAAAGAGAATCTCCGCCCGCCAGCCCACTGCGGCAGAATGTCATTTATTTTGGGTCAGACGACGGCCGGAAATGTCATATGTATTTAAGAACCGATGCTTCAGGGAGTTCATCCACAGTTCTCTACGGACTTGGAGAATACGAGGGGCCAACAGGCAGTCCGTGTTGGCATAAGTTAGATGGCTGCAAAACTGTTTGCAATCCTCTCATCCCCGGTCACCGATACACCGCACACACTCTGCCCTGCGGCCCCAATCCTTATTCGAGGGGGTCACGGGCGATGTGGGTCACACACGGGGTTACTGACGAGCCCTGCTATAGGCACCTTACCTGTTACCTGTACGAAGCGCGGCAGCGGTCTACCAGTCCCCCCACCATTCGCCTGCGTATAACGCGCTCTTGTCAAGTCCGCCTCACCGAGCTGCGGTCACCCCGCTCAGCTTATTCCAATGTGCCTGCTGGACTCCGGAATATTCCCCCCAACACACACATCTCTCACCCTTTTCCCCTTCCCGCCTTCTCCCCCCCCCCGCCCCAGCCCTCCCTCCTCCCTCCGCACCGCCGCCCCAGCTCCAAGCAGTACCGCCACCACCACCACCACCACCACCACCACCTTTCCCAGTCCCGGTCTTCTGCTAGACGTCGCTCCGTGTCCTCTCTCGCTTGCAGCTGATGGTCATGACGCAGCAGCTCATGGTGGGCATGCAGTTGATGGTGGGTGGTTCCACACGGCCACCCAACCCCCCTTACTATCTACGCCCGAGAAGGGTCGCGGTCCGGGGGTCAATCCCACACAGCCTTCCCCTACCTCATCCTTCTGGGGATCATTGGCTTGGTAATTTACGTATGTATACATGAATGTATTGGTATATGTATATGTGTGTGTGGCTTTTTTGTGGATATCTTGTGCACGCATGTGATGTGCGCCTGGATGTGGATGTGTGCTTAGGTAAAGGCTTGTTCGCCTGTCCCGGGCACCCCGTAACCCCCTCCTGGTGTAACCACATATATACATACACATGTACACATGTGCACTCTCCCTAAGGCCCCCAGCTGAGCTTTGCTTCATTGGTCCCACCACACATCAAGACAACGGCCGAATGTCATCACAGACATTTATCTCTGTTCGAGATGTTTCCGGGCCCGGAACCTCCTCCCATACCTGACATCGTGCACCCCCTTACCCCCCCTCTTCACCCTCCAACTCCACCAAACATGATGGGTGGCTTATGCCCTGTCCGCCACAAACACACCTCCACATAAAAAAAGAAAAGGTAGCTGTACCTGATACCGCTTCCCTACAGGTCAGCTTCTATCCCCTCTTTCCCGACCGTTCTCGGCGACCTGTTCCGCGCCCACCAAGCCTAAGTCGACGTCCCAACTTTTCCCCCTTTTTTGCGCTTCCTCTGTCCCATCTATCCTCCCACGCACCCACACACCATCGCCACTATCACTAGATACCATCGCCATCACTACCACCACTTTCCCTGCCTACCTTCCCGTCCTTCCTTCCTTCTTTCCCTACCCTCCCTCCACTATCCCGTACCAATCAACCCATAAATCCGTCCACCGGTTCATCTGCCAATCCATGCCAACCAGCCAGCCAGTCCGTCTGTTCGTCTGTCTGTCTGTCTGTCTGTCACTCCGTCACCACCACCTCAGGAAAGGGAGAGGCTGAACAGCTGCTCCCGCTTACGACGAAATGCCCCTGGGTCCTTGAGCGGAGTGGCCTTGCCGGCCAGGACTTGGGCATCAAGGAAGTTCTCCAGGTGGGCGAGTTCCAGCTGGCAGTGCGGGGGGTGGATTAGGAGGAGGTTTTAACCGAGGATGCATTCAAGTAGCGCGTTCAAGTAGGACAAGGTCAGGGGGTTAAGAGTAGTGGGGAGTAGGGGGAAAGGGAGGGGAGCAGTGCTGGAGAGGATCAGGAGGGGCGGCGGGCCGGGGGGGGGGGACGGGGGAAGCTGGTTCGGTTGGGGGTTAGGCTGCAGGAGCGGATGGAGGAGTAAGGGAGCCGGGGCCAGAAGGGTTCGTGCGGGTCAGTGGCAGGGGTACGCAGGCAGATAGGTAGGTAGGTAGGCAGGTAGGTGAGTGGGTAGAAAGAAAGAGAAAAGGGTAGAGACATAAAGACAACGGGGGTGAGAGAGGGAGAGCCCAAGGAACAGGGCAGAAGGATTCGGGCTTGTTGAAGTTTGAAGTGGTAGGTAGCGGGATTCTTGTTTCTGTTTGGCGCTTATATACGGCAGTACGACACATGAATGGTACGAGCAGCAGCAGGCACTGTGGCCACACCCCGATGCATGAGTATCCAGGAATAACAGCCCCTCCGTTGCCTCCAAGCTGCGTCCCCCTGTCCCCTGCCATACGTCCTGGGTAAGGTCCTTCCACCTAAAGCCTAAGCCCCCCCCACCCACCCCCCACATCTCCAGGTCACCCCAGCGCACATACACACACGCTCACACACCTTGTGCAGCTGCTCTAACTCCTGAGAAGGCAGGGACGGGAAAGGGAGGGAGGGAGGGAGGAGGAAAGGAGTCAAAAAAAGAGGCAGGGTAAAGGTCGTTGGTTGGTTGGTTGGTTCCAGAGGCGACGAAAGATGTTTTTAATTTGCCAGGCCCTCGCACGATGCGGTTGTGGCGGTTGTGGTGGTTGTGGTGGTGGACAGGGTTGGAGGGTAGGACGAGGGCCGTTTGGGTTGGGAGGCGCCGCCAACAATAGTACGAGGAGGCGGTGGAGGGAGGAAGCGGCGACGGTAGGACAGAGACAAGAGTTGCGGAGAGCCGGGTGCACTGCCACTACGAGCAGCACAGAGCGCACAACATGTCGAAACGGGATCCTAATAGCCGACTGGTTTAAGAGCAGCGCAATTACTCCGCATGTCTAAAAGTTACTTGATAGCCCCGAAACCCACTGATGGCGATACCTACCGCTCTGGCCACCGCTTCCTCCCCTTGCCTGTCTTTTTCCCATCCGGGCGGGGTCAGATCAGATCAGGTGAGATGAGATCAGGGCAGGTCACCCTCTTTCCCGCGCCCCCGGGGACCCTCGTCCGCCCCTCGCCCCCATCCGTGTACGGCACCTGGGCAGCAGCACGATGACGCAACTCACCGACACGATGTTCCGAAACCGCAATGTACGGCGCTCCGTCTCGGCCAGCCTCTTGAGCTCCAGCTCATCCCGGCCCTGGCACGAAGGAGCGTTCAGAGGGGGAGTGAACGTCCCCACGTTCCCCACTTCCCTTGAATGAGATTTATTAGCACTTGCAATCTGACACACCATATGCCCGCGTCGATGCTCGTGTCCTTTCCCGCGTCGCACATTTTGTTCTTTGGGCGGTCGTTCGTGTACCGGTGGTACGTGCATGCCCGTGTTTTAGCTTCCCCCTCTCAACCTTCCGTCCCTTCTCGGCGGCTGTGCCGGTGTGTGATGGTCGGTGGGTGTGCGGGTACCTCCCAGGTAACCCCCCCCCGAGTGAACGGCTGAAACACGTGGACAGCAACTTTGGGAGGTGCGGCCTACCCAGCTAGGGAGGAGCCGCATCTCACACCAGGCGTACGACTACCGTACCGTACCGTACAGGGATACAAGCAAACGCCGCACGGAGGAAAGGGAGAGACGCGACATACGCTGTCCGGGGTCAGGGGTCCTCGGCACGTGTGTGACACAACAAATCGCAAATTCCCCCCAAAACCCACCTCCCCAATAGCCCTAAGCCCCTTTGGAGCCCCCCCCACCTTGGCGCCTCTCTGCAGCAGCACCTCGTACTCATTCTGTTGCTTGGACTGCAGCTTGGCGATCTTGAGCTTGGACTCCGCCTCCCAGGCAGCGACCGTGGTCTCGAGCTCCGCCTTTCGTAAAGAGAGGGTTTAGGAGTGCCGGCAGGAGCGGGGAAGAAGGAGGAGGTGAGGCGGTAGAAGGGAGGAAAGAGGAGAAGAGGTGATAACAGGCTAGACGGCCGCAGTCTCCCTCCCTCCCTCCCTCCCTGGAGCAGCAGCAGAGCACAGCCACACCCGGTTATAAGGCCCTTCCCGTACCCTCCCTACTCGTTCAGATTGGGTCAGAGGGCTTCAGGGTTGGCCTTTAATTGGGAGACTTCTGGGGTGGGGTTGGAGGGGGTGGGGAATATTCGGTGGTGAAAAACAGAACGCCCCGCACCTGGTATAGCTCATCCGCCATGCTCTTGACCTTAGTAGCCCTGCCGTACAGCTTGGCCTTGACCAGCTTGTCCTGCATCTCCCGCTGCACCAGGTAGTCGCGGGAGGGGCGTGCGCGTGTGGGTTTCTTGCGCTGCAGGTCCTCCACGTAGGCGGCCAGCTGGGTGGTGTGACTGGACTTGAGGTCCTCCAGGGCCTTACGTGGGGAGGGGAGGGGAGGGGAGGCGAAAAGGAACCGCAGACGAGTGATGGGGGGGAGGAAGGGAGGGAGGGGATGTGGGTCGGTGGAAGACGTGACCCCGCAGGAAGGGTTCCAAAGACGGCTCCACCCACTGCTACCGCCAGCTTACGGGACCCGTTCCCCCAACCCGCCACCTACCCCCTTCCGCGTACGAATAGCGGTTAGGCGGTTTGAGTATGTGCGGAATCACCCGGTGCGTGTCTCTGCCTGTATGTCTGTCTGTATGTATGTGCGTGCATATACGTATATTTGATGGGTATATCTTCACCCGTGGCCGCTACCCGGCGAAACCTGCCTTCCCCGGTATGTCGTGGCACCCTCATCCAGTCACCCTAGTCAACTTCTCAGTGGATCGCTCAGGTTCCGCACCCACCGCCAGCATCCAACGGAATCTGCCGGATCGACAGCGGCTCAACTCCATTCCTGGTCAGCTCGCGAGTCAACTATATCCCAGGTCACCACCGTCCATCGATTATGGGCACTTTACCTTCCACCATCGGAAGGATTTTCGACCCTGACAGGTCTCGATCCCGGGATTTCCCGGGGCCAATGGTCCGCGCCTTACCAGTAGTGCCTAACCTATATACATACCTACATGTATACATACCTATATGTTTCTATGTGTGTGCATATGCCTGTGTATATATGTACATATGTATGCATACACACACATTGGATTTTAAAACCACCTAACCACCCGCACCCACCCTGTCGCGCTGTCATTCTCCTCCCCGTCCCCCGACCTTTACCCCCATTCCCAAAACTTCCATCGGCACACGCAGACCCCCTTGACCGGCCGCCCTGCCTCTCATTCACCTTGGTCACATTGGCCCCGTACTCCTTCATCCTCTGGTCCCAGAGCTGGTGGAACTTGGCGGTTTCCTCCTCGTACACCGCGTGCACCTCCTCCAGCTCCCGGGCCTGCTTGCAAGCCAGCTCCTGACGAAGACTGTCCACCTGAAAGGGGTGGGGGTGGTGGTGGACCGTGGGTGGGTGAGAATCGTGGGGTGGGGGGGAACGACGGGGGGAAGCCGGGGTGTGCGGAACAAGGGAGTCCTTCCTTCATTCACTTCCTCACTCCCTTCCGGCCAGAGGTCCTCCTTTACCCCCCCCCCCACACACACCTTCCACCCTCACCTGCGCTGTTCTCAGATCCGCCAGCCGCCGCGACGCCAATTTGGCCTCTTGATACCGCCCCTCGACCTCACATTTACGGCGGTGCTCCTCAAGTTTCGCCATGTATTGTACGACAGCCTCGTCCAAATGCAGGGCACCGGTCTGTACGGCACTTGCACGGTAAGAAGACGCCGCGCCGTGGCGGCAGAGGGAGGTTGAAAGGGGCCGGCCATGCGACACAGTTAGAAGGCGGCGCGGGGCGGAAAGAGGGTAGTGTTGGGTTGGGGGTGCGGGGGAAGACGAACCTAATGTGTGGCAGTGCGTTGTGTACATCCATGCTGTGAGGCTGAGGTTTAGGATGATAGTGTGAATAGGCGCCGGTATGTGTCCGTCACATTGTGCCCGTCTGTATATATGTGCGCAGTATATCTGTACGTGCATTTATCTGTCGCATGCACCTACGCATGTGTATATGACGAACGCAGCCGCGTATGTGTATGTGTGTATGTAGTTGAAAAACATGTTTGGGCCCCAGTTCGACCCCTCCAGCAGCCAGCCGCGTGACTCAGACCAGGTACCCTAGGACACCCTTGCTCGTACCTCCAAGTACGACCGACTCTTAGTAAGGATCCTGCGGAATGGCCGCGAGGTGCCGCCGCTCCCATCACCTCCTCCTCCTCCATTTATGCCCGCCGTCCAGCTTTGGGAGGACGAGGGTGGCGCAGTGTCCAACCGGAATGGGGGACCCCCTGCTGCTGCCGCCCCTAAAGACAATGAGGTGGACAGTAGATATTGCTGCTGCTGGGGCTGCTGTTGGGGCTGCTGTTGCTGCTGCACCTGGCCTCCCTGAGCCTGACCTAGCATCTGCTGCTGAGACTGAGGAAGCGGCTGACTTGCGTGCTGCTGTGGTATGAACTGTTGTTGTGTGAACTGCTGTTGTTGTTGTTGATGTGCCTCTCCAGGGGTGCTTTCCTGGGTGGTGGAGATCATCCCCACAGCGGCAAGCCTGTGCGGGGTTGGGTGGGGCCGATGTATCGGCATCGGCTTTATGTATGTGTACATGTGTGTGTAGGGGCCCCAGGGTGCGATGATGATGGCGATGATGATGGCGATGATGATGGCGATGATGATGGCGATGATGATGTGGGTTTTGCTTTGGAGAATGGTTTTGGTTGCGACTTATGTTGGTTGGGCGAGAAGAAGGGCAGATATTGAATGTTGGATGTTGGTAGTGCTGCTGGTATTGCCGCCGGACCGTGGGCTAGATCCCCCGCCTGCTTCACACTAGGCTTTTTTGTACGTCTCACGACCTTAACACCCCAGAGAATTTGAACACGTTAGAGCGCTGTATGGCGCTTACCTCAGTGTCCCACATCTTACGCATAGACAAACCCTTACAAGGTCTCAAACGTAGGTGGGCTTGGTAAGCCCCTCGTTCCTCTCGTTCCGATAAGGCCGGCCCCTTAACTTTTAAGTAACAAAGTTATTATCCTGACCCTGTCTCTGCCCACCAGTAACAACTCTTCTGGTATCCATGGTACTCACGCTTGGTCCCTTGTCATGCTCTCTGCGTGAGGTCCGGCAAGTGTGTTGACCACCCGCATGCATGTGTCCGGGGAGCTATTAACGTCCACAGCGGAAAGGAGGTCACCCAGCGCGGTCACCGCCAGCGTTCCGTCTTCCTGTGCAAAGTCTGAGAACAACTCCCCTGCTCGTTCGCTGGCACGTTGGCGTGAACCTGGTCGCTCCTGGCCAGCCTCAGGCGCATCTGGGGGCAGTGAAGCGCCGCTGACAGGAGGCAAGGCTGACCCATCCATGATCAGATCTTTCACAGAAGCCTTGTCTATGCGTAGACCCCGCGAACTACTTGTACGTAAACCGCGAGTCACGCGGGCGCTTACACGGTAACCCCTAGCTACATTTCTCTAATAAAGCAGTTTTACTTAATCGAAAATACCAGGCATTGTCCATTTCTGGCTTTGAGCAGGTGGAGGTGTTGCTTTGGTGCTTCAAACAGCATACGTTTTCAGTTAAATTAAGTAGTTATCTTTTGTGTGCAGCCTGGATAGCTCATTACTGCTCTTCGCTTTGATTGATGTAACCCTCTAAGACCACCCCGTACTGCGGGGCGTACACGACACGATATACTTTCACCTCCTTGCAAATCGGCAAAACTCTGCATCCGAGGATAGCATTATATGTAGGAGTTGAAGTCACTCCTTTCCAAATTGACCATGATCCAATCCTAGAAACGGACACGTCGGCCGGGACACCTGTCAGGCACAAGCGTTCTAGCGATCATGGAAATTTCACCGACATTCTTAGCTTTGAAAGTCTATTTTTGACCTTGCGTTCAATTATATGAGGTATACAGGTTGACGATTGGCTTGGTCGCTGTTTCCGGCTTACTTGACCATGACTGTTCGGCTCTTGACTATGTGGTCCGCTGGACTGATCTTGCTGGCGGTCTTACAAGTAGGCACTATCGCTGTATCAAGTAGTTGCCGGAAAGATTACGGCTCAGACCTTACCTCGATCGTCGCGCAGCGCAATGCCCTTGCCGAGGCCCTTCCGCCAAACGTAACCGCAATACCAAACGCGGATTTGGGCGCGGCGGCAGCTGCCGACTCCTTCATTATGAATAGCCAGTTAGCCTTAGGAGAATTGGAGCAGGCGAGTAACCGTCGTACACGAATCGTCCCGAGAGATGGCAACGGCCTTGAAACTTTCTCCTCGCACCCACCGCACCGGCAACATTTGAAAGCTCTGAATGTGAATGTGAACACGGGCGCACAGCCGCAGTTGCTGCCCGTGGTTGTTGCACTTCTGCTGATATGCTTGCAGCATGCTCCCCGCAGGGGACCGCAACAATGGCCGCCAATGAGCTGGTCGCGGGGGAGTCCTGCAAGCTTAGCGGCCACGTTGACGAATGCTGTGAGTACCACCTTGAACGCGTCGCACACTCACCCCACGAACACCACAGCAGGCAGTTCTCACCGCCCTGGCCCCCTGACCCAGCGAGCAAAGCCCAGTATAGCCATCCTGTGCGGGAGCCGGTCCGGTCCGGATCTAAGGCATGATGTCGTGTTTTGTTATTCTGGATCCAGCCGAGGCTTTGTGAGCGCGGCAGGGACAGGGGTTAAGGGGTGGTTTGTTTGTGTGAGGGTCCCCTGGAGCCCCCACGCACTCGGGTGCCAGATGCGGCAAAACGGACGTACGGAGCTGTTGGTGTGGAGGAAGGCCGTGTTACGGAATGCTTTGCCTATCGCCGCTGCCGCTCCGTCGCAACCTCTGCAGCCGCAACCGTCTGGCCATCCACGCCCTTGGGCGTTTCACTTCCCATCCGACCTGCGTCGTCGATATCCGTGCTGCTTTCCCTCGACCCCGACCCCTCAATCCTCGGTCCCTGCCCCACCGCAACCCCCGGATTTGCTACCCTCCAGCCTACCCTCCAGCCTACCCTCCAGCCTACCCCCCAGCCTACCAGCCTCACTTCTTCTACCCCATCACGTCCCCCTTCGTCTCCCCTCTCCCTCCCCCTTCCCCAGGTAACTGCACGTACCAGGATGTTGATAGGCTGAATGCGGTGGTGCAACCTCTGCTGCGGCAGCTTGTGCGGACGGCGTTCTTCCGATACTTCAAGGTAAACGACGGCAGGGGCCCGGGCCGGCAGCAGAGCGCCAGGGCGGCAGCAGCAGGGCAAGCAGTAGCAGCGGCGGCGATAGTAGCAGGGTGAGAGCAGTAGTAGCGGGTGCGGAGCTGCGGGACTGGTGCGGAGAGCAGTAGGGAGGGTGAAAATGGGCGAGGGAGGCAGATGTTGGCTTTACAGCCCTCGAACACACGGCCTCAAATCCTCCCATCCCCACCGCATATCCTCGTAACCCCAGGTGAACATCTACTGCGACTGCCCTCTGTGGCCAGATGACTCGATGTGCAGTCTGAGGGCCTGCAGCGTGTGCGAGTGCGAGCAGGCAGAGGTGCCGCAGACGTGGAGGAGGGAGGAGGAGGAGGGATGGTGCAACACAAACCAATGTGTGTGTGAAGGGGGGTTGGGGTGGATCTCGGGAAGTGGGGTCTCGGGGCTTGTGCTGGATGTCCCTGTCTCCTGCCCCCTAAACCCGCTTAAACACTACGTCGGGGGGTAGCCTCCTTCGGCCTCATAGCACCGGGGTTCATAGCACCGGGCCTTATATCACCCCAAGCCCCCAAGCCGCACCTGCTTTGAAGCTACTTGGCGGGTGTGTTCACGTGCTGGGAAGAAAGGGCTGGATTTCGCTTGGGATCCCCCCCCCTGCTACCCGCCATTCCCCCCTTTCCCCCTTCCTCGACCCGCCTCCCACCCCACACTCTTCAGGTGCTGCTGAGCTGGACAGCAGGGTGGACAGCACTGTGGATCCAGATACGGCATTACGATTGCTGAACTTGAAGGTAGGACAGGAGGTAGGGGCTTCCGTGTTCGGAAGGGCCGAGCTTTGCCCGGGGGGAAAGCCGGGCCATTCGAGAGTGGGATATCCTTGGCAGGCTCCGGCTCCGGCCCTACCCCGTCACAGGGCGTCTTTGCGCCACTGGGGGGAATGAATCGTGCGTCAGTGGGCAGATCCGTGTCAGCGGGTTACCACCTACATACCGCGGCCCCACCTTAACCCGCTGTTCTGCTCCTTGGCGGGCTCTCTCTGACCCGTGGGTCGTTCACAGGGCTGGCGGGGGTTCAACAACCCCTGGATGGCTGAGCCGGAAGGGGCTGACGACTACCAGTACGTCAACCTGTTGATCAATCCGGAGCGCTACACGGGTGAGGTGCCGCCGGTGCTCCAGGGTGGGGGCCCGTGTCTAGTACCCGGCGACTACGGGGGACAGGTCACTCGGGGGTCGTCTTTACGTGCACGGGAACGGTGACATATCGTGTCATGCCATGTCATGCTGTGCCGTGCTGCGCCTCTCCTCCTTTCCTCCACATAGCATGGTACAGTCTGCTCCTATCGTCCCCCTTTCGAACCTCCCATCCCAACTCCCCGGCCTCCAAACACAACATCCCCTACCTCCGGGCCACCCCCACCCCCAACTCTACCCCCCGCCACCACACACACGGGTTCGCCCTCCGGAGCCCTCCCGGGAGCTTTCCTTGCCTTCCTCCTCACCGCCAACATCGTCACTCAAAATATAGTGACTACCCCATCCCCCCCATCCCACCACCTCTTACCTCTTCCCCTCCACCCTCCACCGCCATCTCTACCTCTCACCGTCCTATCGCCCGAACAGGTTACGCTGGAGAACACGCACACCGCATCTGGAACGCCATCTACTCGCAGATCTGCTTCCAGCAACAGTCCCCTTCCCCCGCCACCTCCTCCTTCTCCTCGTCCTCCTTGCCGACCATCTCCCTAGCCGTTCCCACCATATCCCTCGCCTCGGATCAGATGTGCACGGAAAAGCGCGTGTTCTACCGTCTCATCTCGGGCATGCACGCCTCCATCTCCGCCCACATCTCCGCCAACTACCTGCTCGACGAGGAGAGGGGTCTGTGGGGCCACAACCTGACGGACTTCCGCAAGCGCCTGGGCTCACCAGAGCTGCGGTACCGAGTGGAGAACCTGTACTTCGCGTACCTCTTTGTCCTGCGGGCGGTGACCAAGGCGGGGCCGCTGCTGGCCCGCTATGAGTACGTGACGGGGCTGGAGGAGGAGGATGCGGCGACGGCCGCGCTGATGAAGCAGCTGGTGGGTTAGTGTGTGGGGGGGTGGGGGGGGGGGAAATGCAAGGTGGTGCAGGGTTTGGGGGTGAGGGGGGTGTGGGAGGGCGGGGCTGGGTGTGGTTGGTGAGGAGGGGTAGATGGGGGGGAAAGTGTCGAGGTCTGGATTTGAAAAGGGGGGGAGTTTTAGGGGGCATTGAAGGAAGGCTTGGCGGTTGGCTGCGGTGATGTGTAGGAGGGGGAGGGGCAGACTGGAGGGGGGAGGAAAGGGGGATGCGGAGCAAGGCACTATGTTGCCGTGATGGACAGAGCGCAAGTATGGTAGTATTCCAATGACCTTATCCTCTATTTCCTTCCCTCTCCTTCGTGCGCTGTGTGTGTAGCCCGCGCACGCTCCATCCCAACCCCCGACTGGTTAACCCTCCGTACATCCGCGTGGGCTTGCCTGTAAGCGTGTCTGTTTCTGAAGTTTGGTTTCGGAGCAATCCAACCGCAGGTCGAGTTGCCCGAGCTGCGTCCCTCCTGCCCCATGCCCTTCGACGAGGGACGGCTGTGGAAGGGCAGTGACGGCCTGGCACTACGCGAAGAGCTCAGATCCGCATTCATCAACATCACGCGTATCATGGACTGTGTGGGCTGCGAGAAGTGCAAGCTGTGGGGCAAACTGCAGACCTTGGGGGTGGCGACGGCGCTCAAGGTGCTGTTCAGCTCCTCCGACTGCAGCGGGACGCTGCCCACCTCGCCCGTCCTGAGTACTCTGGTTCTGGAGCGGAACGAGGTCATTGCGCTGGTGAACCTGCTGGAGAGGTTCTCGGCGAGTATAGAATACTACCGGTGAGTTCGCGTGTCGGTAGCTGCCTCGTGATTGTGATTGGTACGGATGCGTTGGAGGATGGGTAAGGAGGGGTTGGGTGGCGCGGGTAATGTGCGTGGATGGATGGATGGATGGATGGATGGATGGATGGATGGATGGATGGATGGATGGATGGATGGATGGATGGATGGATGGATGGAGGTGTGTCGCGTTGAGGGGTTGGTGTACTGGCGAGGGTGAGGGTAAATGATATCCATCATCCTGCGAAAAGGTTTTCGCACGGGTCACAAAAAACGCTGGCTGAATGTTTTACCAGGGTAATCTGGTACGGCTAAAAACCCGGCTTTTCCGCCACCACCACTTTACTACCACTCTCTCTCTCCCCCCCCTCCCTTTCCCACACCCACAGACACCTGTCTGAGGAGCTTCAGGCGCTGGAGGGCGCTGAGGCGGCTCCGCTGGTGGTGGCGTCAGGCGAGCCGGTGGCATGACACGCCCCCTCCGACGCACCCTCCGCCAGCCTCCTACGAGGGGCCCTCTACCGGACCGATTGGACTGCTACACAACATTGCGGTGATGCGGAAGGTGTCCGGAGGGGAGGTGCCCCCGCTCGAGGGTCGATACGTCCTCCGGGTGCTTCTCTGACACGGGTGCCGTGCCATGTTTCTGAGGTTCTCTTCCTTGCGTTGCAAAGCGATCACTCCCTCCTCGTGATATACGTGCTTATCGCATTCGCATGCGTACAAATATCCGGAGTACGGAGGGAGGGATTGTCGGTTTTAGTCGTGCATATTGTGGTGATGAGGTCTCGTCCGAGAATAAGACGTGGTGTTGGAAAGTAATGCAGTTGAAGAACGTGGTTGCGGTGTGTGTGTATGCGTCTGTGTGTGTGTTGGTGGAGGCTGTGGAGGACATGGAGTCAGAGGAGGAGGAAGCGTTGGGGGGGGGGGAAATGCTGTATAGGTGCAGTGCGAGGGCTGTACGGAAGGGTTACGGAAGAGGGGGTCTGCCCCAAGGACGTTTCTAATCGTTCAGGGAGCGGGGGGGGATGGGGTGCGGATAGGCCCCTCGGTAGCCGCCGGGCAGCTGCCAGAGCAAAACCTCCGCCGGCAATAAGACTTCCGAAGAATTAGAAGATGAGATATTATCCCTGAACCTCTTCCTTAGGCCGGTCCAGGGAGGGAGACGTGGCCGGGTGGGCAACGGTGGATTATGCGTATGTGTGTGCGTGTGAGTGTGAGTGTGTGGAGAGGGGAGAAAGCTGGCACAGCATGCGTGTTAGAAGGGGGAGCGAGGGAAGTGCCGGCCACGTGTTGTACGACAATATGTGATGTGGGTCGAGTGTTAATTGGAGGAGGACGACAGGTTTACTGACTGACTGACTGACTGACTGACTAGCTGAGTGGGTGGCTATGTACCGAGTTGGCCAGGGCTGCGAGATGAGCTGAGAGGGTGTGAGACGGGCGGACGGACGAACATACGGCAGCAGGGTTGGATAGCGGCGTGGACGTACACCGGGCGAAGCGGAGGGCACCCGGGCGCGGGCTGTGGGAAGGTGCTGTGTATGGTGAGCTGTGCGCTGAGTGATCTGAGTGATAACGGACCTGGGAATGTGGGCGGGGAGTTGCGGACCACAGAACAGAATAGAACAGAACAGGAAACTACTATGCGGCCGCGATGTGACGTGGCACGACACACGACATGGCAACCGATATGCATCAGCGGCCGAAATGAAGCGGCTCGTGAAGGTCCCGGTCTGAATTATATGCCTGCTAGCTGTAAGACCGTGTGGTCAAGGGAAGTAGGTGCTCCTGCGATATTAGTGGTGGTGGTGTTGGTGTAGGGGCTGGGCCAGGGGGAGATGGGTTTCGGAGCGCCGGAGCCTTAGGTAGTGGTCTCCAGGTGCGGTATCAGCCCGATTTCAGGCCGAGTCAGCACATATACCGAGCACATATCAGCATTGCGTGATTGCGAGCCCCTCAGTTCCTCTATGTATTATCTGTAAATACGCTTCGTGACACAGTTCAAGCTTGCTGCATATTCGTGTGCTTCCTGGTCCTGGTCCTCAAACACCCCGTCCTCGTCGTGCTGCATCGCAGGCTTGCATCTGGTGACAAAATGTAGGTAGGCCGCTTCATCAGCGCATACAGGGCGACAAGGAAAAAAGTGTTTAAATAAGCTCCTTGTGGTTAATTCGAGAAACGCAGGATGCGCGGAATGTTAGGTTGTGCCGTATCCGTCACAGAACAGGAGGCGGGCGGCTGGCGGGGCTGCGGGTCCTGGTAACGTTTTGACTATCAATCAACTCGTTGGGCTATCCATTCAGCGGGCTGCCAGACGAATTGATTTCCACTGCATGTTCCATTTTAGGACTCTGTAACCACGACCGGCATACAGGAAGCTTCTGAATGGTCCGAACTGAATAGTTCACAAACAAAAGCGCTCCGAGGTATCGCGCAGTGCGAGGCAACGGCGGCCAATGGCCCGAGGAGTCGTAACCCTCCGATGCGCGGGCGCACGCTGCCCTGTTCACCGCAAGACCATTCGACTTCCACTTCTTCCTACAGTACGACACATAGATCGTAGATGCCACTCATGCACGTGAAGTAATTAATCCCACCAAAAGTTGTTAATCAGAATCCAGAATCCAGAATCCGCCTTCGCTGTGCGCCTTCAACAAGTTGGGAGTCGTTACATATACATACGCACTAAGAGACATACAAACATACATACTGAGCTTCTCACCTGATATTAGCACCATACTTCAGCTACTCCTAGCCGTTCGTTGCAACGCACCTTGATCATCTTAAACCCGCTCACCGCTGGGGCGGTGCTCCCACCTAGTGTGCATCACTTCTCATAACAAAAACGGGGCACTCGAACTCCCGTCGCCATAGGGACGCTCTGCGCGCTGTCGCATTGCAGTCCCATCGTTCAGAGCCGCGCCGCCAGCAGCCCGGCTGAAAGGCAGCACGGTGCCGAGATCCACTCGTCCAACTCCATCCAACCGCCAGACTTAACTAACTTCCCTGCGGCGGATCAAAGAGCGGCGGACCCCACCCTCACAAACGCTCCAGCTACATCGCCTTGACAGATCTGGTGTCCGTGCCTCCTGCTTCCCCTCCTTCTCCTGCTTCTCCTGCTTCTCCTGCTTCTCCTCGTGTCCTTCAGCTTCTTAATTGGAGCGCGGCTTGGACACAGTCAGCCAGGTCCTGAGCCATCCACACTTACCCGCGCGACCAAAGCAGCCAGCAGCTTTCCTTACCGGGATCGTCCAAGGGAGAGGAAGGAATGGTTCAGATGTTGGGCGCTGGCATACGGGCCGGCTGCAATTCCCTGCATTTCCTGATGCTGGTGGTAAAGGTGGTCATAGTAGTGACGCTGTGCAGCATGGGCAGCTTTAGCGTCCCACTGGTGGCGGGGCGGAACATGGGGCCTGACAATGGTAAATCTCAGACCAGCCGCGCAGTCGGGGAGTGGAGGACGGCGCGCGCGACCCGATACGGTGAGCGTTTGAGGAGAAGGGGTGCATTGTACGGGCTCGCGACGTAACGCTCGCGACGTAATTCTCGCGACGTAACGCTCGCGACGTAACGCTCGCGTTCGCTGTTCGGTCTCGCCTCTTTCCCATACTGCGCTTGCTTCCCTTCCCGATAAGGCTTCGTTTAAAAAATTAATGTTTCTTTCACAATGCAGCATGACGGATTCTTTTGCTGTTGCCACATTGCGGTATTAGGCGATATTACAATACGCACCAACAACCAAGTCGACCAATAGCCGTATAGTAGCCGTACAGGCACAGCGGACTGTTCTCACTCTACCCTAGGGACACAGAGTGCCTCAAACGTCCCCTACCGGGTCACCAATGTGCCATTAGAAATCGAGACAACCGCTGCTTGCTGTCCGCATTTCGCTGTCTGTCCATTTTTGAAACCCCCCATACGCCCCCCGCCCCCCCCCACACACACATCCACACACGCACGCGCGGCCGCTCCTAACCTGAAATTACACTACTCCTTGATACGCTACCCTACCCCGCGGGGCATTCCCTCCTAACCTGCAGATGGGCCTGATGACTGGTGGTCCATCCACGAGGGCTCCTGCGGGTACGGGTATTTGGAGCAGGGGGTGGCCACCGGTTGGGACATTGCCGCTCTGTCCGACACGTGCGAGGACTACAGCGGCTCGTGCGGGTATGTACCCGCACCCGCACCCGCACCCGCACCCGCACCCGCACCCGCACCCGCACCCGCACCCGCACCCGCACCCGCACCCGCACCCGCACCCGCACCCGCACCCGCACCCGCACCCCTGGAGGGATGGCTGAGGAGCGTGTGGGCGGGTGGGCGGAGGATCCGTTGGTAGCTAGGTTGGCTAGGGTCCCGGGAGGGTGATGGAGGGCGCGGGAGCTGGTAAGGTGGGTAGGTGCTCGGCTGCAAGAGCGCTGCAGTGTATCTGAAGCCGGCCGGAAGGCATAGTGGTGGTAAGCCGCTAGGTCTCCTAGGCAGGAGGAGGCCGGAGTACGTGCGCGCCGCCGCGCGAGTACCACACGCCCGCCTAACCACCTCCGCATGGGGACCCGGGTGAGACAGGGCCGTCAATCTTGTGGGGCGCCGTTCTTCACCCGGACAGTTTTCACCCCTCTATGGGCCCGACCTCATTCCCGCTCGCCGGTCAACCTCAATCCCCCGCTCCCCCTAGACGCTGTATGGAAGTGAAGTGCGACCCCATGACGTTCACGGACGGCTACGGGCAGAAGATCGACCGCCGCCATGTGTGTAGGGATCCGGAAGCCAGCGTCATCGTGCAGGTGCGTGGGTCAGTGGGTCGGTTGGTCACCAAAACAAACGGGGACCTTTCCTAGACTTTTACGTCTCCTCGGACTCGCATGGGGCCCCGGGGGGGGGAGACTAGGTTGTTGTTACCGGATTACGTAACTCAGACCGGCAGACGCCGAGGGAATGGCTCAGTAAGGGACTTCCTCGGTTTTGCAGGCCGGGGTTTGGCAGTGCTCGTCCAACCTGTCTTTATGAGCCATGAATGATCCGCCTCGCGTCGCTCGAAGTCAAGAATCCGTTTCTCGCGACCCGTTAAGGGACACGCCTTTTGTCCCCCGCCCTTGAAGGCCCCTCCTCTACCCTCGTCTGTGACTCTCCCTTCTTTTCTTATCTTATATATCTATATCTATATCCATGAATGTATCTTCCTCTTTCACCCCTCCGAAGATAACCGACAGCTGCCCCTGCCACTACCCGGGAAATGCCTACTCCAACACTCGATGGGTGAGAGGATGAGGGGGCCCGTAAGGGTTGTGGTTGTGAGTGGGGTCGCTCGCTGCTGCTCTGTATATTCCGGCGCTAAGCGGGGGATTTCCTCTCCACATATGCCCCACTGTTTCCAGCTGCCAATCACTGCTAGCCTAGCCGCCAACCTATTGAACTGCAGCAACCAACGTAACTGCCAAACCAACTGCTATTCGCGCGTAACTGCTATCGTACCGCCACACAACCCCCATGACACCCCCATGACAGTGTTGCGGAGATCTGTATCACCTGGACTTGTCAGTTTGGGCGTTTGAAAAGGTGCGCACTTAAAAAAAAGAGTAGTCGTACATGGTTGTACGATAGGGATGCGGCACAATATATAGTCGGAAAGTCGTAGTCTGACGACCTCACGGTTCATAGACCAAGAGGCTCTCGTGCAATTTTTTCATTCTCCCGGGATCTGCTCACCTGCCGGCCGGACGGCACGTATAGTTCTGCCCCCCGGGTAGCATATTAGTGCAACTGGCGACATCTCCCGCTACCTCGTGTTATTCCGGGCGACCCACATCGCCGCTCTGACGTCCTTTGACCAGAAGCAAAATGTCCCTATATGTTTTGCACTAAACCTAAACTCTCTGTACTACATGCCTGAACGGAAATGTACGGCAGTTGTCTGAGAAGAGGTGGGGCGTCATTGGCCTCAAGGTACGGCAGGTGCCGTGCTGGCAGCGCCCCGCCAAGCCAGCTCAACCCCCCCCGGACGCCACACCGCTGGTGTCGAGACTCTTCCGGCCACACGACCAATGGCGTGACCGACGGTACGTGCCGTACGACGGAAGTACGACACCTGAAATGACCAGGCCATTGCTGAGCAGCCGGCCCCACCGTAACTTGTCGCTATCTGCTTTCCGTTTGGTGCGGCTGCTTATGGCCATCAGCCTTGAAAGCAGCATCGCCTCCAGTCCAAAGACAATACAACACTCGTAAGACAGTGATGAAGAACCGCTCATGGTCGCTGCTGTACCTGGATTATAGCCGCTGCTGCCATTCCCGCTTCTGTCGTACACGCAGGCCCTGGTGGCGCTGATCATTTCTCACCTCGCCACCGACTACTAGTATATCCCTACCCCGCTCGCTCGCTCGCTGGTCCGATTTGAAATTTCGTCTCTACTTCGATTGCTGCAACTGCTTCGGTTTGAGCTGCAATTGCCACCGCAACGGTTGGAGGGGAGCATCCGCCCGATCTCACGACTGTGGCGTTTTTGCTGCAGATACACATACATTGCTTCCCGGCTGCTAAGAGTCCCTCCTCCACCACACACACCCCGCCACCACGGCAAGGCAGCAGCTGCAGCTGCAGCTTTGGCGGCTCGCAGTCCTTGTCTGCGTGTCCGTGCTTTTATCAGAAAGGACAGCAGCGTGCGCATTTCACGTTTTTGTGTGTATGTATGTATGCATGTATGTATGTATGTATGTATGTATGTATGTATGTATGTATGTATGTATGTATGTATGTATGTATGTATGTATGTATGTATGTATGTATGTATGTATGTATGTAAGTGTGTATATATGACACCCGAGACTGTGTTGTCAACCGGGGGGTAGGGCAATCTAAGTAAGTTTTACATGTCTTATGTAAGCCGTACATGTACGACCAGCCCGCAAATCCATCCCATGGTTTTCGTGTTGTTTTGTCGTTGCGCCGCCGTTGCTGCTTTTGACGGTGTTGCAAATGGCGTTGCTGTTGTTCCTTGTTGGCTTGTTGTTGTCGTATTTGTACTGCACTTCGTACAAAATGCTGCCTTTATAGCGGCAGCATTGCGCATCCTACTCTGTTGAAGGAATATCGATTACGGGCGGCGGGAATCTGTGGACCTGTGGCCGTGTTGGAGCTCCTTACGGTTGGCGTTACAATGGACAGCCGCGACGCGACGCACAGCTCCGAAACCCGGGTGCCCATCCTAAGCGACATGCGTGCTTGCTGCATGACGGCGTTTCCGTCCACCATTTTGCCCAGTGTCCGCGACATACCGAATGTACATCTTGAGTACTGGGTGTTGCTGAAATGAAGTTAGCGTGTTCGAGTGCTCGTCATAGCGCGTTATAAACCGACGGGTCTGGAGGCAGGTGGCGGCGCACGAGGCCACGGGCATTAACCGATATTTGGATCCTGCCACGGCCCCGCGTGGCTTGCTGCCGCCGCTCGCCCGTTGCCCGTTGCTGTGTCCGATGCAGCTAAAGGTGTTGCGGGTTAGCGCGTGCGCGTTTATCCGTATGTATGTGTGTATGTGTGGGTGTGTGTATGTGTGGGTGTGCGTTTGTGTGTGTGTGTGGGTGTGTGTGTGTGTTTTGTGTGCGTTTGTGTGCACGAATAAAGTGAGCCGCGAGAAGGTTGTTTTGTGTGTGCGTGTGCGTGTGCGTGTGTGTGTATGTGTCTGTATCTTTTTGGTATGGGTGTGGATGTGTAGCCGGGTTCTGTAGAGGGCTGGCTGGGTACCGACGCTTTCAGTTCTTTTTCCTTGGACGATTTTCTCCCCGGTCCTAGGGCGCAGTGAAACCGCGTGGGAGGGTCTCTTTGAGCTGGAGGAAGCAGGGTGTGGGCGGCGGCGACCTTGAATGCATTTTCGTGTTGGCGCGTGAGTGCGTGAGTGCGTGAGTAAGCATGGCTCCGAATGAGAGAGAGAGAGAGAGTGTGTGTGTGTGTGTGTACCTGTGTGTGAAGGCGCGTTGTACCGCAAACACCCTGTTGCGCTACTGTGTGTGTGACCAAACGAGCTGAGCCCGGGGGGCGTGGTTTGTGTTCGGCGAGCGTGTGGTCACGTACGACTTGTCGCACGACATCTGCCGTAGTGACAGGCGTACTCTAGTTCTCGAGGCGATTGCGAGTGGTGAAGACAAGTTTTCGAGGCGCCCCGGGCGAGCCGTGGGGCCTCAAGTGAATACGGGTATGTGTGCGTGTGCGTGTACCGGAGGGTTTTGATGAAACGCGCCTCATGAGCGCGACGCGGTCAGCTCGGCTTTGTGTTGGTGAACACGGGTAAAAGGAAGAGGGTGACGGAAGGTGTGTCTTCATCTTAGCTGGTTTTGCGACGGGTCGCTGTAGAGAGTTCAGCTGGAGCACCGTAAAGTGCTTTGTAAGGATTTGGTCCTTTAAGGTACGAAGACACCGGCTTTAAGATCTCGTGGGCGTTCATGGGGTCATCGCGAAAGTGTGCGTGTGTGCGTATGTATGTGTGCATGTGTGTATGTGTGGGTGTGGGTGTGTAGAGTACGGTACATACAACAAGAGAAGACAGGGCGTTCCGAAAGGGTTGGATGTGAACTACGCGCAGCCTTGTTGACGGTGGAGATGCTGTATCGCGCAATTAGCTGCACCGGTTCGATAGAGTTCGATTCTAGAGTCCTGGAGCTGCGCGGTAGGCAGTAGGTCGTTAGGTGCTGCGGTTGACGACTTGTCAAGGACGTCAAGGGCGTAATGATTCCGTTGCACCTTGATTGCCTGGGTTAAAGTGTGGACGGACGAGCGACTGTACGAGGGCATGCATTTTGTCCTCTTCTGAGTGGATTGCGACGGACGTCGTTGATGGATCTCTTTGGCAGGAGGGACGATATGAGACGGGTGTAAACCGGAGGTCATGATTCTGGTCAGCGCGCTTGACTCTTGTTCGTGTTGGAGCTGTGTGACGCACGCAGGGTTCCAGCGGCGGCTTTGTAACGTACGTCAAAAACTCGAGATGCGTCCCTAAAGCACCGTCCTGACAGCTGGTTCTACTTTTCGTCCTATGCGGACGTGGGTCACGAGCGTTGAAAAACAATGTCACCACAGGCCGGCCGAAGGAATCAGGCGAAAGAAGAATTGTTTCAGAAGTAGGAGATCTTTGGATCATCACGTGCTGACATGTAGCCGCAGCCCCCGCAGCCCTACCCGCGAGCAGCAGCACGCGGGTAGGGCTGCGGGGACGCGACGGGGTGTCGGTGCGGGCATGACCGGGAAGCTACATGGAATACCATGCGGAATTCATGGCTTTCAGTACCGCGAGGATGGAATTTTCTTTTTGCGTGCAGCGTCCTGGCAGGTAATATGCCTGGTGTCCTATAGCCTTCAGGCTTGCTGTACAGTTGCGTTCGAGGTGCCCGATAGGACAGAGCGAGGCGGAAACGGGGCTGCCAAGGGCCTTATACTATTGCAGGAGCTACTTGGAATACCATGCGAAATTAATTCCTTACGATACCGCGAGGATCAATTTTTCTTTTTGCGGGCAGCGTCTTGGCAGGTAATATGCCGGGATGTCGTAGCTTTAGTCAAACTTTGAAACAAGGCAACTGACAATCAAGCAAGCTCATTTCCTGGTTAAACCCTCACATAAGGATGGCCTGGTTTTTCCTGTCCTAAAGAAGCACTAGCTTGGACAGCAGCTTTTGCTCAGAACCGCGACGCTCTTGCGGAAAGGAATAAGGCGGAAGCATACATTCGTATACAACTTTGATTTGAATTAGTAAAAAGCGGCATCAGCTGTAAGGCGGCCGTGGCCCAACATGCAGCGTGCCGGCAGACCTCGCTCCCCAGACAGGTACTCAAATGTTTTCAGGGTTCCGCAGCTGTGCAGTAATCCATGTTGAAGCTCTGAAACGTCTGCATGGGCGCGCTGGTCGTCACATACCCCTTTGCCGTAGCGCCAATTACCTACTGCCATGGCGTCCGGGGGCCCCTGGCAATTGATGGTGCACGCAGATGGGCAGGAAGTCCTCCTGGGCCGGGATGGGATCGTGAACGCAGCCGTTCTAGGTCGCGGAGCCGCTCGCGATCACCCCGAGGCGGTGGAGGGGGCGGCAGGTGAGCTGCGTTTCCCTTGAGTTGCCCTGGAGCCCCAGATGACATCATGGCGGGCTTTTCCATGAAAAGGCAGAACCCCGTCCGCATCTTTTCCGTCTGTGACACCCCACGCGGCACGTTGCGGCACCCGCCCCCCCTTGGGGCAAAACTCCCGTCCCTCACACCAGGCCAGATCGGATGCACTGTCTCTTTCTCCCTTCCTTCCTCTCTCCCGTTCCACTTGTGTTGTTGTTGTTGTTGTTGTTGTTGTATTGTTGTTTTTGGTTTATCATGACTATGACCAGGACTTGGGTTGACCCCGCTTACCCCGCCTCCCAAATTTCATCGGCATCCTCAGCTCGTTAGGCCTGAGGATAACTAAACTCCACCCAAGGCAATACTCTCTCCTTCACTTTCGCGCCCTATCTTTAAACTCCGCTTTGCCGGTGATTGTGTTGGTGCTACGGTCGTAATGCCTTCTGGCGGCATGACCACGCAGGTTTGGCGGGGGTGGCCGAGGTCGTGGCGGCTACAGCGGTGGACCACCTGGCCCTGGCGGCTACCGGGGGGGCCCGCCACCTCAACGATACAACGGCGGCTACAGCCCTGGCCGCGACGGACGCAGCGACGATAGCGCCTCTTCGTCCTCCTCGGGAGAATCCGGTGAGTGGTGTGGCGAGACTCAGGGGTGTGGAGAGACAGGGTGGTTTCGGAGAGCTGCCAGGGGAAGCAGGAAAATGGGAGAGGCAGACACTTTTTCTCTGCCCTCAGAAGAAAACACATTCGATTACAGACACACAAACACAGAATACGTAAATGTGCTGATGATACGGGCAGGGTGAAGAGAAGAGATGAAGAGATGAATGTGACAATCGTTTCGTGTAGAACGGATGGATATGTCTCTGCAGGTTTGGATGGACTCCCTCACTTGCTCGCCAGGGCGAGGGTGTGTGTTGTGGGGAGAACGTAACGGGCCGTTAGGCCTTGGCCACCGTGCGCGTATGTATATACGTTTATGTGTGTGCATAGGGAGGGATGAGGGCAGCCTTGCTCCCGTGTGCCTCTCCTACATGTGCCGCCAGGCATTGGCCCATCCTTCCGCACCACTCATCCAGCCCCCTCTACACGTTCATCCCCAATGAATTGTTGTCTCTCCACGCCCACCTTGCTGACGTTCCTCCCCGTCTCAACAGATCGAGGGCCCCGACGTGGACCACCAGGCCGCGGCCGCGCCCTGCCCGGCGCCGACGGAGCTGCCGCCGCCGGCGGCGGCGGCGCTGCCGCCACCCGTCGCGAAGTCGAGCTTCAGTCCCAAGTAACTGCTCTGGAACAGGAGCTCGCCACTCAGAAAGCGGCTCACGAGGCGGACCGGAAGAAACTGGAGTTTGTGAGCGACAAGGTAGAGAGAGGGGTTGGATGGAGGAAGACGGGCCTCCGCTCCTTCCCCACAGGCATCATCACATATGCCGCCACCACCAACCCACTCAGTTCACAGCTTGAGATACCCGTCACTCTGGGAAGAGGGGTCCTTGCCGATTATGGCCCCCTGTCACAACACACGAGATGTGCCCGCCTGCTTGCGTGCACACGCCTTGTCCGCATGCCCACAGCTTCCATCACTTCGCCCCCTCCCGTCCCGCCCTCTCGGTCCCCTTCCTCGTCCTCAGGTCCGTGCCGTTGCTGAGCGGTCCAAGAACCGCGGCAACATGCTGGTTCGTCTTGTGGCGGCGTTACGAAGAGTGGATGGCGCCAGGGTGGGCGTGGAGGCGGCACAAACAGAGCTGTCCAAGGCACAAGAAGACCTGAACACGGTGCGTGTGAGGGGGGAGGAGGGGGTAAGAGAGATGTCATTGGGGTTTGTCGTGAAGGCTGGAATCCTGGAACAGAGCCCAGGCACAGGTCAGTTCGGGCTTGCCTCAAAAATCCCTGTTTCAGGTTTTTGGCGAGAACGATGCTCTATTGTTTGATTGCGTTTGAAGCGGAAGGAACGCATCTTAATGCGATTGTTGCTGCTGCCTCTCGTCCTCCTCTTCCTGCTGCTGTTGTTGTTGCTAGTGTTGCCCCTCTTCCTCCTCGTCCCGGGTGATCCCTGCTCTTCCTCTTTCCCCCCTTCTACTTATCTTCCTGTAACCGCCTATTTCTATTGCTACTGCAACTGCAACTGCACCAACGTAACGCCCGCACATGGGACTCCACACGCCCTCAGGTGGTTCAGCAGGCAACGGTGATGGTGGAGGGTGAGGAGGCGGCCTTTGCGGCAGGAAAGTCCGAGCCACCGTCCGGCCCTGCGCCTCCTCAACAGCATCCGCAGCAGGTGACGGCAGCGGCGGCTGGAGGGCCGCCACCTCCCCCCCCTGGAGAACCCCCGGGAGGCCCATCTAGCACAGCTGCGCTCGTTCCAACGGGTCTTGGGTCGGGGCCAATGGACCGACGGGGATTGGAGGACATGGTGGAGGGCGGTGGTGGGTGGAGCGAGGCGGGGGTAGCTGGGGGCGGCGGGGAGGGGCGGCCCAAGGCGCTGAGCTTTAAACTTCGTATCCCTACCAATGTGTAACAATTTGCATGCCGTGTGGTGCGGGCGTCCATCTGAGCCAGTTTCCAGGGCTGCGGAGAGGGGGAAATTATATGCAAGGAAAAAAGGAATGAACTACCGCTATCCGGAAAGGGGGGTCGGGGGGGCCTCGAGCAACACCTAGGTGTGTGTGGATCAGATCTCTTTTTCCGCGCGATCCAGTTTTTGTTGGCTCCGCTGTGGGAAGACATGTCTGGGTGGCGACGACCAGCAGGCGCGTCTTCGTGCAGTCTGGCTCTGCTTTTTGGCCGCCTCGGCATGCTGGGGCTTCGGTGTGTTGCGTCCGCCACATGCGCCACCCCCAGCCACCTGTGGTGGTGGCTCTCCGGGGCCGTTTACTTGGAGGTCACGTCCAGGACACTTTTGAGTCCGTCGTGAGCCGCCTAGGGCGGTGTGGGCTTCACTTGGGGGCCTGGGCTTGAGGGGCAAGCGGATCGACTGCCTGACGTTTTTCATATGAAACAGGTGAATTGACGAAGAGGCATACAGACAGACGCGTGAAGTATGGCGGAAGGGCTACTATGGGGTTTGTGATTATGACGATCACGTTTATGGTAAGGAAGAGGGGATGGAGGATGCAAAGAAGCGCATGTCGCGCCCTTTCGTGTTTTTTATATGTGATGATGATGCGGCTTGCGACGCTCTGCACCTTAGCCGTCTCTCCGGCCAAGCTGGGCCACAGTTTTGGCGTGCTACTGAGGACTCGAATGCCTGAGGCCGGCCGTACTTGCGAAGAAAGCGGCGAACGGCTATGGAGTGTGCAGGAAGGTGTTGTGGTCAGCCATAGCAGACCGGCTGAAGGACACTGCGACACGGACCTGTGAATGGTAGGGTGGCGTGGATTTGCGATGAAGAACAGCTTAACTGCAGCTGTCATGTTGCAAGCTGTGCGTTAGCTACCGAGGTGCTGGCGTGGAAGGAGGGAGGTGAACCTGGGTGGCAGATGGTTAACACGGCAGAGGGCGAAAGAGAAGGAAAGCGCATAAGAGAACACTCAGGCCCGGGAGGTCTCCCTGTCATCATCTCGCGTCTGAACGCGTGCCTACCGGCGTCATCACATCTCACAACGTTGTACTCGAACACACGCGCGCGCAAGCGGTCCTCCGCTCCATATCCCTCCCAACAGGCAGGTCCATGCCACAGGCTAGGTACCTTAAAATACGACACCGCTGTCGGCGAAAGCAGGATTCCGATGCGAGGAAGGACGGCAGGTAGGAAAATTCGTACGAGTACGTACGCAGTATGCTCAAAAGCTTGGATCATATGTGCCAGACGTTTTTTGGACGGATTGAAGTGTCACGCAAAAACAAAGAACGTGACGCCCAGCTCCCCCACACTCCCGTCATCAAGGGATGTGCTCGTGCTCAATGGTTAGTCGGGCGGCTTTCAGCGAAGTGCTTTGGACAAGAGGGTAAATGCAACGAAAGGAATACAGACGCCGTCAGATGCCTCGGACAGAACCTCTTTTCCTCGGACCCCCCTGCTGATCAGCGTCTGCATTCCTTAGCGCTCAGGGCTGATGAGGGTGTAACCAGCTCCTGCGTGGCGCCTTTCGTAGCGACCAATGCAGGAGCCGTGACCCACGGGGCCGTCCACTGCACGATCCTGCCATGCGGGGCCCCACCCAGCTCGCCTCCCTGTTCAGCTCATGATGATATATCCCGCTCTCACTGGCCACCAATTACATATAAATTATCACCAACAGACAAACGTATACATACATACACACACGCGGCTCGGATCAATAGAAGTCATGCACCTACAATGGATGCCCTGGCACTCGGATTTTCCTCCATTTGTCGTACTTTCGCCCTTTGGGTATTGCGGCGCCACACACGCACCACAGGCGCTCATATGTTGGTAGGCAGCGACACACACTCCTGTTTCGAGGCGGCTGCACAAAATCCGCACCTGCCCTCAACCTGCCCGTGGGAGCCCGTACGATAGGGCCCAAGGCCTGCCCCAAGGTAATCGCAGCGAAACGCACATAAAAGGGAGAAGAACAATAGATGGATAGCCACAGCAGGCGGTTTAGACGAGCAAATGGGCGCGAGTGAAGGTCGTGTCCAAAGAGAACAAATGAATTACGATGAGGTATAGTGAGCGGTAAAAAAGGTAACTTTCAGACGTTCCCCCCTAACAACACTTTTTCCCCTTAACAGCCTCCTGGCCTGGACAGAGGCGCTTTGACTCGCTGGCCTTGAGACCAGCAGCAGCAGCCGTGCTCGCTGGTTGCGCCGAAACCGCCGGGTGGGGGCCGCCTGTGGACCGTACGTCGCCAGCGCTGTCCCTCCCACCGCAGCCGCAGCCGTTTCCTAGCTGGCCTGATCGCCATGCCGCGCGTCTCGCACTGCGGGCCGCACATAACTAGGTCTCCCCCCACGGAGGCCCCGAAGGTGGCGGAGGCGGCGCGGTGTCGGACAGCGCGCCCCGGCGTGCGCGGCCCATCACGTCACCCGCCGCCAACGACGCTGCTGCCCGCCGTCGTCCCCGCAGCGCCATTATCCCTGGTAGCGCTGATGCTACACAGCTCCCTCAACAGCCCCGCGTAATACCCCACCGCGCGCTCATTCACGCGTCGCCTTGTCTCAGCCATCTGCCGTCGTACAGCCAAGAGCTCCGTCGCCGGCGTCGCCACCAGGCGCAACATCACATCCAGCTCCTGTTCGTCGTCCTTCTGCAAATACACGCATCGCTCGTTCAGCATGCTGTACGACGCCAGAAACTCGCGATTTGCGACCAGCGGCGTGCCGGAGATGAAAGAGGAAAGGATGGAGGACGAGAACTTATGCGTCAGGTAGCGGCGGTTGCCGAGCATGGGCAGGATGGCAAAGCTGTGGTGGAGGTGGTCATAGAAGCCGCGGAACGGCAGCCGGCGCAGCACCGTCACGAAGGGTACGAGGTCGTCGGGCAGCCCCAGTCGGTCGTCTTGGCCCTTGCCCATCACGTTGATGTGGAAGAGCGTCTTGGCATACCCCGTGGTGAGCTCCTCGCGGCGGCTGGACATCTGATGCCACACGGCGCTGTAATTGCGGCGCAGGCTGGAAAACTTACCCTGCGATGTAGAGGCGACACGCAGGTACAAGACAAAAAAAGTGAGCGACGCGAGTTATAGCATGTGGACCCTTAACGAGCCCCAGTGACTTGACTGTTGAGGCAGGTGGAGCGCGGGAAACATATATAAAGCGGTATAAATAGGTATAAACTAGCGTCGAAATAGCGGTTGTAACTAAAGTTTTTTCTTATGGGTTTATGGGGAGCCAGATGACCGGCCGCGATAAGTGGGTAAGTGGTTAGAAAGGTTGGAAGGTGTTGTTTCTGCTTTCTATGTTTTTCTGCTTTCCTGTTTGTCCTTGGTCTCTTACAGAGCTCCTCCCCTGTCCAACGCATCCGGGCCCTCCTATGCATATACCCATATCGAATACCCACCCACGTACCCGCTGCCAACTCGCCTCCGCTACCAACTCACCTGTATAGCAAACCCACGTAGGCACATACCCAGTAGGTCCACCTCGCTGGCATCCAGGCAGTTGGTCTTGGGCTTGAACGGGTACACCGGCAGGACCCAGTCCACCTGACGCCCAGTGGCGGAGGCCAGGGAGGTGGCGGTGTGGGGCGACAGCGTAACCAGGCGAGCGCCGCTGCTTCCGCCTTCTGCAACCCTTATCAGCCGTTCCGTCTCGTTGAAGTCGCTGTTGTGAACAATCGCCACAGTCATATGGCGCCGGATGTGGCGTAGCAACTCCTCGTTGGCATCTAATTCGTAGTCGGGGCTGACCAAGATTAGCAGGTCGTAAAAGGGCTTCTGTTGTGCGATGTTTTTGAGGATGTTGCGAGTAAGGAAGATGTAGTTTACGCGGGAACGGCGCAGGACTTCCCAGGCGCCGTCGCCGCTGGAGGTGCGTGTGTAGGGGTTAACGTAGATGTCGGTACGGCGCGCGTAAGGCCGGAAGGTGTGCATGAGGCCAGCGAGAACTTCATAGTGGTAGGGGACGCCGTTGATGATACCGATACGGAGGTTGGGGCATCCGGTGAGGTTGGCAACTTTAGGAGCGGATGCTGAGGTAACGGAGGATGCCGAAGCCCCGGCAGAGGTGAAGAAAGACAGTCCGGCGCCATAGGCAGCCGCAGTGTGGTGTACGCCGGTAGAGATGAGCACGAGGGTGAAGAGTAGCTGCAGCGCGGGCCCCAGCGTGCATCTGAGAAGTGATGCTACCGTCCGCAACAGTGGCAGGCTGTGTCGCATGTTGAGCATGTCTGGGGAACGATGCGACAGAATTATGCGTTTACGTTCTCCGCGTACGCTGATCGAAGACTACGCTTATATCACTTTGATGTGGGGACAGAACGTCCATGATAGAACAAGAATGCTTGCCTTGAGGGGCACTGGTAAGCGAAGACTGTAAGTATTGCGGATCAAATCAGCTTTGGAAACACTACGTTCAGTGCAAATAGAAATGGTCAACGGCACGGCGTGTCCTCAATCACAGGATTGTCCCCGATTTGCAAGCTCTTCGGTCAATTCACGTTACAATGTATTGGCTAATGGATGTTATAAGTATTAAGGCACGGATGGCTGCTGCTGACTCACAGTAAAAGCTCGCTCTGCAACCAAGGTCGCACCAAGCTCGCTCTGCAACCAAGGAACGCACGACATAGTAACCATAAAAACAGAGAATCTATGAGACTGGCCTGGCGCTGTTTGTAAATATTTGCTAATCATTGGGAGATGCCCTCTGTCGCTCCGCAATTTGCACTGCCTAGGCAGCTGAAGGAAATCCAGCGGGTAATTAGCAATCTATAAAATGTTAGTGACACTACTTAAAGGATGCAACATTTTCTCGGCAGTAGCAAAGGCCGATAAGGCATAACCGAACAGGGAACGAGCCGAAACGGAAACCTGCGGAAACGGAAACCTGCGTAAATAGGTTTCGTCACGCTTTCCGCAGCGAAGCCCAGATTGGCGGAAATGCGGAAAGAGAATCCGCATTTCCGCGTTGCTGTACGGCGGAAATTGGAAAACAGATTCCAGGCATGCGTTTGCCATTTAAAGACTGCGTTTTACACTATGGAGTTATTAGATTAAGTCAAATGTCAACAACCACTGGCCCCGACCTGGGGGCTGCCGAAGTCATAGAGATTGACTGTGTTTCTGCTCAGAAGAAGGGTTTTTGATAATTGATTCCACAATGTCCGTAAACGTGGTTGAAGTTGAACAGAGCCACGTCGTTGCAGTTATCGTTGTGCGGTGCCATTTTTAGATACTTTAGCCCTCTCGCCTTTTTATTCCTTTTTAATTTTTTATTTTGAATTCATATTGTTTGGACGATTACTGGATTAATGCACAGTCAGCATAGACTTGTCCGTGAGGCATGCAGACATGCCGGACGGGTATGTGGAGTAGGCATGCAGACATGTCACTGCTCCGCAACGGACAGGGAGACGATAATTATTCAGTGTTTCAGGGCTCCCCGGGCCCTTACCCCATGTAACATACGAGTGGCAATTTCTGAGCATCCCAGAGCAATCCGTCAGCCAACAACACTATGGGGGTGGTATACGATAGGGCTGCTCAGGCCTGGGGTCTCAGGGTTTAAAGAGAGGCGGGCTGCTTGAAGGGGGCAGGGTGAACACCGTCAAGGGTGTGGGCACACAATAGTTGATCGCTTGGCCCCCGCCACCCCCAGTAATACGTTTAGATGGCTCTACCTTCGAGCACGATTGGAATCCACCAGATTCTAGATCCCACCGGACAGAACCGCACTGCCACAAGCTGGTTTCAGACTGTCCAAGTTATCGCCACACTGAGAAGAGCTAAAAAACATCATTACATATTCATTTTATAATTTTCGCAGCTTTCCGCAGTTTCCGCAGCCTTTCCGCAAAGGGCCTCCCGATTACGAAAAGTTTCCGCAGACCTGGTCAAGTTTCGGCTCGTTCCCTGTAACCGAAGCGAAAGTCGGGAATATGGCTTTTCGGTTAGGTTCGTTAGCTGCCCTGATAAAGCAGAAGACACAAACAGCAGAAAGCAACCTGCTGTGATGAATGCATGCTGATGATAATAACAATAACGTCCAGCACAACAGCAGGAAAGAAGGAAGGAATCAAGCTTCGAGTTTTGATTATAGGCGCAGCTAGCAGGCTTTGGCTTTGGCACAGGCGGCTTATCAGCTTAGGCTTGCCTTTGGCACAGCAGCAGGCTTGGGCTTTCAAAGCCAAGTTGGGCTTGAATATTGCATATATATAGAGAGAAAGTAGCTAGCTCGTGAAAGTATAAACGTTCCTGCTGCCTGCGTTGCATCCTGCTTTATAATTGGCGTACAAAAGCTCACAGCAGACGCACCCAAAACTGCACGGTAAGCTAAAACTTCCTTCCAGACATTTACCCCCCTCCATCCCTCCAAACATTTCCCCCCTCCTTCCAGACATCCACCCCTCCCTCCATCCCTCCCTCCATCCCTTAAGATACCCACGCACAGCGAATTACTGCTTACTGGCAAGGCCTTGGCGGTGGGAATTTTTGGGGGAACTCAGATTCATGCATGATCCAGCCATTTCAAGCTTATTATGGCTGGCATTGGGTTCATCTGGGTCATTTGCGGCAACACGTGGTACAGGTGGCCACAATCGTCTAGAAGCAAAACGAATGCAGTGGGTCACACGCCTACGATGTGCCTGGCGCGGGACGATGCTCGACACGTATGCGAACCTTGCTGTCGGCGTCCAATAATCCAAACGCCAGTCGAGGTGATGCATGAATAGTCCAAAGTCAATGAGATTTATCCATAAAGCCATCCTGGACGTACATAAACTTCAGTTCACGAAGGCTGTGAAAAAGACGGGCCGAACCACCTTCGAGGCTGAAGCCAACCCGTGTTTCACAATTTACTTTGCTTTAATGTTATTTATTTATCATCTTCCGTGTGCAACCAACTTCAGCCCTCTGTGAAGAGGCACAGCCAGCAGAGCAATGAACTGCAGCCCGCTCACAACGGCAATGTGAACCATAAAAGCTCAAAGATTTCAATTTAAATTAAATTATTAACGCGTGTCAAAGGCCATGTGGCAACGCCTGCCTGGCGTTCCATCGTCTTCTATACTTAAGGTTTTTTTAGTTTGAAAAGTAATTGTACGATCCTGCAGGACCAGCCTTTTCAAGCTGTGACTTGGTTTTTTACTACAGGTGTGGAGCTGTACGTACGCATTAGGTACTTCTTTTCAGCAGTAAATTTGGAATCCAAAGCAGGAAGGTATGGGACGGGTAGCGCGAATGGATCAATTTTTCTTAGAGCACGTGCCTCGCAAGACTCGTGACAAGCTTTTGATGCAACATACGTGAAATGCTCCAAAATACTGCGTATCTGGCGTCTCATGGACGGCGCAACGGGACCATCCCAGCAGCGCTCGGCAATAAGCAGCGTTATTGTGGGGGCTGGAGTCACTGGTCTGGTCTGTGCATGTGCTCTGCTGGAGGCTGGTGTAAGCGTCGTCGTGGTCGAGGCAGCCCCGGACCTTTTTCCTGGTTCTGCGAGCGCACGCTTCTCGGTTGATTTGGTCGAGAAGTACCCAGGTAAACCGTCTGGAAATAGCTGCGAAGTATTAATCTCTTGAGCAACGCTTGCGGACAGTCGTTGTTAGCCATGTAACTCCGGCACAGTTATTGTTCAGCGCCGGCTGCTCCCAACCTTCTTTGGATTGTAGTGTACTAATATCTGTTAATATAAGATGCTTACTCCGAGGCAGGGGTTCATATGTAGCTTATTGTTCCTTCCTAACCCAGGGGATGAGCACCACCTATCGCACAGCAAAGTTAAGGCTTGCTCATCCCCACTTCCAACTTTGTCCTCCTCCTCCCCGCCCTCTCCCATGACCACATCATTACGCCCACACCTGCTCTGAACATTCGTCCAAAACATTGCCCACGTCCCTTCCGTGTCTCTCATTGCGTACGCACCCCACTCGTCTATCCCTCGTCCTGCACTATCCTCCAGCCGTCCCCTCTCCTGCCCTCCGCCGCGTGCTGTTTGAGAGTCACGAGGCGTACGTGCTCCTCCTTTCCGAACCGGTACCTCCCCCTATTGCCTTCCGCCCGCCGATTCCCGTTCTGTTTCTTTTGCATGTCTGCATGTTACTCCCTTCGGCCCCATCCCCCAGATCTTGCGGCCTTGCTCAGTCTACCGGAATTTCGGCCGCAAACCAATGTACGGCCTGATGACTTGCACCAGTATCTCCTGGCGTATGTGGAACATTTCAAATTGCGACAGCACACCATATTCTCATGCAAATTGGAACATGCACAGGTCGGTTGAGTGGCCGATTGGTGGGCCGGATCGATGGGCTCGGCTGCGTTGGTCCGGTTTTGGAGTAGCTTTTGGCTTTGGTGGTGGGGTTTAAGGAGCCGAAGGAGGGGGGGTACTTGTTCGGGTTCCTGGCGAGAGTAGCTTGACAGCTTTGTCACAGCATTGGATGGGTGGGGGGATGTAATGGTTTGGGGGTGGTGTGTTTGGGGGGGCTTAAGTTGAGAGAGGATGGCTCCCTACCGTCTCCCGATGGTGGGTGCAAAGGGCCGCAGTGGCACCGCTCTGCGTACCAACCGGGGGCTAGTCATGCGACGAACGAACGCAGACGGACGGACGGACGGACGGACGGACGGGTGCAACCAGGCTGTCCAGCAGCAGCAGCAGCAGCGCCGCAGCAAGCACGGGAAGGCAGAGAGAACGGCAGCAGCAGCAGCAGCTATAGCAGTAGCGCGGCTATTGAAATCGGCCCACGGCGGTGATCCTCGGCGACGACGGAGGTGCTGCTGCAGCGGAGTAGCGGGGAGGCGGGCCCCGAGGTGAACGCTGGGGCGACCAGGATGCAGCAGGCGGGCCAGCAAGGACAGCGCACCAGCAGCCGCAGTTGCAGTAACTGGGGTGATGGTGCGGGCTGCGCAGGTCGCAGCGGCCAAGCTGCTAAGCAGGCAGCTGCGCAGCAACCTGGGTCTCTGGCGCGGCGTTGTGTAATGTAATGTCCTGGATGGCTCGCGGGCCTACATGCGGGTCAGAAAGGATGCCTGTAAGCCTGATGCGTGCGTGTATGTGCGCCACTCGGTCAATGCTCCTAAAACAGAAGCGTAACCCGCTCTAGGACCCCGAAAGCCGTCAGTCAGTCAGTCAGTCAATCAGTTGCTTCCACCCGTGGTTCCAAACCGGTTAGAGCGCGTGAGAGGGGCGGCGGGTGCCCCGCCCCTGCCGGCCTACCCCGCCTCCCACCTGACCACCACCCGTACGGCCCGCCTTGCAGCCGCGGCCGGGTGGGGGGGTGAGTGGGTGAGGATGGCCCCGGTGGCTTGCATTCTCGTCGGGGTAGGTCTCTACGTGCGACCCGACTCACATCAGTGCCGACCCGGATTGTGGGCGCTGCAGTGACCCATGGGTCAGCTTCCAGATAATTGTACAGTAGGGGATCAGCGGATATGGCGGCGGCGGTGGAAAGGGCTGCATGGGGGCTGCTGCGGCGCGGGGGTCTGGATGATGGGGGAGGTTGAGGAAGGGGTTTCATCGCGAGGGAGGAGGCACGTACATGCATACATATAAGGGTTTGGCACCACTTGTAAGGCGCGACCATTGCCCCCGGGAGATCCCGGGATCGATACCCGTTGGAGTCAAAAGTCCTTCCGATGGTGGAAGGCATTGCGCCCCTAGATGATGGACGGTGGTGACCTGGGATAAAGTTAACCTGCGAGCCGACCAGGAACGGAGTTGGGCCGCTGTCGACCCGGCAGATTCCGTTGGATGCTGGTGGTGGGTGCGGAACCTGAGCGATCCACTGAGAAGTTGACTAGGGTGACTGGATGAGGGTGCCCCGAAATACCGGGGAAGGCAGGGTTTCGCAGGGTAGCTGCCACGGGCGAAGATACACCCCCCTGTTTCACACATCATACATACATACATACATACACTCACACGCACGCACGCTCAGGGAGCGCAACCCCCCCATGGCCTTCTCCTCGCAGGTTGGCGAGGACGGGCGGTGGTGTATCGTGTGCTCCGACCTTCTTGACCCGCAGCGCCTGCACCGCCTCACCTCGGACTACCTGATCATATCTGCGGGGGCGTGTCTGGAGCCCTCCATTCCACAACTGCCGGTGAGTATGCGGGGCGAGATCTGGAACGCACGATTCAAGCACATACATACGTACGTACGTACATGCGTACATATACACCACGGTCCGGGCGAATTTTGAGAAAAGTACGGGGTTTCAGGGAAGGCTGTGTGGTTGGGTATGTATGTATGTATGTGTGTATGCATGTCGAGTCTTGGGTGTATTTGCGGGGTGGTGTACGGCGCGGTCAAGGAACGGACCACCGGGCTGGGTCGGTCAAGGTCAGGAAGCAGTGCGTTTGGCGGCGCCTTCCACACGAACCCTTACCCGGCTCCCTCAAAATCTCAGCACCCTCCGTTCGGCCTACCTTTTTTCCATTCGCTTTCCGGCGCCACACATATCCACAGACATAGCCACAAACATAGCCACAGACATATCCACGGAAATATCCACACATGCGCACGTGCCATCCTCCAAGCACGTGTGCCATCGTCGCCAGCAGTGTTGCCTCTCCCTCGTGTCCCTTCCCCCCTCCCCCAGCAGCTCCTGGCAGCAGCTTCAATCGTGTGTGGTTCGTCTTTCCCCCCTCCCCCCTGCCCCGCCCCCCCGCTCCGATGTGCCGCAAACAAAGAAACCCACTCCCGTGGCGCCCACGTGTTTTTCCTCCGTACTTACGTAGTTGGCAGTTTGGCGCCTCTGTACGAATCACTGGCACCCGCTCAGGTGTCGGCGGTTGGGAGGGTAGTTGCGTTCGTACATACTCCGTACATACGTGCCTGCTTGCTCATGCGCACCTCTTTCCGTTCTCTGGACTCCAATCTCCAGTTTGCAGCTGTGTAGCCGCAGCCCGGGCGACGATCTGCGGATCACCCTGTTGACCGTGCCCAGCAGGGCTCCGCTGACTTTGCGGGTGTACAGTACCATGCGCGGGAGCTGAAAGGCCGGGAGCTGCGTGAAGTGGCGCCGCTGGTTTCGGGGCAACACGTGGTAGTGGCGGGAGATGACCGTACGGCAGTGGAGTGCGCACGGGGGGCGGCGGATGCGGGCGCGGCGAGCGTTACACTTGTGTTCCGACAGGTGCCGGTCTGCGGGTCACCGGCGCCAGGGGGGGAAAGGGGGAAAAAGGGGGGAAAAGACAGAATGAATTGTGGAGGTTGTGTGTTTTGTGAAGTTCGGGGTTGACTGTCTGTCTGTCTGTCCGGATCTGGTTTCAGAGAGGGCTATTTCAGGGTTGAGGTGACACTCCTTCTCTCTCCCCTCGTTCCCTTCCCCTCCTTCCCGTTCCCCCCCTCCCCCCGAAACACAGCCCCACTGGCCCTTACCCGCCAAGCTCCTGGGGAGAGCGCTGCCGCACCTGGCGTACGACCGCTGCCTGCCGTCACTGCTCTTCCCGCCGTACTATACGGCCGGTGGACCGATGCGCGCCCTCAACTCCGCTTTGGCGCCGTTGCGGCGGTTGTTCTGGTGGCGGTTACAACGGCGACTTGTACGGAAGTACGGCGTGGACGAGTTGACGCGGCCGCCGGTTAACGTTATGCGGGATATGTTTTACAGCCTGCAGGTGCGGAAGGGGGGGGGGAGAGGGAAGCCGCAACTAAGAAAGCCGAGATTCGCCCATCCATTACCTAATCATAGCGGTCACAAGGCCATGATCAATTTATGGACCGCATGATGCATCCGTGCACGGAGGACAGATGCTCGTCCGATGTTCGCTCTTGAGGGTCGTACATTTTGGTCCCGCAGGCTTGCCCGGGGGAAGACAACTGGGTGGGTGTACTGCAAGGAACTTCCGTACGACTTGTACGAGGTACGTGGATTGGGCAATAAAAGTGATATCATTTTCCACACAAAGTCGCGAAACGTGTAAAGCGGTGTGCCTTGAGAAGACTAGGCAAGTGGTGTGGGTGGTGTGCGTGGTAACGAAGCGTCCGCCTCTCGTGGAGCATGAGCTGAGCACCCGATGCTAGGGGGGCACATGGCCATATGTGTTTTACCCGGGGGGGTCAGTTTGGGGTATAGTTTTGGGGGGGGGGGAGGAAATGCGAGTGGGATGGAAACACGGGAAGAGGGAGAAAAGGAGGACATCGGAGGGGTCGGGAAAAGGGGCTGAAAAGGGGAAATGTACGGCTAACTGGGGAGGTAGGGGGTAGTAGGGGTAGGGGTAGAGATGGGCGCGGATGTAGGTGTTGCTGTCCTGTTTCCGTTGTGCCCCTAGGGTTTTCCTCGTTCTCCTTGTTCCTTCTCCGGTGGTGTGCCAGTAGATAGGATACGGTGTGGGTCGCAGCTCACCGCAACCGTTACCTCTCCCCCCCCTTCCCCTGGCGGCGGCTACCTTGGGCTCACCACGCCCGTCACCCGCAACCCCCCAAAAGGTGACATCAGCCGGTTGGGAACCGATTGCGTCGTACTCAAGAATAATTCCAGTCTACGTGCCACGGTGGTCGTACACTGTACGCCGTACACTCGTAACTACGTGGTCTTTGACCCCGAACTGCAGGTCAGTCTCTCTGTGTGCCTGTGTGTGTGTGTGTGTGTGTGTACCTGTATGTGTGCCTGTGTCGTCGTCTGCGATGTTCGTAGGTTGGTGGAGGGGAGATGTGGACTAGTAGGAGCATTTCACGGCACAGCAGGGGGGCCTGTGGTTCTCGCGCGTTGCTGTACGACGGCTCCGTTCTAACCGTTTTCCCTTTCCCGCGTTCTTCTGCTCTGCCCCTCCTCCCCCCTCCTCCCCCCTTTTGTCCCCTTCTTTTCCCCCCAATTAAAACACAACTTCGTCCCATTTCCGATTTCCCACAGGCCACATTGGGTGTACGGAAGGACGGCTTACATCTGTACCGCAGTTTGGTTCCCCCTGCCGTACCTTCCCTGGCCTTCCTGGGCTGTCAAACCACCTCGCCGTATAGCTGGCTAACCACCAGCCTTCAAGCGGCCTGGGTGGCTCAGCTGTTTAGCGGGCGGATGAGGCTGCCCCCCCTGGAGGTCATGAAGCGGGACGTGTACAGGCAGAGGAGGTGGGGGGAGCGGCGACCGGGAGGGGGGGACGGGGGGTTATGTGGGTATGTGTGTTGTGTGTTTGGGGGGGAGAGAGAGTAACGGAGAATTTTATGCAAGAGGAGGCGGGTGCGGCAGTGGTGGTGTGTTTTGTGTGAGTCTGGCTATGCGGCCTGTGCTGTGTGTTTTGCTGGGTGTGTGTGTGTGTATGCAAAGGTTCAAGTATCTGATCGGGCTTGATCAAGCCTGGGCCTGATGTATGTATGTATGTATGTATGTATGTATGTATGTATGTATGTATGTATGTATGTATGTATGTATGTGTTTTCAGGTGGCGGCGGCGTGCCTTCCCTCCCCAGCACAACCGCGGCAGCCTGGTCCACTGGTACGCCCAGTCGTACCACGACCAGCTGCTGCAGGACATGGGGCTGCCCGTGGAGGTCAAGGTGGGGGGGGAGAGGGGGGGCCCGACTGGGAAACACCAACACGACACAAACTTGAAGAACACAAGTCTGGACAGAAACCCATCACCCCACCCCCCTAGGGCGCAGTGGCTGTGTTATGTGGGCTGTGTGGGTTTCGGTGTGCACGGTCGGCTCCGGGTGCGGCGGGGGGTGGTGGTGGTGTGTCCGGGGGGTGGTTTGGGGGGTCAGGGGGTGAGGCCTGGGGGCTGTTGGGGGGCGTTGCTTTCGTTACTGTGGACCTATCCTAGGAACTCCTGGACGTCGCTCTCGCTCTCTTGCGAGCCTGTTTGTATGTCGGTCGGTAGTTAGGTCTGTTCGTCTGTCTGTCTGCCTTGCTCCGTACGTACGTCGCGGCGGAGCAGGTGATAATGGTGGCTTAACATAACATTGCCGCCGTCGCCGCTGTCGGCGCTGTCGTTGTTGTCGCCGTTTTGTCGTCGTCGTCGTCGTCATCGCTCGTCGTTGCCGCAGGATCGCGGCGGCTGTGCACCGCTGTTCAGCTCATGCGCGCCGTACACTCCGGCTGACTACCGGCCACTCTTTCAGGCTGATGGCGGCGGCGCGTCGTTGTCATCGTCGCCGTACAAGCGCCGAAAGACCCGCGAATCGGTTTCCGATGACGTTGAAGCCGTCGAACTGACTTTGCGGGGTGACGGCGCCAGCATGATGAGCAATGCTGCCGCTGCTGCTGCGGCGGCGGCGGCGGCAAATAGGACGGCCCCATCGACGGTGACGGGAGTTTCGCCGTCGCCGTCCCGACGGGCGCTGCTGGACCGCCGGCTCAGCATGGACCGACGACGAAGCATTGAGGCGCCGCGGCGGGTCAGCATGGAAGCGGCTAGCCGCGCCGCGCTGGCGCAGGTGTCCGTTACGAGCAACGCGTCGCGACTGCAGCTACTGCTGAACAGTCGAACGTCGAACGCACCCGGCGTCGAGGTGTCGGAAGTCGAAGCGGAGCCGCAGCTGGAAATCTTCACATCTGCTCATTTGCTGATGGGTTCGGCGGCGGCGGGGGTCTCGGCAGCTGCAGCGGCAGCTGCAGCTGGGGTCGGCGGCGGTGGCGGCGGCGGCGGCGGCAGCTCCGCGCCCGTGTCGCTCTTCGGTGCTAGCGCCCTCGTCCCGCCGGCGGGTACGTCATCCAGGCGCGGTAGCAGTCTCGGCTGCAGCCGGTTGGGCAGCCAACGCGGCAGCACCATGGGAATGGCAGTGGCGGCGGCCGCAGCCGCCAGCGCGGCCACTGGTACGGTCACTGGCCCGTATGCCGTACTGCAGTACGGCGGCTCGAGCACTGGCCCGGAGGCGCATCTAAACTCCCATCCAGAAATTGAAGTCGACGTGTTGGGGCCGGAGCCCCGTCAGTGCGGCGATGATGCCATCGAGGCGGCGATTGCCGCCTCCAAGTCGCCTGGCGGCAGTTCCGGCGCCGCTAACGTACTGGCACCAGAAGCCGGGACGGCGGCGGCAGGGGCGCGGCACACCGTTCCCTTTGTCGTAGGCAGCACTGCCGGCGGTGACGTCGGGCAGGCCGCGATGCAATCGCAGCGATCTCCCGTTGCGGCAGCCGCCGCCGCCGCCGCCGCCGCCGCCGCCGCCGCCGCCGCCGCCGCAGCAGCAGCAGCAGCAGCAGCGACTGACATCGCGGTTGAGTGGCAGGCCGTAGCAGCGGCGGCGGCATCTGTTCAGGCGCCACGCCTGCGCAGCGCGGCGGCGGCGCCGCCGCGGGAACTTACGGCGGAGCATCACCTTCCGCAACAGATGCCATCGCCACAGTCGCTGCCGTCGTCGCCGCCGCCACCGGCGGCGGCGTCGACGGTGTCTCTGGGTATCCGCGTCGGCGGAGAGGGGCCAGATCCAGATTACGTCCCCATACCCGGTACGGCACTTACGACAGGTTTATGGAATAATGTCTTCTCCTCAGTTTCTCTCCCCCGGTGCTGTCCGCGCTGCCCCCCGGCTTCTAATCGCAGTCCGAAAACCCAGGGAAGCGGTTGTGGGGTTGTGCGGTATGCCATGCTGTATGAGGCGGCTGACATGCGTCCCCCGGAACGGCAGCCCGGAACCAAACATACTTTCCGGGCTGTATGAAATATTCAAACATACGCTACATCGACGAAAAGTGCTTCGGAGTTTTCGGAACCCCGGTGCCGCTGCTACCTTCCTTCCTGGCCTCACCTTTTCCCATCTTCTGCCAAGCCCTGCGCTGAACCTATCGCCCCATTCATTCGTCCTGTCCCCCTATCGTACCTGCAGAACCATGGGTCACTCCCGCCGCACCCTCCACAGCCATTGCGGCGGCGTCCTCTGTCCCCGACGGCGGCGGCGACATGTTCATTTCACCGGGCAGCCTCAACCTCGGATTGCCGTACAGCAGGTCGGCGCTGCCGAGCGGCGGCAGCGGCTCCGCTGCCACCGTGATCCTGAACTCCGCCGTACAGCGGCTGACCCACGGGTCGCCTGCGCGGAGCGGCTCCGCCGGCCAGTGGTCCTCCGGGCCGAATGCTGGCCGCGCGGCGGCCTTTGCTAGCAATGGCGGCAGTGCTGGCGGCGGCGGCGGCGGATCTAACGCGCAACAACCTGGCGTGTTGGACTCAGCCTATGGCGGGCAGGTCTCCTCAAGCGGCGGCGTACGGACGACACAACGCGACATTGGGTCGCTTCTGCCGCCGGCGATGCTGTCGGGCTACGAGGTTCTCCCCGTCGGGGATTCGTACGTACTTCGGCCGGCGCTGGCGGCCGGAATGAAGCAACCCAGCGGCGAAACCGCCGGAAAGGGGCTTGCCGCCACCGTGGCGGCGGCAGCGGAGACTGCTGCACGGGCGCATGCAAGGCCGTACATTGACATGTACGAGAGCTTTCCCGCCGCTGGCGGCGTGATGCCCCCTCATCGATCCTCCTTTGGGGATCAGTTCAGCGCTGGTGATGGCGGCGGCGGCGGCGGTGGCGGGGCCATGGCTGGTGCTGCCGCCGGCAGCAGCACCGCCACCGCCGCCGGCATTGTCAGCGCAACGATTCCCGGCGTGGCCGGCGGCGGCGGCGGTGGTGGTCTGCTCGTTACCTCGCAGCCTCGCGGCAATCTTAGTGCGCTGCTGGCGGCCTCGAGGGGTGGCGCCATTGCGCGCAGCTCTGTCAACGGTGTACGAGGAGTTGCCGCCGCGGGGCCGCCACGCTCGTCGCAGCTTCGGTCTGCTGCGGGATTTGGTGGCGATGGCGGTGGCGGCATCTTGCTGAGCAGCATGCAGGACATTGACGTGCTGGAATCGCCGAGACTGCGTTCCCGGGCGCTTCACCCCAACGCACAGATGTACGGCAGCAACTCGTTGATGTTTTACATAAATGAACGCGGATCCCCACCTGGCGGCGGTGGCCTTGGCGGTGGCGGCGGCGGCGGCGGCGGCGCTGCTCTGCGTATGGGCATCACCGGTGCTGGCGGCGGCAGCGGGCCTATCCAGCTTACCAGTCCGCCGCCGCCGCTTTCTGCCGCCGCCGCTGCTGGCGTGGCGAGCGGTAGCTTACGGTCTGGCGCACAGCGTGCGAAGCGACGGGGCTCTACGGTTGCATTCAGCAACGTGCTCGGGAACGACGACTTCGTACAGTTGCTGCTAGAGGCGGGTAACAACGACGGGCGGCCGGAGGGGGTCATTGATGTACGACAGGGTTCAGGCTTGGGAGGTCGTTCTGGGGATTTCCCGCCGGCTGCGATGCCGGCGGGGGAGGAGGGCACAGGCCGCGGTGGTGGCGGCGGCAGCAGCGGCAGCGGCATCCGTACCGCGACGGGTATGGCCGCGGGGCCGGTGGCGGCGCTGACGCGCCGGCATGCCAGCGTCCAGTCTTTGCTTCTGGTTGAGCGCGGCGGTGGCAGCCCCGGTGCCACATCCAGCAGCGGCGTCAGCGGTGCTGCACAGTTGGCCAGCGTCGTACTGCCTGTGAGCGCCAAGGGCCCCCGCGCTGGCCGAGGTGCTCCCCTGGGGCTGGCAGCGGTATCTGGGTCGGCGGCCGGCAGGGCCCCGCACCCGACTGCCACAGCGTCGGCGGCTGGCGGCGGCGGCGGCGGCGGCAGCGGCAGCGGCCTCATCTTCCCCGCCGTTGCCGCCGCTGCGCGCCTCGCTCGAATGGGCTCCCGCGGCCCTGGCGGCTTCGCCACGGCAAGTGGTTTCATCTCTTCCGGCCAGATGCGCGAACTTGACGGCGCCGTGTATTGGGGTGGCCGTGACGGCCGCGGCGGCGGCGCCGCCAGCGGCTCTTGGCGTCGTGCTGACTTTGTACGGCAGTTGACGCATCAGCATGCGTCTTCGTCGGGGATGCTGCCTGAGACGGTTCGGCCGCATCAGGCGCGCAGCGCCACCCTTGACGCGATTGTGGATCAGTTGCGTCTTCATCAGCACAGCCCCAAGCAGCATTCGCGACGGGAGCCGCTGTCGCCATCTCCGTCGGGAAGGCCTGAAACCCGCTGCAGCGCAGGAGCTAGCGGCGGTGGTGGCGGCAGCGGTGGTGGCGGCAGCGACGGCGGCGGTGGCTCTGGCGGCCGAGGTGGCATTGGCGGCGGCGGCGGCGGCGGCTTATCGGCCGTTCCGGAGCGCGAAGAAATCGCAATCGGGCAGCAACGTGGCGGCAGCCGCGGCGGCCAAAGAAGCGCTGCTGCCGGCGGTGACGTCAGCGCCGTTGACGACATATGCCTGCCCGACATGATTAGGGCCGTGTCGGGACGCGGTGGCGAAGACGGAGAGGGGACGACGGCGGCAGCGCCGGGGGAATCTGCACTGGCAGCGGCGGTTGCGGCGGCAGCGGCGGCGGCGATTACCTTGGGGGACGAGGATGGTGATGACGGCGACATGATAGGGGGCACGTCGTCATTGCTCCTGGGCGGCTCAGGCTCCCTGGCGGCGTCGCTGGGGGCAGCATTAGCAACCCTAAATGCATCCCGCCGCACACAGGGGGCCGAGGCCGGCGTCGGAAGCATCGACTTTGCGATACTTCGAACAGGTCCAGCTATGGCTACGGAGGCAGCGGCGACGGCGGCGACGGACGAGGCGGCAGCTGCTGCTGCGGCGGCGGCGGCGGCGGCGGCGGTGAAGGCAGATGCGGCTCGACGGCCTCCACCGCCAGTGCTGCCGTACAGCGCCGCGAAGTCTGTGGCATCGCCTGTGACAAGAAGTGCGGCGGCATATACGGCAGGGTTGAAGCCTGACGAGGCGCCGCAGCCGCAGCAGCATTTGACCAAAGCTGCTCCCGCGGCCAGTGCGACGGCAACGGCGGCGGCGGTGGCGGCACAGCCACGCCGCCTGACGTCAGCACCCAGCCAGGAATACGGCCGGTCCCTTAGCAAGATGGCGCTCGTACGTGGATGGAATTTCCTGAAGACCGCCTTGGGGTTGAAGCGCAGCCGGGCCTCTGGCAGCGGCGGCGCTCGTCGTCCCATGAGCGGTAGCGCTGCCGCCACCGAAATCACCGGCGGCGCTGCCGCCACCGCAGCCGCGGCCGCCACGGGGCAAGACGTCCTTGACCTCAAGAGCCGCGACGCGAGGGCGGCGTTGATGTACGACACACCGCCATCTCCGTACCGCGCGGCGTCAATTTCACGCCTCTCACGCCAGTCCAGCCGCGGCGCTGCAGCTCTGAATCCGTCGGTATCATCTTCCGCGTCTGCTGCCGCCGCAACGCCGGCGGCGGCGTTCCACTCGTACGACATGCCGGTAGCGATGGCGCTGGGCCGTTCCCGCAGCTACTGCCTCCCCCACGACGTTCAGCGCGGCGTCGGCGGCGTTGGCGGCGTTGGCGGCCTTGCCGCCATTGCCGGCGGCGGCGGCGGGGAAGTGCTGTATGGCAGTGGGCTGCCAGCGGAAGCTGCACGGCGCGGCGGCGGTTCGTTCACCGCTGGATCCAGATCCCCCGTGTCGTCGCAAGTACACCACCACCAGGGGAGTGCCGCGTTGAGAGGCTCCTCCCGGGATTCTCGTGGCACTGCATCGCCCTGGGCGGGGGTTGGGGCGGGTTGGGGAGCCGCCATGGCGTCCTCATCCATACGGCGCAAAAGCACTTTGGGCCTGGGTGCATTGACACGGCTGAATAGCACAGGTGCGGGAACTGGCGGCGGCGGCGGCGGCGGCGGCGGCTTCGGCTTAAGCAGCATGATCGGGACGGGGTCCGTCAGCCGCGGCGACGGGGCCGATACCTCCGCCATGGAGTACGACTCCTTCCGTACAGGGCTCGGCAGCCCAAGGCTGACTTCACAAGACGTCGTGACGCCCGTTGCGCTTCCGCTGCCGCCGCCGCCGCCGGCGTCAGTGGGCGGCGACGGAGTCGGCGGCGGCGGCGGCGGCAGCGGCTCCACTGGTACGAACGCACTTGCCGTAAGTGGCGCTTTCGGCAGTAGCAAGAACCCACCGCACGGCGGTTGGGACACTGCTAGCCGTCCCTCGCTTCGGCGGCTGCCGGTGAGTTGTACGGCGCTTGAATGTACGAATTGCTCGGCACGGGATTATGGGCTTTCCTTTCTTGACGTGCCGCCTCCGCTCTTGCCGTACCCCTTGGAAGCCTCGCAAGGTTGTCGCCTCTGGTCAGAAAATGCCTTGCATGTTGTGTCCCAGCTATCTCGACAAAGCGGGCCCTTTCCGTGGCATCAGCTTCACTTGTCTATCTCTGGTATGTTCGCCTTTCCCCCCTTGCCGTACTTGATCTCCGTGAACCCCCCGTGGGGGGATTTGCCTCCCCCAGTTCCGTCAATCGTCCAGCGTCGCCCTTGCCGTGGACGCAGCAGCTGCCGTACTGGCTGCGGGTGTTGTTTCTCCCTCCCCCTCCATACCGTTGTTGCCTGGCCGGGGCACGGGCCTCGGTATCGTTCCTCCCTCGCCCCCAAGCCACGCCGCCGCCGGCGGCTCGGCGGCGGTGCTGATGCCGCCTAGCCCCTCGGGACGCGCCACACCTGTCAGCGGCACCAACGCCGTACCCGTCCCGCAACGGCCGCAACTGCAGCTTCCGCCGAGCGCTTTCACGACCAGCCAGGGGCCATTGTCGCCCTCGGACGTGCGCCGCGACGGCGGCGGCGGCGGCAGTTGTGGTGGCGGCGACGATTTCAGTGTCGGCGGCGGAGGCGGCGGCACCGGCAGCTCCGGCGCTGCTGCCTCCAACACCACTTGGGCGGCGTTGATGTCCTCGCCTGGAGCGGCAGTACAGCTGGCGGCGGCGGCGACGTCACCGCCAGGGCGGCGGGCTGCCCGGGGAAGCTCGCTGGGCACTAGGCCAGCTCGTACACAGCTGAACCCAGCGCCGACGCAGCAGACCCCGCAGCCCCTTGTGCACTGTTTAGACGAACGGACAATGTACGGCGGATTCAGCTGCCAGGCCCTTATCCGCCAAGAGAGCGTGCGTGGCGCATCCGCAGCTGTGGCCGGGATGAGCGGTGGTGGCCCCGGCGGCGGCGGCGGCGGCGGCGTCATCACCGCTGGGGCATCGATTGTCTTGCCGTCGGACGGAGAGGGCGCGTTCATGCTGTCTGACGGCCTCGACCATTCGGGGACGGGGGCGGCGGCCGCGCCGCCGCTGCCGGTGCTGCTGCCGCCCCCTCAGGTTCGTGCCCTGCCGCGGCGGCAGCAGAGCCTCCTGCGATCCCTCCTCAGCCCCTTGAGCGCCATAAGCGGCAGCAGTGAAAGCAGCGGCAGCAGTACGGCAGGGACGGCGGCGGCCGGCGCCGACAGGCGACCGAACCGTCGCCTACCGAAGCGGGTCGCCTCAGAGCTGCCGGCGTCAATGCAATATGCTGGTGTGGTCGTGCCGTCATTAGAGCCCAGCGGCAGCGCCGCCGCCATCGCCGGTGTTGGTATCGTACACCGCCGGCAATATGCTGGCGGCTCGTCCATGGGTGCACGGAGGTCGGGAACCGGCATGGGGGCGGCGGGCCCATCGCATGTCGCGTCGTCAGCCACGGGTTACTTCTCCTCGGAGAGTTTCGGAGCCCCTCCCACCGCCGTCAGCGCGAGCCCCACGCACAGCGTCGCAGGCCGTGCACCGGGGGGCGGCGGCGGCGGCCAGACCGCCCCCGTCGGACGCCGCGGCCGCGTGTCCCGCCGTGACAGCATCATTGGAAACCTACTCGCGGAGATGGCAGGGGTTCCCGGCGGGGATGGGCTGGTTTCGGAGCTGCCAGCTGCCGCTTGCGGCAGCAGCGGCGGCGGCACCGCCGCCGGCGCCAGCCAGATACGGCAGAGCACCAGCCTGATCGGGCCCGCTCCGGCTGCCGGCTATGACCCGCACGCACCTGAGGGTGTGATTGCTTGGGAACGGCCACGCGGCTGGGAGGGGGCCGGCGGGTTGCTGGACGGCGGCGGTAATGCCGCCGTGGGCGGCGGTGGCGGCAGTGGCGGCGAGAGCGAGGAGCAGCAGCGGTCGCTGCGGGGGGCCGTCAGCGAGCTGGTGAGTTCCCTTTGAGCCGGAGCGCGTGTGGGCGCTACGTTTGGGTGTGTGTTTTGAGACCCCCAACGGGCTGAGGCTGCAGCAGAAACTGGACTGTGTTGTAGGCGGCTCAAGTGGTTGTGGTGTCATATGGTCATGTGGTCATATAGCGCCATCACCGCTCAATATGTTGTGAGCAGTAATAATGGGCGGTAATGGGCGGGTTGGGAACTGTACGTGGTGTAGGAAGGGAGCTGCAGTGCATGCGTTACATAGTTTGGAAGACAGTCTACAACTAGCCAAAGAGACAGACAGACAGACAGACAGACAGACAGACAGACTGCATTAACTACCAACCGTAACTGCCTCCTGCTTTTGTCGTTCCGTGCTCCCCCAGCGGGAGAACTCCTCCAGCCGGGCATCGCGGCAGTTGGCGGCGGCGGCGGCGGCCGTACTGCCGTCAGTGATGCTGGGCCACGTCACAGTGACGGCGGGGACGCAGCCGCCAGCGGCACCGTCACCAGTTATGTACAGCGGCGGCAATGCGCTCTCCAACGTGCCGCCCCACGCTGTAGTCGGCCCCTCCTGGCGGGCGGTTGGGGGGTCCCGCGCCGGCGGCTGAGCGCTCAGGATGACACCTTTACGGTTGGTCGTTGACCGTTGGGGTGTGTGTGTGTGTTTGCGTCCGTGTCTGCGTGACCGTTTTCACTTTGTTATGTATGTGAGGATTTGAGGTTCTCGAAGGAGGAGGTGTTGACGGGGTGTGGAGTGGGGAGGGCAACCAGGAGCCTGAGCTGGGGAGGGGAAAGGAGATTGCCGTACAGTATCGTGACCCTTGTTGAAGTGATGGTGGTAGGGTACTGGTCTATAGAGCTAATTTAACCTTATATGAGGGGCTGTGAGAGCATGCACGCGTATGTATGTATGTATGTATGTATGTATGTATGTATGTATGTATGTATGTATGTATGTATGTATGTATGTATGTATGTATGTATGTATGTATGTATGTATGTATGTATGTATGTATGTATGTATGTATGTATGTATGTATGTATGTATGTATGTATGTATGTATGTATGTATGTATGTATGTATGTATGTATGTATGTATGTATGTATTGTTGGGTGTGTGTGGGTTTTTGGTGAAAGGGGGGGGGTCGCTGGCAGCGCGTGTTTGGTTGGTGAGAATGTGCGATGGGAGGAGGAGGCAGGCCGAGGAGGAGGAGGAGGAGGAGGAGGAGGTTCGTGCTTTCACAAAACCGAGTGGCGAAGGAAGATAAGCGGTGGTGCAGGCGGTGCAAGAGAGGTGACGATGATGGAGAAATGCTTTGCTTTCGCGGCGGAGCGAGGGGAAGGGGGGAAAGGAGGTGAGACTTCGTGTTGCACAGTTGGCTGGGGGGGCTGGGGGTGGTTCCCCCTGGTGGGGGCTGAGTGGACGTAAGCTGGGTTGCGGGAACTGGGTTGGCTGTTGTGGCGGAGGGGCGGGAGGGTGAGACGTGAAGACAACTCGCGCATTCATCAACTTAGAGTTCGTCCGTCATTTAAGTCGCATGGTGGCGTAAGAGGAGGAGGAGGAGGAGGAGGAGGAGAGGGGGGTGAGTGTATTGAGTGGCACTTCTAAGAGCAGCTGGCACGGTGCGGCAGTCGTACTGATGACCACATAACAACATTTTTGAAGCATGAGGGAACTCATGTAGCTGTAGCTGTAGTGTTGCATTCCATGTGTTGCATTCGCATGGAGAGATGACCTCATCCGCTCTGGAGACGACTGGCTCGGAAAGCCCGGAGATGCGTGTGCACTGACTGCTGGCAAAAGAACTGTGAACTGTTTGGTATCTATTGTTTGGTGTACTGCTCGCAGGTGGAAAATTTAACAAATATCCCGATTGTCCCTAAATATGTTGAGCTGACATATCGCGTCCAGGAGCTACAGATATCGTTTCCAAGCATTTGTGCGTCCCTGCACCCGGGAGTGCTGGGTGCACCTTGATGCTGCCACGTCTTTGCAAAAGCTTTTGGTGTTGCGAATGAACGTCATTTGCCGACATGTTTTCCGGTATCAGCTGTAGCTCCAGCGGACAAGTCGATAGGGTGTCAGCGTTGGCGACCGCTGTCGCTCATGCAGAGGCCTGTGGGTAGGCACAGGCCCGTCGAATAACCCCGCTCGCAGCGCTATATGATATATCGACTACACAGCCTTCGTTGACAATTCCATCCACTCAATCCCAAAATGCATTCGAGAGGATTAGGCTTGATAATGTCCAGTTATTCCGTTATACTGTAACGACCTAATTCATGGTTTCGTCTATTAACGTATTGGAGACGCTCCAGCTGGTTTTGTCACAAATTAACTGCCCTAACGTACAATTGAAGCCATCACAATAAAGCGAAGGGCGTTGATGAGGTTTTTCCGATAGTCTTAGCCTGTAACCTCAAGCCTGTATTCTCTCGGGTAACGTTACCAAAAGTAATACTATACCAACGATCTCATCAACACCTGAACTTTACCGACAGAAAGCGCACAGGAAGACTATGTTGGGCGTCACAGGTATGAGGCCTGGTCAGCTTGGACTGCCAAAGTCATATTCGTGGGAATCTTTTTCTGCGATGTTACATGCGCAATGTTTCAGTCTGTATGGTCTTGCACGGAGAGGCTATATCACGGTTCTTACGATAGGCCCCATGCGCTTTGACATTAGGTTGCCATGATCCAGCAGGATCCTGCAACGCGAGCTGTACAGGTCGTTGGGATAAGATTATGAACATATTGGCTTTTAGGAAGTTTGAGTTTCTTTGTCATCCCACCGCCACCTGCAGCCGTGTCCTTCGCACTAAGTTTTCCTGATGCCAGTGCCCTGATGAAGTGGAGTAAAGTGGAGTAGTATCACTTCTCCAGAGCATGAGCTCCTCCCTGTTACACATTTGTGCTACCCAGGACCTCAGTCTCATTCCCCAATATTCATTATCTGGGCCCCCAACACCACTGCTGGGCGCCCAACAACCCCCCGCTGGCACAGCGGCCGTCTCTCTTGCCCGGGAAAGAGAAACGCGCACTTGACTCCTCCATCACTCCACTCTCATGTCCTGCGATTCAGGCGCCCCTCTTCACTCCCTCTCCCTAAACATTAACACACATGAACACATAAACACATGAACACATAAACACATGAACACGTAAAAGAACGTAAAAAACACAAAACACATGAACACACATGCACCACAGGCGGCCGGAAGCCCATATCTACGTGGCCGGTCCCTCCCGGCTTCCCGGACAAGCTCAATGGCGCCTGGCAAGCGGTTTCGGAGCGATGCATCCACCTGGCGGGTGGCGATCCCCAGCGAGTTACCCGGGACCACTTCATCGAGGTGCCCGCGTGTCTGCATGCTTAATGTCCTGTGTGCGCGTCTGTATGTACACATCTATGTATATGTATGTGGGGGTATGTGTATTTGTGGGGGAGGGAAAACCCGAGAATGAGTGGGATTGGCTTTGCTTTGCAACTTGAGCAGGTTAAACTTGGGGTGGGGTGGGGTGGTGAGGTGGGGTGGGGTGGGGTGGGGTGGGGTGGGGTGGGGTGGGGTGGGGTGGGGTGGGGTGGGGACACAGCGGTGCAACGGATTCCGAGGAAGGGATCAGCGGCGACCAATACCGCCCGTAGTTAGCCTAGTGGTGCCTAATATCCCCCTGCCCCGGCCCAGGCGAGCCGCCTACGAAACCTTTTTTTAAACCTGATTTACGGCATTGGCGGCAGAACCGGCGGCTAGCGTCTCACCTGTGTCTTTCATGCCTTTTGTGGCCAGGAGTCTGTCTGTGATGCTCTTCGACCCGTCATCACTTAAGTGCTTTCCCGGCCCCCCTCCCTGGGGGCCCCCCTCCCTCGCGGGTCGGCAGCCCCTTGTTTTGCGATATGCTGCACTGCGTGGCATGCGCACTCATATGTTGCCGCTGTTGGTCCTTTTCCCGCCGCCGCCGGGGTGGGTCGACCCCCCCCCCCCCGGAGAGACCACCTCCGTCGGCTGCCTGACGCGACACCGCATCACAATCGCGGCAACATGGCCACGTACATACATACATACATGCGTACATGCATACATGTGTGTCTATCCTGGTCACAGGCAGTCTGTGCCCCTTCCCTAACACCGCCACACATCCACACATCCACACGTCCACACATGTGTTCACGCACACGCACACGCACACAGGCGGTCCGTGGGGTGCTCCCCGAGCTGAGCAGCGAGGAAGACGACTACATGAGACGGGTATCACTGGCTGTACTGCAGGAGGTACGGCAAAGCGACATGGAGGCAGGGGGGGAGGGATGGCGGTCAGGGTGGGGGTGGTGGCGGGGTTGGGTGCTGTGACCCCTGCGTGGAAGAATGGAGGAATGGGAGGCGGCATAAGGCCAACCAAAAGTCTTGATCGGGTCTCGATCCGATCCGAGGCGGGTGGGGTTGGGACAGGAAGGTGTTCAATGGACTGCCAATCAGTCAGTCCGCCTAACCCCCTTCATACATCTCTCCCGCTTTGTCTGTCTGTCTGTCTGTCTGTCTGTCTACTTGTCTGGGGGATAGCCCCGGTCCCCCGACCCGACCACACGTCTGGGGGTGTAGGGGAGGGGAGGCCTCTCACACCCGACCGGGATCCCCCTCGCCGCCGGGGCCCCCAACCTCCTCCTCCCTTACCGACAATGCTCGTTCCGTGCACCTTTGTCAAGGAGTTGCCATTGCCCCTACCTAAGCAACCAACCCACCTACCAACCAACCAACCAACCAACCAACCCATCAACCAACCAACAGGCCCGAGGTAGCAACGTCTTCTTCGCTGACCTGGACTTTCTTCACGCGGCACTCGTGCAGGTACGACTGTCGTACTGCTTTACCATCCTCCGCTGTTGCTGCTCCTCTCCTGCAGCAGCTTCTCCCCGCTGCTCCGGAGCTCAACCACTTTGCAGCTCATGTCGTGCGCCTCCTTTGCCATGCAAAATACCTTACTTGCTCTCTTACTGCCGTACCTATCGTACAACACAGGGCCGGGTGCACCCCTCCGATCTAGATCCGCCCCCCGCCACCCTGACGCGGTCGCTGTTCAGCACCACCACCAGCTCGGGGGGCGCCACCAAGAGCCTGGACTTGTTCACTACGACAGGTGAGTCAGTTGGCAGTGGGAGGGGGGAGGGGGGAGGGAGGTGGATCTAGGGTTTTTCTTTGCGTGAGAGAGGAAGAGGTGGAGGCTGTGAATCGGACCCTGAGTACCTGACAGACAGACAGGCCCGAGCCCTGGGAACACACACATGACCTGGTTTCCTTGATTGGCCAAGGCAGGCTCCCAGAAACAGCCGTACTGCTGTCGTATTGCCACAGATTTTGAGACGGGCAACGGAAATGGTGGGCGCCCGCCACGACGGCAATAAGGACGTGGTGGCGGGCGTGTGGGGCCGTGTGGATGTGGGGACATTCGTGGAGGCGTGTCGGCAGGTGAGGGGGGTGGCGGTGTTGCGGGGATTGGAGGGGGGGAAAGGACTCTACAGCGGCATCTGGGGGACAAGGCCGCTCCTGCGTGATTGAGTCACCAGCCTCTTGACCACGAGCGTGTATGCGCTGCTGGGAAGAGAGGGAGAGAGGGAGAGAGGGAGAGAGGGAGAGAGGGAGAGAGGGAGAGAGGGAGAGAGGGAGAGAGGGAGAGAGGGAGAGAGGGAGAGAGGGAGAGAGGGAGAGAGGGAGAGAGGGAGAGAGGGAGAGAGGGAGAGAGGGAGAGAGGGAGAGAACGGGCCTGGTATTCTCAATCTCACACCAAAGCCATCTCAAAAGCCAAGAAGCTCCTTCAACCGTCACAACCCTTCCGGCCCAGGTCATGGCCGGTCTGCGTCCCGACGAGGAGCAGTACATAGCGGCCCTGGCTTCGGAGCAGGTACCCTCCGGCAGTCCGTACATCCGCGACCTGCCCTTCCTGGACAAGTGCCTGCAGCAGGGCAGGACACCCACCTCGATCAAGGGTACGGAGGTCCCCCCGGGGAAGCTGTGTGAGGGTAGCGGGGTCACTAACCCCCTCCCAACCCCCAACCAATCCCTTCGCTAACCGACTCAATAAACTGTGAATCACAGTGGCAAGTGGTAAAGCTGCAGCGCACCCACCGCACCGCATGTGCACACATGGCCAACGCAACCACTGCCGTGCCACTTCCTCCTACCACTACCGAACCACCGCCACCGCCACCGCCACCGCCACGCAAATCCGACACCTTCGCACCCCACCCCACCCCCTCTCTCCAGGTCCGGATCTACTGCCCGCCATCTTCCTGAACACCACCACCAGCGGGCAGCTGGACGGCGGCTCACTGCGGCACACGGGGGGTCGCATCTTCTGACCGGCGGATTACTTACCGGGGAAAGGGGGAAGGGGGAAAAGGGAACGGGGGATGGGGGGATGATTTGCGCAGTGTGTATTGCGTGTACCAATGCGTGTGTGTACGATTAGTAAGTACGGTTCGGAGGGCCGGGACCTGAAAATACTGCAGTGTACAAAAAGTTAACGTTGCCTATTTAGCAGGGAGTCCGGAGGCGGCTGGTGAGGGGACAGGGGGAGTAGGTGAAGAGGGTTGGAAGGGCGGAGGCCCAGGAGGAAACCAGGCAGGCACGGGAGAGGGAAAATCGCGGAAAAGAGATTGGAACAGGACAGCTCCTGTATGAGATTGTCCACCTCCGTCTGCAGAGCGGACCTCAGCCAGTCGGCCGGCTAGTAATCTACGAAGAAATCACGTGGGCTTTCTTGCGGGATGTAAATGCCTCGTCGTTTTACAGCTAACAGAGCGGTCAGGCGGCGCCCTCTCCGCGGACGAGGTGGTCAGCTGCCCCAGATGCGCTATAGTAGCAACCCAGTAGTGCTGGGTAGTGCTGTACAGTACTCGTATAGAGCGACTAGCTGAAATGTGGGAACAAATGTGGGTAGGTACGGCAGCCAGAGTTCTCCCTTTGCCAGCCCCTTCTAGGTGATGTGGGAGCGATGGATGTGAGAAGGGTGTGGATGCGGATGTAGCACCGCCGTCACTTGGGCTGTGATACCCAAAGCAATCGCAACATGCCGCTTTGCTCCTCAAGGTAGCTGAGAGCTTGTTAAAAAGAGCCCGAAGAAGGCCACTCGAAGGGGAAATCATCTTCGGGGGGTTCTTGAAGTCTTTCAAAGGAAAAGAGAGGTTCACGGCCCGGGGAGGTCACCGTCTTTGCCAGGTGATCCTCACGCGGGGTAACGCGACAGGTACGGGAGGGTGTCGCAGGTGCCGTACAGAGCGCGCGCGCGCGCGTCAATTTTCTGATCATCCGCCTCTGCCACTTTACATGCACCACCACATACACACACACACAAGATGAGCAAAGGCAGGCAAAAGACGGTTTTCCACCTCTCATCCCTCCACCAGAACCTCCTCCGGCCTCCCTCCAGCCGGCCACGTGTTCCCCCGGTTTCGGGCTACCCACACCTTTCACCACCAACACCGCAAAACCCTAAGGCCCCCTCATCCAAATCGCGGCTGCAGTAGCTGCAGTAGCCCCAGCCCACTACTACTTCTACAGTACTATACTAGTATTGCTGCACTTCTGTTCACGTCACCTCGCCGAGGGAAGGGAACTCTCCATCGCCAAAACCCGTAAACCCCGAATGCCAGCCAACGAGGAACACACTTCCGTACTTCACACCGTACACGCACTTCGTAACTGGACGGGCATCGTCTAATACCGTCCCGTGCTTCTTTCTGTACGGCTGGCAAGCTATATAACACAAAAGAACACACACAGACAACAGTGGCACACACACACATACGCACACACAAACGCGGCTACTACGAGAACAGGAAGCGAATCAGGAGCAACGTAAGAAAGCAAACGCAGTTTCGCGCTCCATAGCCACGGAACCTTTCCAAGCGCCACCCGCCCACGCCTCTTACCCGCGATCGAGGCTCAGCAAATTGGCCCTCACAACACCAGCTTGGAACAGCCCGCTCGAATACGAAGCTCAACAACCAAACGGAGGTTCACACCGCAGCTGGAGGCGCATGCCGGGGTAGCAACACCCACCCCAGGTAGCGCAGCCGTTTCAACCGAACAGCCACCTCGCCAACCAGTTAGAACCAATCTAGGACCGATTAACGGCTTCCTATCCACAGCAAAACAGCAAGACTACCACACGTATATGGGAAACATGTGGGTTTCAGACACATATACAAACTCAGATTTGTGGCAACTCCCACAAAAACGCTTGCTCGTACAAATGATAGCACAAATTCAAGGACTAACCGCAACAAACAAGAACATCGCCGCGACAACGACGAAGTAGTTTTTTTATCTCGTGCTTGGACACCGGAGGCGCGTAAACCAAATATGAATGCGCAAAAAAGGACGCGTAAAATAAGGAGATACAAGCAGCAGCCCTGCGGGTATCAGAGGTAAGGAGTTCCTCCTCCCTTACACACCGACAGCCCGCGGCTCCCCCCAGCCATCACAGGATTCGGCGCCCCGGATCACTCCCCTTCCTGGGCTGCATTTCCTACAATCGAAAAGATTGATCCTTCCTACGGCGAGAAGACTACCAGGCTTACCGCTTCCTGAGCTTTGCTGGGGTTTTCCAAACAGACAGACTGACGGACAGACTGATAGGCAGAAAAGAGGATGGAAGACCAGGGCAAGCAACGTCAAGAGCCGCCTCCGGCCTCCCCTCCCTGGAAAGCCCTCGTCCCGCTGGTGTCCTGCGGCCCCCGCTGCCCAATCAATACACGGCATACCCTCTTCGTGCCGTCGCAACACCCCTCCACTCCACCAAAGCTGCCGCCCTGCCTCTACACTTCCTAAGCTGATGGAGGCATTCGTCCGCAACTTTCACACCCGACCACCGCTGCGACACATCCCGCCACAACGGCCGCAAGGCACGGGGCGCTGTCGCGGCCAGGAAGCGACCATAGAACCGCGGGGCACTCCTTCCTCACATCCCCTCGTCCCCGCCCAGCCCTGCTTCCCCCTCCTCCTCCTCCGCCACCTCCTCCTCCTCCTCATCATCATCATCATCAACAACGACAACACATTACATAAGAGACACATACATACATGCATACACACCCACACACCCGTGGCTCTCGCCCTCGTTTTCGCTCCCTACTTTCTTCGCTGTCATTCGTTCACTTCACTCTAAAACCCCAGTGCCTTCCACTCCCTCTCTCTCCGTGTGTCGCTCCTGTTCCTCGCTCCCTCCCCCCCCCTCCCTTGAGCACCAAACTCCCACCAAACGTCACCTTTTTGAGCTCCCTAACGCCCGTTTACCCCCCCAATCGCCCTCCTCACCGTGCCCCCGATTGCGGTCCAACAGGCCCGCGTAGTCCACACACGACGCCCAACAGGCATACACACACACACACACACGCATATGCACAAACCACATATGCATAGGCAGGAAAGATCAGCACCCCCAGCCCAGCCCTCATCATCACCATCCTAAGCGGAGGCAGCCCGACAGCTCAGGAGGCAGTATGCGGATGGGAACCGCACCACACCACACAGCACCGCACCTTCAGTGGCCGCTACCATCTCCCCCTCCCCCCGTCCGACCGCAAAAGCCCCCACAGCCATCTCTTCCGCTGCTGCTGCAACTGTGCGCCTGCTGGTAAGCGCCGCTAGTAGGTACTGTTAGTAAGGCTAGTAAGGCTGCTGGCCCGGGGGCCCCTGCTGCTGCTGGCCCCCTTGCGGCCCCGGGGGCCCCGGCGGCTGCTGTAACCCGCCCACCGCGCTCCGTATGTTCTGAGCCTGCGCGGCGGCCATCCAGGCCGTGAAGATGGCCATGGGGTTAAGCGGCGCGCCGCCGCCGCCAGCAGCGTTGCGACCACCTCCGACCGCCGCCGCCGCCGCCGCCGCCAGCTCTTGCTCCTCCGCCTCATCTTCCTCCTCCAAGAAGGATAAGGCCCCCAGGGGATGCTCCGGGGCGGGCGGGGCCTCCTTGCCTGCGGGGGGGAGGGGTTACGTCGGTGCGCCTTAAGTGGTGTTGCAAGAAGCTGAACACATACATGCATACATACGCACACGTGTCAAAAAACCCATGGCCGCTGCCATATCCTTTTCCCCCGCCCCCGCATCTGGGTTTCTCAAACCGCACTAACCAACCAACCAACCAACCAACCAACCAGGTTCAGGAGCACACTCACCGCTGGTGCCCACACACGTAAAGATGTGGTCGTCGTCAAAGTTGAATTGCTCGTACACGAACTTTATGTCATCCACCGTGGCGGCGTCATACAATCGCTGCAGGTCGCGGAGGCACTCCAGCGTCTTGTGCGGCACGTGCGGGTTCTGTAACACGTGTACGGCACATAAGGTACGGCACTTAAGGTACGGCACAATTTAAAGGGGAAGACCGAAAAGTTACACGGGTGACACGGACGACGCCACTTGCACACGAACACACGTGTTACACTGGAGGCCGAGGAGGAGCAGGGCGAGGGGGAGGAGGCGGAGCGGGACCACACCCCTCCTCATATCATTCACCATCACCAGGCCTCCCTCCCTTAGCCCAACCGTACCTCCCCGCCACCCCCTCCTCCCCACACCCCACCCCACCCCGTACCTGCAGGTGCGTCAGCAGCCCCAGCCAGTAAGCGTTATCCTTGAGGTCGCTCTCGTGGCGGGTGAGCAGTGTGGTCTTGGCGCGGGCCAGCTCCCGGCGGTTCACGGGGGCGAACCGGATGTCGCGAAGTACAGACACACTCGCGTTGAGGGCGTCGTAGATCTTCACGGCGGTATGAGCAGATCATGGGCGAGAAGGAGAGGGAGGGGAGGGAGGGGAAAGAAGAACCATGAACGAGGGAGGGGAGGGGAAGAGGGGGGAAGGAAGGGAGCAGACGCTTTCACTCCTAGGGAAAGACTTGCTTTTACCACAATAACGGCAGCGATGATGGTGATGGCGATGCTGATGGTGATGGTGGCGATGATGATGATGATGGTCATGATTGCCATGCTGCTGCTTATGGTAATGGTAATGGTAATGGTGGTGATGATGATAATGATGATGAGGAGGCGGAGGAGGAGGCGGGAGACATCTAGACGGATACGAGAGTTGCCGTGCCCCTAACCAAGTCCATGCCCTCTCAACTACACACATATGCATACACCGCAAACCCGCAGCACCCTCTTTCTTTTTTCCAGACCACTCATGAATGCAAAGCAGCAATCCACGTAAGCCACGCAACACAATCACTACATACTGTGTGAGTATAACCCTCCCCTCCCCTCCCCTCCCCTCCCCGCTCTCACCTTGTCTGGATGACTGGTGACATGCACCATGAACCAGCCCGACCGGATGCGGTCGAACAAGGTCACCTCGAACGACACGTCGTAGGTAAGGCCCAGCGAGTCACGGACCTGCAAGGGTATATACATGATGTATGTATGTATGTATGTATGTATGTATGTATGTATGTATGTATGTATGTATGTATGTATGTATGTATGTATGTATGTATGTATGTATGTATGTATGTATGTATGTATGTATGTATGTATGTATGTATGTATGTATGTATGTATGTATGTATGTATGTATGTATATATGCATACACGGCACCGCAACATCAGTGCAGTTTCATGTCATAACTTATGAAAACCTTCTTTCGAAAGTCATGAAAGGTGAAAACAAAGGAAATACCGTTTTTAGTAATAGCAAACAAAGAACATTCTTTGTACAATGCTGGAAACTTAAAAATTACGTACATACGTCTTAAGAACGAACATACATACATACACACGGCATCACCACAGCACACCCACCGTGGTAAAAAGTCGCGAGTTGATGATCTCTGTCAGCAGCATGAGCATCACACTCGCGAACAGAGGGTGGTTGCGGCGACTGGACTCCGCATCCGCACGAGCCGCTGCGTCCATCATGGCCTGTGGCGGGTGGGGGGAGGGGAAGGAGGGGGAGTGCGGGGAAGGAGGGGAAGGAGGAGGAGGAGGCGGGGGGAGGGCATGAAGATGAAACCCACGTCCAACTTGTACGGCCAAAAGCCTCGTCCATGACCCACAGGGACCCCTCTCGATCACCTGGACGAATCTCACCACCAACCACCAATCATCATCACCACCAACCACCACCAACCACCACCTCACAGCACCGCCTTGTCCTCTTTACCCGCCCCTCTCCTCCCTCCGCCACCGGCCTGGCTTCATCTCCGTAACCTTTACTTCCGTACCTTGGTCTGCAGAGGCGGTCGTACAGGTCCGCTGAGTGCCTTGAGCTCTCCGAAGTAACCCAGGGGCCCCCAGCGGGCAGGAGCCGGACCGCCAATGTACGCCACGGCACGCTCATCCGAGTCCTGTACGACACCCACCGTACGATATATCAACAAAGTTCACACGAGAGTGGGATGGTGATAGCACTAATGTGAGAAGCGCTAACGAAATCATGTTGCTGAGAGAAAACACAGGCCGTGGTGTATGTGCCAGGCTTGTTAATCTGGTGAACCGACATACATACATACATGCATACCCACGTAGAGTACCCTACGAGGGCAAACCCCGGGGGCTGCGGCCCGGCCCGTGCAAACACGTCGTACAGCCCCGCCCAGCCCGATCCCCTACCACCCAACTCCACATCCACTCACTCCCGCAACACACCTTGAGGTGCCAGGTCTGGTGTCGCTCCGGAACCGGTGGGTTTCGGAACGCGATGGGGTGTACGAACAGCGGTTGGGGTGCGGGGCGGGGTGCCACCGTGCCCACGTATCTCAGCGCCAGGGACTCCAGCTCCGCGGCGTCGAAGTCGCCCACCACGCTCACCTCGAAATTGCCTTGAGGGGCCAGAGAGAGAGAGAGAGAGAGAGAGAGAGGCAAGAGGCACGGAGATGACGAGGTCGTGCGTTAGGATCCTTGGCACTTGCGATGGGGGCTCTCCCCCACCCATCAGCCAGCTGCCCACTCTAACCCGAGCTCTCAACGATCTCCACCAACCCCCTAGCGCGCCCCATCATCCTACCGCTCGTGAGCAGCTCCGAAACCGCCGCCTTCATCCCATCCAGCGTCAGCGCCTCCAGCTCCTCGGGCGTGGGGTCTCTGAAGCACCTCTCCGTACGACCCAACATGGAGTCTAGCACCCGGTCCGAGGTGGCGCGCTCAAGGGACTTGTGGACGGACCTGGCAGAGGGCCGGGGGAGGGCGGGGGGGGGTAGATCCCGGTGGGAGAGGGGGCCGGGGGTACGGGTGAAGACAGCCGGGGTTGTAGGAGGGCCGTGCTAATTGGGCCGGGGTGTGTGTATGTGAACGTGTGTGTTTTGCTTGCGTGTGTGTGTGTAGACGTGTGCATACACACGCCATCCGTGCCGTGCGGGAGGAACGCGCGGCGAGGCGAAAAGGTAGTCAAGACACAACCACAGCGACGGAGGACGGCCGCCGAGGAACAAACCCCCCTCCCCCTCCCCCTCCCCTCGACCCACTTGACAGATGCCAGGAAAGCCAGCTTGGCCCGGTCCATGGCTCCCTCCTCCCAGCGGGGGGACTCCAGGAACATGTGTATCATTTGGAACATGGCCTGAAAGGGGGGCGGGCGGGGAGGAAGACGAGGGGGGCCCGGTAGTAGGCGGTGAGTAGGGGTTGGATAGAAGAGGGTGTGTGAGCGTGTGTGCCTCTCGCTGTGTGTCTCTCTGTGCGTGTGTCTGTGGGTGTGCGTGAAAAGGTTACAAAGTGTGTGTTGAAGGATACATGCGTGTGTGTGTGTGTGTGTGTGTGCGTATGGAGAGGACGGAGCTGGACGAGGTGGTCAGACGGAAGGCGGAAAGAGCCCCCCCCCCTCCTGTGCTGCTCCCCCTCACTCACCTCCATGCCCCCGTCCACCGAGGAGAAGTGGAAGTCCATGACGATGTTCTCCTCATCCGCCTCCAAAGCGCAGTTGACCAGGTTGGCCACACAAAACACCTCAATCTGCCGGGAGGGATGCGAGGGACCGGTACGTGTGGACGTGTGGAGGTTTGGCAGGGAAGGGGAGAAGGGGGGAGGGGAGAGGGGGAGAAGGGGGGAGGGGAGAGGGGGAGAAGGGGGGAGGGGAGAAGGGAGGGGAGAGGGGGGTTCGTAGGGCGTTTCCAGCGGGTTTGTATAGAGGTGGGGACGACACGCTTGTAGGGGTACTCAGTAGGGGTACATGGACGAGCGGCAGGCAAGCGGGCGCGCAGTTCCCCTTTAGGGGATAAAGGACAAACGCGCGCGCGTGGGCACGTTAAGCACGCGCTGTATGCAGATGAAGAATGTACATATCAATGTACAACACGATTATCCCGCGGAAACCGGTATGTGAAACCCTTTCCCGCCACCCCCAAAAAAGACAGACAGACAGACAGACAGACAGTCAGACAGGCACACAGAAAGTCACACCAGCAACATGGTGGCCTTGGGACAAAACGGATTCGTAGGGTTCTGTCAGGGCAGCTGCAACAAAATACAAACGAAAAAAACGAATTCCACACAACCAAACATTCATAAACACACATGCTCTACTCAAAAATGCAAATGCATACACACACACACACACGTACGCATGCGACGGCAGTGCATTTCGGTGCCTCATGCGATGGCTAATCACAACATTTAAACTCCACGCGCCATCGCGCCGACCTTTACCCCTCCCCCTAACCCCCCCCCAAACACACACACCTGTTCTCGTCCCCAGGGTCCGACTGCTCCGCTCTCGCTCAGCGTCCTGGAGCCCACCACAACGCGACCGAACTGCCCCACACCGGGCCGCTCAGCCACACGGCCACCGTTGGCAATCAGCCGCAGCAGACCCGCCCGCGGTTCGTTATCCGTGTAGCGGTAGTTAATGGAGATACCGTTAGATAACCGGCGCTGTACGATACCGCTGTGGGGGTCGGGCGGAGGGAAGGGCTCGCCTGCGGAAGCGGAAACGGGGGGGATAGGATGGGGTTTGGGGCACGGCCCGGGTGCATGTGCGTATGTGCGTGCGTGCGTATGTCTGTATGTATGGCTGTATGTGCGCCCCGAGCCCATGGAAATCACCCAATCGGAGCGCAAAAAAAGGCATTACACATACAAATCTTCAGTGTACCATGGCCCATGGGTCACACCACACCTACCAGATCCGGGCACCACGGGCACGTACTCGGGCTTCCGCTCCGAAACCAGCTGCGAGAGCTGCTCCGTACTGATGAGCGAATCGGGCAGATCCACATCCTCCGCAGCTGAGCAGTCCAGGGAGGGGTCTGCCAGTGCTGCGGCGATCTCGGCGGGGGAGGGGTCGAACTTGATAGCGCCCTCGGGCACCTCAAACTCCTCTATCTGCAAGAACACGGGTACATGTCTGTCTGTCTGCCTGTCTGTCTCTGCCTGTCTGTCTGTACAGATTGCTGATGCGCAATGGTGTAAAGCCCACGTCCCACCATCACACCTACACAGGAATTGTATTTCTCCCACACTCCCCACCCCCCGCCCGGCCCCCATCACATAAAACCCCTTTCCTCCTTCTTCCCTCCTCCCCTATATAACCCCCCTCCCTTAATTCGCACCTGCTTGTTCTGTTTCTCCAGCTGGTCCAGGTCGATCTGGTCAGCGTCCAGATGACCCGCGGCCCCCAAGCTGCCGCCACGACCTGCCGTACTGCCGGCGGAGACGGAGGCGCCCGAGGCATCCACGTAAGTGGGGATGCAGGCCACGATTGACGTACACCGCGTAGGGCCCAGATAGGGCCACCGACCCGGCTCCAGGGCGGCCTCCTCGGCAGCGGCGGCCAGTACGGCACCCTCCGCGCCGTAGTCGGATGCGAATGTCAGCATGGACCGAGCCAGGGCGTTGACCTCCCAGAGCTCCACCTGCAGGCGCGTCGTTTGAACGGGGGGAAGGGTTGCAGGGGTTTGTTTTGGGTTTACACGAGCGAGCAAGAATGGAAAAGTTAACTTAAGATTTATTGAGCACGGACAGACGTATAGACAGACAGACAGGCAGGCAGGCAGGGTAGGCCACCTTTCATGCACCCCAACCCCCCTCACCGTCTCCGCCACCGCGCTCATGGCCTCGTGCGCATCTCGGTGGCCCATGACCGTGTGGCCGCACGCCAGGGACTCCATCACGAAGTTGAGGGTGTCCACGGAGGGAATCTTGTTGGCCTGCGGTGGGGTGCGGATGTGGGTTGATGGTTAATGGGTGCAGGTGGATGTAGGTGGATGTGGGTGTAAATTGACAAGGGGGGAAGAGGAGGGGAGGGGAGGGAGGGAAGACGAACCACGAACGAGTGAAGCTGATGCCAAGGAAGGGAAGGGAGGGGAGGGAATCATATGCGCCGATCCAAGAAAACAAGATATAAAGGGGCGGGCGGGATAAGTAATGTAGACCGGGCAACATGCATCCTCACCGGTGGGTGGGTGGATCCCGGGGTCCCCAGGAGCAGGGGGCAGAGTGGGGTTCCGATACAATCCCACATCCACCCAGATGCAACAACCTTCCCGACAAGGATACTCCCCTCCCCTCCCCTCCCCTCCCTACCTGCTCTGCCAGCTGGGCCGAGTCCCTCAGAATGGCCTGGCGGTAGCGGTCGAATTCGCCTGCGCGTGTAAGGAGAAGGGAGATGGTGGTGATGGTGATGGTGATGCGGGGGCGGGGTAGGGTGACGGGGAATGGCCTGATGGCCGGTGGGAGAGAGGTATCACATCACGAGACGCTGAAAGTCTCCTTAACGGAGGGTTTTGGAGATTGCCTCTTCCCTCCCACACCGTCCCTTTCCCTTCTAGGTTTCCAAGCTCTTTATTGATATAGGTCTGATTGCCCACAGCCATGTCCATCCCATCCCTGCACACCCACCCACCCACCCTGCGTGAGTCCGTGCCGCTGCATGCGCCGCATCTCCTGCACCGCCACCGCCACCGCCCCCCGCCAGTCCGCTGGCTCGCTGGTGATGGTGAGGGTGGATACGGCACAGCCCTCCCGACCCGAGTCGCTGATGTCCAGAGTGATGTACAGGAAGGGCGGCTGACCGGTGACGTACCTGTGTACGGCTCCAAGGAATAAAGGGGAAGGGATGGAGGGGGTGGAGGAGGGGGTGGAGGGGAGGACGAGGGCGTGGTGAATCTGAGGGGATGGAGCCCTGCGGTAATGATTACAATATCTACAACAAGCAAATGCCGGCGTTCAGAGCCGTGTAGCGGGGGAGCTCTGGGGTGTGGGGGTGGCCGGTGGGAGGCAGCTGCCCAAGTGCGCGTAAGCTCCTCGCACCGCCGGACAACACACGTTCGGGGCGCCAGGGCCCCGGAGGCGATTATGCACACACAGGAGCACGAATTTCAGAGGGGACGCACATACATACATACATACATACATACATACATACATACATACATACATACATACAACACATACAATACATACACAGGTGCTACTGCGGCGACAGTCCATAAGACCCTCCGTACTGCCGTACCTGCCGTTGATCCTGAACTGGAACACGGACAGTATGATCCGCAGCATGAGCAGCTGCTTCAGATGCGCCATCTGGGTCATGGGTTGTATGGGCAGCTTGCAGAACACGGACAGCATGAAGTGCTGCAGCAGCGGGTGGCGGAAGACCTTCACCTCAGCGGGCTTCTCGCCTGAGGAGCAGCAGTAGCAGCCGCAGTACGGGTAGCAGTAGCAGCCGCAGTACGGGTAGCAGTAGCAGCAGCAGTACGGGTAGCAGCAGCAGCAGCAGCAGCAGTACGGATAGCACGGTGAAGGCAAAACAGCAAAGGGGGATTAAACATTTCGACGGAGTGGCTCACGGGTAGTCGGGAAGAATACACAACGAGTGATGTATACGAGGCAGCGCGAGACAGCGAGAGTGCATCTACTACATCATGTGACGTCACTACGGACGTAATAGTACGGCATTAATGGGAGCCCGGGACGTGTTTCGCGGCGGTACGGCACCGTGGAATCCCCGGGGACTTGTAACGGCGCAAGGTTTGTATTTGTACGGCACAGGAGACCAGCAGCTACGATTGCACCAAATTAAGCAACGCGACGAATGACGGAATCTAGATTTGACAAAGACTAATGAGTTCACCAACCCCTCCAAAAAAAACCCACCCACTCACCCACCAACCACCACAACCAACCGCAACAGCAGGAAGTGCCCCACACCCATGGCATCAGCAACAGCCCCCTCCCACAGCCAACAGACACACAGCCTCTCCAAAATGACCTTACCACACCAGCTAGCTAAACTTGTTTTACTATACATACAGACACACGCGATCTCACCTAGAGCCAGCGGCCCGTAGCCCCATTTGTGCTCCACAGGCGGCCGTATGGCATGCCGTACTTTCAACGGCCCTAACTGCTGCTGTTGCCCGGCAGCGGCAGCGGCGGCGCCGTTCCCATTCCCGTTCCCATTCCCGTTGCCGTGCACACCGGCGGCCGCTGCCGCCGCGGCCAGCGGCAGGGGGGGCGGCAGCGCCGCCGCCGCCATTGCCGGCAGCCGCTCCCTTCCCGGGGCCACCCTGCCAAACACCTTCTCTATGAGCCGTATTGTCTCCTGTGTGCTCCTCTCCAGGTCCCCCACCACAAAGAGGGTGACGTTGGCGGGGAAGTACCAGCGCTCCCAGAAGCCCCGCAGAGTCTCATGCGGCCAGGACTTGACCTGGTCGGTCAGCCCGATGGGGAACCTGCGCCAAAACACACGAGGGGGGGGAGGAGGTGTGTGTGGGGGGGGGTGGGGGAGGCGGAGGAGGAGGTGGCGGAGGCCGCGACGGCATCGGGTGGGTACTCCGGCACCGGCATCAGAGGAGGGCAACGAGGGCATGGCAGGCAAAGAGCAGCTGAGGAGAGTCACCATGATGTCGACCATGATGGAGCCCACCACAGCCCCACCCGCAAGACACATATCAACATCCACCCACACCCACCCAACCACCCAGCCACCCACATCCACAAATGATTTCCTCGCCGAGATCTCCCTTCTTCCCACAGCCCACTTCTGGGAGCCCGCAACCTCCTCCCCGTCCAGCACAGACAAACATACACCCACACATGCGCGCACCCACACCCACACCCACACCCTACCTGCACCCCAGGGCATTTTCTTCATGGAGGTAGGTGAGCAGCTGGCAGTCCACGCGGTACTCGATGGTATTCATCATCTGCGCCTCCGCCAGCACCGCCTTGCGCTCCTTCTCAATGCGGGATGCAGCGAACTGGGGGTGGAAGGCGATCTCCTCCAGTGCCTCTAAGACCTGGGAGAGTGAGGAAAGGGGAGGGAAAACGCGTGTGGGTGGATTTTAATATTCGGGACCGCAATCAGCGCGTGTCTGTATGTTTGTGTGTATGTCTGTGTGTGTGTCCATGTATGCGTTTCATACCTGCACGTGCTTGTATTCGTGCGCATGTGCATGTGTCTCTAGTTCCTTGCTCGTTTTGTGTACGTCAAAAAAGACGAGTAGATCTCCAACAAAAGTACTTCAAGCTAGCTGGCGAAGGAGAGAGGAATAAAAGCTCTGCGGCAAATGGGCTGGAGATTATCGAGAGACCATGTGGATCAAACGCTCGTGCAGCCCCCGGCTGACCGGCTGAGCGGGAAAACCCCACCCCACCCCACCCTAGAGAACCAGGTAAGACGAGGAAAGGGGGCCCGGGAACCGCAAGGAGAGCCCCCCCTCGGCTGATTGAAGTACCTGTCATATATAAAACCAAGAAGATGAAGCACAAGGAAGGGACAGAGGGAGAAATCGTAGCCCACCAGCTGAGTCCCGAGCGCCAGGCCTTCCGCCTGACCCGAAAAAGCCAGATGTATATACAACCCCACATCATCGCCGCCCCCGCACCTCCCCTCAGGGGGCCCCCTAACCGCCCCATCCGCCCACCACGAACCTGCGGCAACATGGGCTGTCCGGTGATGCTGTTGACGGCGGGCGCGTGCACGTGAAACACCGTGTGGTGGAAGTCCGTGTAGGCGTTAGCACGCGCCCCCGTACCCAGCAGGTCCTCACGCCGCTTGCTGCCCAGGAAGGTCACGTGCTCCACGAGGTGGGCAACACCCTGTACACCCGGCACAACCAGGGAGGATGTACGGGGAGGTGGGCGGGCGGGCAGACAGGAGAAAATGAACGTGGTGATTGTGGTTGTGGTGGTTGTAATGGTGGTTGTAATGGTGGTTGTGGTGATTGTAATGGTGGTTGTGATTGTGGTGGTCGTGATCGAGGTAGAAAGCCACCCCCACCCCACCCCCACGTACATACATACATACAAACCCCATACAACGCTCCCCCACCCCACCCCATCACCGCTTCCTAACACAACCCACTACAACCCACTACAACCCGAATACATACGCCATCCATCAGAGTCCTCGTCCCCTGTGGGAGCCCCTAGCCCTGTCTGCCCCTTCCCCCAGGCCCCCAGCGCGCACACACACATACATACACACACACAACATGCCCACCTGCTCGTCCTCCCGCTCGTCCACGGAGCCTGCGTGAACCTCCAGATGCGCCTCGAAGCGCTTCGGGGGCAGCTTGTTGGGCAGCAAGACGTACCTGAATACAACAGCATGCGATTACACCGCTCTTCAGGTATGACAGCGAAAAAGGTGGGAGGTTTAAAAAACTGGAACTGTACACACACATACACATACATATACACACAGGTACGCACGCTCATCCAACCACCCCTTCCTCCTCCTCGCACCCTCCCAACCACCCAGCATCTAAAGCCATAGTAGCACACCTCCAGACACGTTCACACGTCCCCGCAGGACAAACTCACACCGACACGTTACCAGGCCGCACACACCACGGCCACGAACCCTCTCGCCAGGAGGCAGCCCCCCCCAAACCTCCCGAATTCCTCAGATCCCAGTCAGCCAGTATGCCCTCTGCCCTCCTTCCCTCTCATACCCAAGGACTCAGCCACTCCTTCCCCCCTCTCCTTCCTCCCCAATCGACCTCTCCACCACACCACACCACACACCACAACCGAACCCTCCTTCTCCTCCTGGCCCACAACCCTCTTCTTCAGCCGCTAAGCCCCCCACCCCCGCCACCCACACCCGCACGCCACCCCCTCCTCTTCCCCGCCTCCTCCTCTTCCCCAGACACCCACGTAATCGGTTTCCCCTTGGCTTCGGCCAGTGCGGGGTTCACTCAGTGATGATGACCTTTCCTCCCCCTCTTCCCGAGCGGCCCCTGCCCCCGGCCACCCACTCACTGCATTCCGTTCTCCAGCCAGCCCACCACCAACTCCGACTCCCGCTTGATGGGCTGATGCAACAGGGACTCCACGGAGGAGGTGTCCGCGGCAGTGGGGGCCTGAGAGGCAGCGTTGGAAAGCAAAGCAAGCAGGCAGACACAAGCGGCACGAACAGCGTCTTCTGAGGTACAGGTTCCGGAGAGGTGTCGCTGCTAGTGCCGCGACACTGGCTGTAAGCAGTGGCAGCGAAGACGACTCATGCGCTGCCATTTGCTGCTGCATACCAGCCCACCGGTGTAGCCGCCGACCCAAATCGCAAAAAGCTGCGGCAAGTAGGGCGCCGCCGACTCGGCCCTCCCGAGGCACCGCCCAGCAGGTACGCCAGTAAGGCTCGTAGTTGCATCGTGTTCGTGCTCTTGCAAAAGCAAGATTTGTGTGGAGTGAGTCATCGCAAAGTGGCTTACCAGGGCCGTGCACACCACCAGCGTCGCGCCGCGGCGGTAGGCGGCCACATGGATCCATGGCCCCGAGCTGGCTGCGCTGCGTCCCGGCCCGCCTGGCCGAGAAGACTGTAGGTGCTGCTGCTTTAGCCACCGAGCTGGCAGGCGCCTCTGGCCGAATACCTGGGACGCAGCCGCTGCTGGAGCATGCCTGCGGGTAGTGGGGGTTGGGAAGAGGCGAAGCAAACAAAGGGACGCCACCACAAGCAGGTTAGGTTTAGGTAGTTCATGTAAAGTGAGTACCCAACAGCACAATCGATTGCGTTGCCAGGAGCAGTTGAAGGCAAGGCTGGCGGGGTCTGTTGTATGGATATCGCGGCGCAGACATCGCGCGAGTGGGCAGCAACGCTGCTCGCTTCCGTGATGCCGCTATTCGCCTGCATCCCTAAGCAATAACTGAACACAGCCCATAACGCCGTTACGCTAACTGACGAGCAAACCATAGCAAAACAGAGCACAGTCCTAGCCTCGCTTCATGAACCATTCTGAATGGGGACACTTTACATATTTTGCAACCGATTTCGGCTCTAGGGGCTCACGTTGTAGTCATAACGATATGGCTTAAAGCATTCTCGCTGCTCATCCAGATGTTGCCCCCGCCGCCCCCACCAGATGCTCATTCTTGACGAGTGCAAAATGCCAGAAGTCACACCTTAATCCGGAAGCGCCAGGCTTGGTGCGATACGGGTTCACCGACGCCTTCGGCAGCGATGCAAAAAGCTTCACGCTGGGCGGCCGGAATGTTTGTCCAGACCTGCGAGATGCCGCAGGCCGGGTAAGAGGTTGGCCCTTGGCCAACATGAAAGCTGAGGCTTTCCCCTAATTGCCAGGCGTTTGTGTGGTGAGATGTGTTGCGTAGTAGTAGCCAAGTGGCCTCGTAGTTGCTTGCACAAGTAATCCTTATAATAAAACTGAAATGTATTGCAAATTTATGATCAGGAATATGCAGGCCCCTCAGAGTCGTGGTCTTTCCGGTGGTGTCATGCACCCTCTCGACCAGGCACTAACTGCGAAATAACTTGAACAGCGTACCACCAATAAAATAAGATATTCAAATTTTTAGATACTAATACACGTCAGCTCTGCCTATTTTTTGTTTGCATCCATACTTCAAGGGCCGACCCTCCGGGTCTCGAGCAGCGATGCCAAACATGGTGCATTTTTCAGAGCATCAATCTGGAAACATGACATTCAATTGACAAACGGAAATTCTCTCGAAGTGTGGCTTCCACGAAATTTTTGTATCACCTCATCCACGTCAGGACTAGCCCGTCTACAACAGCAACCCCAGGCCCGCGTGTCCATTTCCACATCAATCTCTAGGAAAACTTGCGATGTATGAAGACTTACATGCACATCTTCTCTAGTTCATTTCTGCATAGCGAATTTAAAGAAAGCGACCCTTCCTCAACCCTCGTACACCCATTCCACACAAAGTCCACTGGCTTTTCCAGCACAGTCCGCAACAAATGGGCTCCCCGAGCCCTACACCCTGCAACTCCTTCTACCTTATCCGAGGCTTACTGACCTACAACACATATACACATACACACACAATACGCTCCATGCATTTTCCACGCTTGCGGAAAGCCCAGCCAGCGACACGCCCTTAGCCAACGTGGTTGCCTCAGTCAGTAAAAGCGGCTCTCTAGCAGGCAGCCCTTCAGGCCCCGCAATACATGGGCTGAGGTCTTTAACCTTCACGTCCCTCGCGGCTTTTTGCTGTTCATCTGTCCGCAACTTCTACACCCAGACCTGCCCAATGGGCCAGTGTGGATATCGCATCCGCGTATTCAAAACCTGACTCGAAAAAAATAAGTCCGGATGAGAGTCCGGATGCGGCATCAGAGGAAAAACATGTTTGGCTGTGCATCCTGTTGTGCGCCTCCGCAGCACCCTCCGCCGCGGAAGGAGGCGGCTTGCCTACCCAGTCCGTCCCCACAGCTCACATATTCCGCCCTGCGCAATCCCCTACTCCTCTGCCCCCAGCCCGCACACACACACATACGCACACACAACCCGAACCCCCTAGGACCGCCGCTCAGCCGTATCGCCGGGTGAGTATATACGGGTCGATGGTCTCCGTACGATCGCCGTACGCCGCAAGGGACGGTTTGGAGGAAAGCAATCGCCGTACAAATTGCCGTATGTCGTCCTGCGTCACCGCCTCCAGCATCTCGACGTAGGTGCGGCCGCTTATCCTTCGAGGGCCGCGCGGACACACAACACGGAAGAAGCGTCAGAGCTCCCAGCTCCTCTAATACATATCGGTTGACGGTTCTCATTTATTTCAAATGTTTCATTAAACATAAATAAAATATATAAAATGCCCAGTTTTGGGACGTCCGCACTTCCCCGCGGTTGCGTTAGGGGGACTCCGTACGATGTCCTAGCAACTCCCCGCACACTTTCCGAAGTCGGCCGCGTCGCTGATCGGAGCCGTGGACAACAACAGCACTAGTACTAGTACTAGTACTAGTACTGCGCCTTGTACTTCATCTTGCAAACAAATTTGCAAATTCGCCAACAGGTTTCTCTCTTCCCTCTTCACTCTCCCCCCCTTCCTACTACCTGCGGCCGTACGTAAGGTACTGGCGGCCGATGTCCTCTGCGCTGGTCGCCTTGGACTCCAGTGCATTGCAGATGACGGACACTGCGGACCGCTTGGCCCGCTCCAGCTCCACACGGTTGGTGCCGCTGCGTTGCACAGGGAGGGAGGGAGGGAAAGAAGGAGGGAAAGACGAACCACGAACGAGTGAAGCTACTGCCAATTGGAAAGAGAAGCAGAACTGACCAGTCGGCGGTTTTGAAGAAGCCGACCTCGGGATGATGACGACCGCGGAAATCTACCTACCTACCTAGCCGCCAAGACTAAGGTAAGAGCGGGAGAAAAGCAGTAGAGCGAAGCCGTAAAGAAGTAAAGGTAGGTGTGGAGGCGGCGAAAAAGAACTGATGACGTGAGCTGGAATAAAGTTTGCCGTGGAGGGAGGGCGTGAGGGCGTGAGGGCGGAGGGAATGAAATGGAGTAAGCAAGACGCAAAGGGTCCACTGACTGCCGGTGTCCAAAGCACCCACCCAGGGGGGAGGGGAGGGGAGCGACTACTAAGACTACTAAGACTAAGACTACTAAGACTAAGACTACTACTAAGACAATGAAAGGGAAAATTCCGCGGGCTGGTGGGGACATGCAATCCATGCATGCAATGATACAGGTTCACGTAAAGTAATCCAGTGCTTGAGAACAAACAGCAATGCAGGGTGGAGGCCGCGAAGGACGTCGGACCGGACTAGCAGGGGCCGGAGCTATCACCACTAAAACCCAAATCCTGGTCCCAAATCAATCCACATTGCGACCGCGTGCGTTTCAGCGAGCGAGCGATTGTGTTCATTATTATGGCGATAAAAGGGAGGTCCTAGGAGACGTGTGCGGTGTACGGCTGTGTATGGCAGGGTTGCTTACTTCTCCACCGCCTCCAGTTCCGAGCACATAATGTTGAGCATCTCCCCCACGCGGTTGGGCTCGCTGGCGGCCTGCACACACGACCACGCGAGAGGCCATGTATAGAGGGGACCGAGGGGCGGGGTGAGGTGGGGTGAGGCGGGGTGGATTGGAGTGGGGCGCGGTGGACATGGATGTCTGAAGGGATGCGGGAAAGTGATGTCCGTCGAGGAAAAGAGGAAAAGAGAACCGCCGCCTTAACAGTGTAACTTGAAGGGATGCAGCCCCCTCTAGGGAGCATCGGAAAGGAAGGGACAGTGGCCCCTCACGCCCTTCCCCTTCCCCCTGGGGGGGCCGGGGAGGTGCTTCGGCCGGCGGTCTTGCTCGTTGGAGCAGCTGGTCAGCAGCCCCTGGCCAGCGTCGTCAGGCCCGACAAACAAATAGAGACACACACACACACACACACACACACACAAGCAAGCAACCCCGATGCTCTCCACTCGCATCCCAGTCTTAATAAAAACACAGATTACCCACGTCACAACAGAGGCCGCCGCAACAGAGTCCAACCACCCACGGACAGACGGACAGACAGGAAAACCGCAACTTGGATCATTCAAACAACAGGCACACACACATACACACATACACACATACATACATACACACACACACCACGTAACGTACCTGTATCCCCACGAGACCACTCCCGTTGAACGTGGAGTTGAACGACGCGCACGAGTGTACGAAGCCGTACTTGTTAAGTACCCGCGTGTAGAGGCGGCTGTGCATGCCCTTGCCCGGGCCCCCCGACGAGAAGGAGTTCCCCCCCCCTAGCAGGTAGTTCAGCACCGTCATCACCACCGCGCCGTGAACATCACGCCAGCCGCCCCGGTACTCAAAGGCCAGCAGCAAATTGGACTGAGCGTATGAGCCCGGGAGGTGCACGAAGCCGCCTGGGGCAGTGCAAACATGGGCTCGGGTGGGCTTTGGGCTGCTTCCGAGCGTTTGAATGGGATTCAAAAGGTGAGAGGGATTTATTAAAACCTACCTACGGCGTGGAACTGACTTTTATCCCGACATACACGCGCAATGCAGGATGGGTGCTAGGATTATTTATTGAGGTGACGAAATGGGCATTGCTCACGGGTTATGCTCGGAGATCATATGTTTGGCCGCGGGTGAGAAAGGCTACATGATGTGGACAGCTCATGTCATGCGGATTCTAGCTCCACAATCAATTCACGGTGCTGGAAATCAGGGTTACCTTTGAAACGATCCGACACGTTATCATGTTCTAAATGTTCGATAGTCCTTTATCAGCCCAGGCAGATTTGGAGAACCCTTAGGCCGCACCCCCCACACCTGCTTCGTCATGTGATCTCGCCCCGTACCCCACCGTACGACGGTCTTCTTACGCGCCGTCCCCCTACCCACCGTTACCACACCTACCCACATACTCGGGCTTGGGTTCCGCCAGGGGTGTAGCCCCGGGCAGTCCCTGCAGCATGGGTTTCGCCAGCTCCACCAACTCCCCGTGATCCACCCCGGCGGCCGCAAGCACCAGATGCGGGGCGATGAAGTGCCGGGCGACAAAGGACCGGAGCACGTCGGGCGTGATGCGGGCCATGGATTCGGGCTCCGGAATCAGGGGGTTGCCGTACGGACCCTGATAGGCCGCGCGGGTGAGGAGCTGTGGGTGGGTCGGAGGGGCGGAAGGGGGGCGGAGAGAAGAGTGTGTGTGGGTGTGTGGGTTGGATGACAGGTTACCGCACATTTGGGTTATATAAATATGTAATGTATGTATGTATGTATGTATGTATGTATGTATGTATGTATGTATGTATGTATGTATGTATGTATGTATGTATGTATGTATGTATGTATGTATGTATGTATGTATGACTTAGATTACACTGTGGGCCGCGAGAGCCGGGGGCCGAAGTATGTATGTATGTAATTTTGAGGCAGGTTGATGCGCGGGTCGGGTTGGGGCCGGAATTAAAAAACACTGTGCTCGATTGCCAACGCCCGAGAGATACAACCCATGCAACCGAACCGCAGGTCTGTCTCCGTCGACCAAGGAAGGCTCAGCGCAGCAGGGTTGCGGCAGGTGAGGCGCGACAAGATGGAGATGACCACCCGGTGATCAGAAGTTCCGCGTTCGATCCCCACCTCCGTCATGAGCGTGGCGTGAATATCCTTGCCGCCCAGCAGCATCGCCAGCCGCATCTTTTGATCCTCGACCTCCTGAGCCTCAAATGCCGGATTGAGAACGCAGTCCAGTAAAAGCTCCAACGCGGCTGGGAAGCCGGTCTTAAGGCAGTCAATGGTGTATGACATCTACGCGGAAGTACGACAAAGGAGACGTCATGCATACATCTTTCAGTCAGCTTAGCGTTGACTAAACTGCGTGCCTCGGCACCCAAACCTCTCCCCCTCCCCCCTCCCCATCCCCACTTCACCCCCTCGCCGTGCCGGGTGGCACCTAGCTCACCCATCTGATTTCACCAGACTTCAGATCTCCCACAGGGGCCCCCACTTACCTTGCACCGTGCACCCTCCGGTTCTCATTGTCCTCCTAATCAGTCAGCCAACCAGCGCCCCCCCCCCACACACACAAACACCCCTCTTACCTGCTCCCTAGAGGCGTTGGCTACAATCGTGTTTCCGAACTTCTCAACCTGAATGTGTGTATGTATGTACGTATGTGTGTGTGCGGAATTAGAAATTGCGGTTAAGCAGTTGTCTTGGGTCGTTGGGAAATACGATGCAATCGGATTCCGAGGGACGAGTGCCGTGAGTGGGTGCGATGGGAGTTCAAGGACCGGAAACAACAACAACTGCCGCTCGTGATTGAGGCAGCGGGAAAATAGACCGTGAGAGCTGCGAGTGGCTATTTTACTCGTCCCCGTGCGTCTGTCTGTCTGCCTGTGTGTCTGTCTGTCTGTCTGTCTGCCTGTGTGTCTGTCTGTCTATGTGACGCGGGGCGGATCAGGTGCCCCATAAGCATAAAGCAGTGCACGAACGGACACCAACTGGCGCTGCCGTGGTGGTCTCCAGGGCCTTTCAATGACGATCGTTGCGGCCCCTCTAGAGGCCCGCCACCTCCATTTCCATCTCCATCTCACCTTCCCACCCTCTACCCACGACCATCACACGTAGCCATCCACCATTCATTCTTTACCATGCCGCTGAAAAGTCAATCTTATAACACCCTGCCCACTTCCTTCGTCACCATCATCTGAATTCCCACCTCCTTCATAATCCTCAGTGTTGGCCTGTGAAGGGTGGCCTTGAAGCCCAGACACTCCAACAATGCGCTACAACCTGTACGGCAGTCAGATACGGCATAAGCGTCCACATATGCGGACGTCCAGTGCTGCAGTAAACGCTAAAGCTATGTGCCCGAGGCACAGTATGTGCAAAACGGGGGAATGAATGCGTGGCAATGGTGGCGATGGTGGCGGAGGTGAACAACAGTTGGAGCAGAGGGGGAGAAGAAAACATGGGCGCCGGGGTTCTTTTACACCTTTCGATTTTCGCGATCGTGCGAGTGCGGGTGTAATGAGTGCTATGGGCTTTTCAGAAAGCGTAAACTGGGGAAAGCACATGTACGGGGCCCAGGCTGGCGCAGGGTACCCGGCGGACCTGAGTTTTCTGCCGTCTCGTAGATGCTGCCCGAGTTGACGTACATGCCCAGGCTTGCTGTTGGCCCCTGCAGGCAGGGGGTTTGGGGTTTGGGTTAACTGGTCGGCGGCATCGGAAGCAGTCGTCGGCAATCTTGGCGACTCACAGGAGACGCTTCGCTGATTATCCGGACACCATTATCCAATACAGTAATTTGGGTCGGAGGCGGTGTCAAGGGCGGCAGACCTGGGCGTTCAGGCTGAACGCCCGGCAATGGATGTGACAGCGGCGTTGTAATTCGTTTTGTGCCATCTTTAAGCCAGTCCATGAAATCGTGCGGGGCGGCGGATCCACCACCAGAACCTGATGTCCCGGCAACTAACTCGCCCGCTGTGAGCAACCCGCTTGTGCTAATACATCGTAGTCCTCCTGATCGCTCCCCACCGCGGAGCAGCCGGAGCGCTGTCCTGCGCAGCCCCATGATGCGGATCTACTCTATAAGTTTAGGCAGCCAAGCGAAATATGGAGGCGCAACAAACTGTGCCAAACTCAACAACGGGGTCTGAGGTTATCGGCAAGATGCCGAAAGATTAAATCGTCACCCGCATTTTTCAAAAAATCAATGTGTAAATGATACTGTGAGCTTGCGTGTTGCGGCGCACAACTTGCTGTAACGGAAAACTGCTTTCATCGTTATAAATCGTGACCGTAAAGCCTTTGCCAGGCAACGTGTCCGAAAAGGATATATAATTCAACAGATAACTGGCGCCAGAGTGCACCTGAGGATAGCATTTCCAGTGGCTGTCTTGCTCGCTAAAATCTATAACGATACGTAGTACGCTCCGGGTGGTCCTGCATAGCAGCCATCTGGTCCGCTTTTGCGGTAGTCCTTAGCGACGGAACGCAGATTTGTCATAGAACGCGTCGACGAAGGTCCACGGTGTATCGCCATGTCTATCGTCAAAGGCAAGCAGGACATCCATGGACCCGCGGGCCGAGCTGCCAACTCCTTCTGCCAATGCCTTGATCAAACGACCATACGCTTAGCATTTTGTAGATCTGCGTGGATAGGCGTCACGCTCAGCTCCCACACATATTTCGGCATCAAGGCCAGCCGTCCATATGAAGTTGACGTACAAAGGCCGACTACAAAAGGCGACGGCCGCTGTACATCAGGATTTCTTACATAGCCAGGGGATACCTCCGTCTACCTCCGCAAAGACGGGATACGAGGGCACCCGCCTGCTCATGCCTTCATAGACCAACGCCTTCCAATGGCTGTTTGCAACCCTCTGGTTGCTCGTCGCCATCCTCTACCAGAACATCGTGCTCCTGTGCCCGCCCAGTTCGTTCCTTCCTGGCCTAATACAAATTACATTATTGCGCCTGGGCGGCGTACCTCCACTGCTCTGGCACCGCATGAGTGGAAGGTTAAGTGAGCCGCACCCGGGGGAAAAGGTGGGTGGGTGGGATGGAGTGTCCGAAAATAAGTCCGAATTCCCGACTCCGTTAACAAACTTTGTTGTCTTTGGGGAAAAAGCCGTCAACACGTTCTCCACATTCCGGCCTCTCCAGCAGCAACGACACAGCGGCGGGTCGCCCTGCAAGGCTCCTATCCAGCTACTCTTAAGCGCCCTTCTCCTCGTCCCCCACACAGAACACTCACCCCGCTGCCATAGCATCCACTTCCCAGGTCTGCACATCCGCGAGCGCCCCAACCCGCCCCAACTGCACCGCTGCTGGCGCTCATGGCCTTCAGCAACATCAGCAGCAATACACAGCGGCCAGATCTCTCCAGTTGCCGCAGGCTGCTGCAACCACCACACCACCATTGCCACCACATTCGCCAAGAAGCACCTCCCAACAGCAACAACAACAAATCGTGGACCACCACAATCAGCGACCCTTGCAGTACACGGGCTCCTACGGAATGTTGGACTTTGTTTGGCCTTGGCTGCATCCATGATGATGTCACTACTCCTCTGAGAACGCCAACAGCTCAGCTGTTGCCTACCTCACTGTTGGCTGCGCAGCAAGCATACACGCCGGGACTAACCTAATTGCGCATGACCAATCCACGCCCCACGACCAGCTTTTGGATGCCCGCGTCTGTCCTCTGTGCGCCTGGCCGGCCGGCCGGCCGTCGTACGACTGCTGTCGTACCGGGTTAACCTAGATTGCCGTGCGTCTGCGTTGTCTCTCCACTGCGACCAATCCTCCATCCTCTACCAGCACCCTCTACAAACACCACAGAGGAAGGACAACGTAGCCAAACGGTCTTCTCGCGCATCTACTGTCCCTCGAGATTCCACCCTCCCACCCCAGCTCCACACCATTCCACTGGAAAAACCAGGTACCAAAAGTTGCGTGCATTGTGACCCAAGAATTGGGGAGCGGCGGCCCAGAGCCCTACGGATGGCCCCCGCCTGTTCCAGGCCCTGGCCGCAGCCTTCCTCCTGCACCGCATGCACACCATGAGGCTTGCTGCTGCTCCGGAAGCAAGCCCCCTACCAAAGAGGGGCGGTCGCCTGTACCCCTCCAACCCCTCCCTCCTAGCCAGCCACAGCTCCTATCACCCATCACCTCGCGATCATCAGGCGACGAGATGAAGGCTGCCTCAGGTTACAATTCCCCTGAAATTTTTTAACGCATGCATGCACGGGGGGCCCTGCTCGTGTGCGCACACACAGCGAGACGCATGGCAGCATCTTGCCGCGTTTTTTACACGGAAATAACCCACAGCTCAGCACAACAGGGTGAGCGGGTCCACACTGAGGTGAAGTGAGGGCTTCCGCCAGCCCTGCCCCTCAAGACGGCCCACGCGCGCGCCGACCGTCAACCCTCGGCGGCTGTACGATAACCCTGCTTGCTCCTCCGCCAGGTCGTACGACGCGGCCAGCGTGCCGTACTTGAAGGTCTTGCACAACGCCAGCGAGGGTTGCGGTCCCCGGCTGAAATCGTGGGAGATGTCCAGCTCCCAACCGGTAATACGGTGCCGTACCTGCTCTTCGTCCTCGGGTGGGACAAGCATGTAGTACAGCTGCGGCAGAAGGGGGATGTTCCAGATAAAGCCGGGGATGCGCTCCTCAATGTTATAGTCGAAAAAGTCCGCCGCGTAATTGGCAAGTCGACCCAGATCGAGGCGGCAGCCGATGCGAGTAGCGTGCAGCAAGTCGCGTCCCCGAACCTCGTGCTGGACGTAAAGTGTGTGGCGCGCGCCGTCGTCTGCGGGCTCCTCAATGCGATCGGTGACGTCATTGAATACGACCTTGCGCCATTCGGGCCCTGGAGTGCTGACCGCTGCGGCCAATTTGACTGACCGCATGATTGGGTCAACGCGCACGAGCAGCGTCGCGCGCTCGGTGTCAGCGTCGCCCGTCCAGCAAGCGGATAGCTCCGGTTTCCGGGTCTTCAGGTCATAGCTAGCAGCGACATAGTTTTCACCCTTGAATTGCTTCGCAGCCATGAGCTTCAGGCTGGGCACGCTGCTTTCGCCAATTCTCTGGGCAAGCGCCGCCGTCGGGTTGTCGAGACCCGTGCGAAAGCTCAAATTGCCAGCCGAAATGCCGATCGCCAACGTGCTGAGCTTTAATGCAACGCCCACGTCCGATGCGCCCTCAACGACGCGACCCGTTGTGCTCAGCTCGGCTACATCGATTCCCTCCTTGACGACAAACGAGCAGCGCCCGCTGGCGGCCGTTCCAGAGCGATCTTTCAGGCCAAATGCAGAGCCTATGTTACGCCACTCAATTGGCAAAAAAGACAGCCGCGGAACAAAATCAAGGCAATTCTCCTCCTCTTGTCCCATGGTGGCGGCCTAGAACCGAGATCTACACCAAATATTATGTGCACACTCGTTGAGAGGTGAAGTGCAGCATAGGAATTTCAGAAATGCTTGTTGTTGCTCTGCACTGGGGCGAGAACCGATCGAGGGTGTACGACTCCTCTCTCCTGCCCTTTCACTAGGCCTGGACATCATTCCCGAGAGCGTCTGCAAAAGTTAAGCATGTCCTACACGACCTGTAGTGGTTTGACTTCTTAGAGTGAAACACCAGGCTAGAGTCCTTGCATTTCATTGTGTTCCTTCAGTTGCTGCTGGACAGCTTTGTTCCAAAACCTCTTGATAGTGTGAACTAATTTGCAAATATGCAGGTGTGTGTGCCTCACGAAGATTTTCCTCATCGCGCCTAAGCTCGATCATCTTGACCAGTTGCGTATCTATTATCGTCATCACCGCGCAGGGAGCTGGACCGCCAGGTGGTCACAATCCCTTTGGGCCAGCGAGCCAGGGCGCGTACCCAGCGTACAACGTCAACACCACGGCGCAGTTCGCCGATGAGGTGATGCCCGCAGCTCCCCAAGGGCCACCGCCCTCAGCTTCCTTTGCACCAGTCCAGCAAGGAGCTTGGGGACCCCCAGCACCCCCAGGCGCGGGGTACGGGCCACAGCATGTCGCCCTGCAGTTCACAGGTACGTCCCTGGGGCCGCGACGTGCACCATACCGCGAGTACGGGCTTGCCTCCCGTCAAGAGGCCTGTCATATGGGCATTCCGGGCTCAAGACATCTCTATCACAAGGCTATCCAACCCCGGCAGCTTGTGGCCTAGTTTCTAGTACGCCTTCCTTTCGATGGGCCACTTCCCGGATGGTCCCTTGTCTTTCTATGTATTTGAGACATCCGAATGGGAAATCCGTCCTTTGTTGCAAGAAATGATTATGGTGGAATCCCTTGCCCCGGGGCCCGGTCCTCCTGGCCCCTGGGCTCGGGAACCCCGCCCTCTGTACAGACACGACAGCGCCACAATACGTGGCGGGCAATATTCAACGACAGGAGGAGCGGCAAATCCTAGGTGCGCACATCACCCCTCCTTCCCTCCCTCACCCCCATCAATATGTGTGTGCGTGCAGTGCATGCGAACCGTTCAGATGGAGTTCCCCCAGGCATTGCCCTCAGGATCACGCGTCCGTGACTCACTAATGTTGCATATTTAACGGATAATATACTAGGGAGGGTGATGAGAGAGAGAGAGAGAGGGGGATGGGGAAGTGCAAGGGGGAAGTGCAAGGGGGCTTAATGCCTAGCCGAGACCGCAATACCACGGGGGTTATGGGGATTATGGAAGAGGGGCGCTGCCAGCGGGACTCACTGCAGCGGCGGACACCTACGGCCCTCGTTACTTCTGATATAGCGAGACACGATGGCCAAGACTGCCAAAATGAAATCGTAAGCTTTTCAACCTGACCTTGAACCCACCCCGGTGTCGCTGTCCCCCCTTGGAACTTGCCGTGTCCTCCTGGACATCGTCACGTCTTGCTCGGCGGCTTGGGCCGTACAGTTGGGATGCAGGCGCGTTCCGACGACCCAGCCAGCTTCTCAGGCCCACGGGCCCCGGGCCTCCAGCCCTTCCCGCCGCCACCGGCTGCAGACGGCGGCCCCGGGGGAAGCGCCAGCGCCAGCACCCCCAAGGAGGATTACACCAAGTATCCTTTCTACAATGTGCGGCGTTACCGGGAGTACTTTGATGTTGACACGAAGGTGCGTGTCCTGACGGCTGGCGGTTGGTAAGCGGAAGGCGGGCGGCCAGGGTGCGGCGCGTGGAGAGTGAATCAGGCTGCGGGGAAGAGATTGGACGCGCTGGCGTGTGCTGGGATGGGTCCTGACGGTGTGTATGGTGGCGGGTGCGGACGCCGTGGGGGTTGCATTGGTACGTAAATTGCGAGGTGGAGGTTCGCCTCATACCTCTGGCTGAGGGTTCGCTGCACTTCTGCACGTTTTGAGGCGTATCGTTACAACCCCCCCCCCTGAAATTTACACTTTCCCAACAGGCCACCCTGCGCTCTGTTGGGCAGTCCGTGGTTCCCGTGGTGGTCTTGTTGCAATCTGCAATTTCTCCCTGCTTGGCCGAAAGCCCCAAACCGGGGGCCCCCCATTTTACAACGCCGGTAGCTCGTTCCTCGTTTCCTTACGTATGACTCCCCCCCAAACCCTCCTAAATGTCCTGTTGACTCCCCAACCTCCCAGGACGTCCTTTGGCGAGTGGGTAACTCCATGATCGGGGCCTTCCGACCCAACTTTATGGAGGTCACCATGAAGAACCCCGACCTGTGAGTCACACGTTGGGCTGAGTTTGTTGTTGTGGATGGAGCGCGGATAGTAGTAACAAGAGGCCTGCACGCCGCAGGGTGCTGGTTGGTCTCCGGTGCTGTTGAGCTCGTGGTGGGATGGGCGCCTGCCCGCTATCCCACTTGACCCTTGCCCGTGACTGCCATTGGATTCTCCGCACACAGCATCCTCAACACAACAACGCGCTTGATTCTTGGTCGTTTGAGTCGGTGAGTTCCATTTCCTGACGTCCCTCTCACGCCCCCCCCCCCGCCATCCTCGCGGCCCACCGCACGCACGACCTCGATCTGCTCCATCATCTCCACCATCCGCGGACAGGTACGGTCCGTTTTGGACCGCCACCACGCTCATTTTCGTGACGGCTGTGGTGGGCAACTTTGTGGACTACATCGAATGGCGTCGCGGGACCGGCACCAGCAGCCCCCCGCCGCCGTCACCGCTAATGTCGTCATCACCTCCACCTACTGCTCTCTCCAACGGTGCTGGCCGCTTGCTGCTTAGCTCCAGCGACACCGACTTTACAAAGAATCAGTGGTTCACGGACTATACCAAGGTGGGAATATTGTAATGGGAAAGGATACTCCTGGCCCGTTTTGCCGTATCAGCTGTCCTTGTCCGGGCAGCCGGCGGCGGCTCCGGTGGCCCGGAGCTTTCAAAATTCCGAAAGCTCCGGGACCAGGTGGAGGTCGAGACGGTTCGTTTCAGTTTTCTGACCTAATTGCGTAATTGCGTACACATTCACACACAAAAAAAGCACGCTCACGCGTTTCTTGTTCTCTTTTGCAGCTCGCCACTTCAGCCGCCATCTTCTACGGCTACATCTTCATTGTGGGTCTCGTCCTGTTCTTTATTGTCAAGTGGTTTAAGGGCGAGCTGCGATTGGCCAACGTGTTCTGTATCTACGGTACGGCATGGTGACCCGATATGGCGCGCCGCAGGGGTGGGGAGGTTGGTAAAACGGGGAAGAGGGAAGCGCTGTAATGCCGTACCACAGAGCGAGGGAGGGAAGGGTTGCAGTTAAGGGTTGGGGGTCCATGGTAAGGGGCTGCTACTGGTTACGGCCGATGCCGGCGCGTTGCTAGTGTTGCAGGCCACCTCGCGCTTTAGGTGTTATCGTCTGAACTGCTTACTGTCGCACAAGGCACGCTTGGCCACTTTCGGAAAGCAGCGCTTCCCCCTTAAACAGTTGACTCGTTTCTTTTTGTATCTTAATCCTCCCAACTCCACCTCAATCGTGTCTGCCGCTGTCCTTCCTCCTGCAACTTGTCCGTTTCTCGTTTGCCTTGGCATTACCATTATACAATTCGCCTTCGGCCCCGCCCTCCGCACAGGCTACTGTATGACCATCTACATTCCCGTCTCCATCGCCTGCATCGTCCCCTACGACTGGGCGCGCTGGGTGATGGTAATGACCGCTACAGCCCTCTCGGCAGGCTTCCTGTTCATGAACTTCAGAGCCACGATATACAGCGCAGCGCCAGCGAGGTGGGTGGGTGAGGTGTTGATAGGCGGCGAGTGGACATGTGGCATGTGTAAAAACAATGAACCGGCGCGGCGACGGAATCTGTGGAGAGCGCCCCTTGGGGGAGGGACCGCGGCTTCATGTGTGTTAGTCGGGTGTGTTGATGTTGACCGGGGGTGTGAACGTGATCGGACGGCAAGGGGCTGGCAGCTGGAAGGTCCGCGAAACTTTCTTTAAAACTTAGGGCTGCTGAAATATTACTTGAATTTTGCATGGACACGGTCTTATTATTCTTTCCTGCTGTATTGCTTTTGCTGCAGAGCTGTGCTGGTGCTACTGCTCATCGTTCTGGCCCACATCGCGCTGGGTCTGGGCCTAAAGCTGTATTTCTTCCAGTATTAGGCGCAGCATAACCACGATACAGCCGCTGCACCGCCTCTTCATCGCCTCCTGCTCGCCGTCCTCTCCGTGCTGGGGAGGCCGGTTGTGGCTTTACGAGACGTCGAGCTTCTGGGGCTCCCACGCGCAACCACGCAGCAACATCCCACGATGCATCCTGTGTGTGGGAGCGGCTGGTGGCAAAGCTGCTGACGCGCCCACAGCCGGGGGTCTGTGCTTGGAGAGGTTGTACATCGTTAGCCTCGCTGGTAGCTGGTTGGTACAAAGAGTCGGCGGTGGCGATTATGGCGATGTGGGATTGGAATGAGATGCTTGTGCGTATTGGCAGTATATGGTCTATACTGTTTGTTGTTTATCGTGTACCGTGTCGTACGTATGTTTTGGTAGGTACACGGGGACAAGGGCACAGGCAGTCAGCCGCATATGCATTGTTGTTGCTGGGTGCATTGGGATTTTTGCAGGAAGCGAATGGCGAGTACTGATACCAGCGCCCCAAAGTATCAAAAGCCGAAGCGGCAGCTTCTGTGGGAAAGATGCCGTCCTGTGATTCTTTTTCCTTAGGAGTTCCCCCTCGGCCTCTGCGGGGGTAAGGAGCATTGGGTGTAATGCCGCTTTTCCGCAGCGGGCGGGAAAAGGAGGGTGGGAGCTACTCCGTCGACACGGGGAGGAAGACTCTGTGGTCTCCTCGCCTTTCGGCCGCAGGGGACTGCATTGCGATAGCTGACTGGCTAGATCCGCGATAGGGGCCTCGCGGATACGTGAGTGGGCCTCATCTCGAATGTAGGAATATTGCTGTTGTTGAGCTGTGAACTTCCTTTGCCAGGCTGGGGCGCTGCTTTTCAGGATTGTTGGGGGCCCTGGCTGGCACACATACGCCTGTAAAAAGCTCTATTGCATACCCTGCAATAGCGGTGATGATAGGCTGACAACGGGACCCTGAAGTTCGAGGTGTTCAAAATACGTGGTCATAACGAAACGACAGAGCGGCATATGCCCATATGCTGGAACTGAACGTCAGTAGGTATGGGTGCGGCGCGCGGCACTTAAAAGACACACATCGCGTGAACTGCTCCTCAGGAGCTTATGAACGTGGAAGTTTTCCCTCTCTTCTCCCCCCAGTATACATCCACACGCGGCTCTCAATGCATGCCCCCTCAAACTGCAGCAGTAATACGCTTTTTCAGCGGCTGCAAAACCCTCGCGCGACAGCTTTCCTGCCCACGGTTTAGGACACGGCAACCTCGCGCACAAGCTTGTATCCAAACACACACAGCCGATCGGCCGTCTACATTAGATACCCTCTGTAACCACTCACGGCCCCCTCACGAAGCGTACTTTATTTTGTCCCATGCCCCAAGCCCAGCCTCAATCTCCAGGATCCCGCAAAGCCCCCGTTTGATTCGTGCGTCTAGCATTCGTGGGTCTCATCTACCACACCACTTCCCGGGAATCGCCTTGGAAGACCGAAAGGGCTGAAGCGGACCCCACCTTGCAAAAACACCTGAACTGGGCATGAGGCGCAGCCATCCGCAGTTCCGCGCCGCTGTGACAACGGGCGTAACGGTCCTTCGCAACCGACAAAGCCCATCCAGCGAAGCCGCCGCCAAGCCGCTTCATCTCCTCTACTTGTTCTTTCGGCTCTCAGCCCCCGCCAGCTTCTCCCTCTTCTGCCCCTGGGCCGCCTTAAGCTGCTCCGCCGTCTTCTTGCGATAGGCAATGATCTGCAGCAGCAATATCGCATTGATGACAAGACCTGCGCGGGCGGAGGCGGCCCAAATGGAGGGGGTGGGGATGGGCCCAGGAAAGGGTGGGGGTTGCGGCGGTGTAAGACATGCTGTAATAAGGGAATAACTTTTGAAGTTCTTGGTTGAGCTGAGACGAAAATGACAGGGGGATGGAGTTCGACTTGCATAGAAAGCATGGCACGTGGTCACATGCGGCGACCAGGTGGGTGGAGAGGGGTAGAAGAAGAAAGGGAGGATCGTCAAGACTTAACAGGCCCAAATACTTAGGACCGAAGCACGGAACGCATAAAGCAAGGGGCTACGGTGACAGAGACGGATGAGGCGAGGCTCCTTCAGAGGCTAGGTGGACGGCAGGGAAGACGGAGGGCCCGGCCAAGCCGTCGCATCGCAATGCGGGGTTGTGTGACCATGCCAAAAGAAATGCGATGGCTCATAAGAAGGGCAACACTCGCACTCACTGACGATGTAGCTGCGCAGCATTGCGGGCCCGCCGTCCGCATGCAGCGTGGTGAAGATGCGCACCACACAGCCGAGCACGTTGATGCCTGTGGTGATGCCGGACAACGTGCCAGTAGAGCCAGCCGCGAAGTTCTTGACCACCTGGGAGGGTGTTGTTGTTGTTGTTGTTGTTGTTGTTGATGGGGTGTTACACTGTGGGCGGCTCGCCCGATAAAGGACGAGCACCGGGGGCCCTGACCGGGCCGAAACACAGCGCAGGGCCGGGCGCGCGGCTCTACGTCCGTCTGTTCCTCCGCGCGCGCCTCATTCCCTCACTCACGCCAACCGGGACGCTCTCCCAGCCCCTGGCTAGGCGACACAGCGGCGCAGAAGACTGCTAACCGAACTAAGCGAGAGCCGCACGAAAGGCGCCACTTCGCCTGGCCTGCATATTCGTGCGCTCTCGTCCCTCTTGACCACCAAAACAAGAACAAACAGAGAACACCACCGGGGGCAGGGGCTCTACTCAGGGGGCTCCTCTACACACTCAAAAACCAGGGCCCCACGCAGCCAGCAAGGCAAGAGATACACGGAGGACCACGGGCCTGAGACGACACACCACAAAAGCCGAGACACGGTTGCACAGAGAAGACCAACACAAAGCGAGTACTCGCACACTGGTCCTTGAAGGCCAGCTGTTCAACTACCACGAGCAACGAACAACGAACACTTCCCAAGGGGGTTGTTGTTGTTGTTGTTTGAAGTGGCAGAGGCCCAAACACGGTACAGATAGAGGCAAGGGGAAGTCTTATCATCAGTGAATGGAGGGGATGGAGACTCCACCAATATGCGCGTGCGTATTTCAGTAATCTTAGCCGCGAGGAGAAGTAGTGCATGCGCGTGCATGTAATTGCTTGCGTTTCATAATAGCCGCTTTCTCTTCTTCAGGTCACCACCGTTGAGAAAAATGGCCTCATGAGTCCGACGAGACCGGGCAAACATGTCTTTTCATGGCGCACCTGGGGCACGCGGGAAAATAAGACCACCACAGTGTTGGCGTGTGCAAACTTCTCCATGGCGTCGCTAGAGAGCTGACCTGCGAAGTGAGGGCAGTCCAGGTGAAAAGGGAGGCGAGGTGCGGATGTGAAGAGGACAAGGATCTCACCACCGTCACCTCCCAGCTACCGTGTTTCACCTGGCCTAGAGAGGCTTCGACAGGGGAAGCTTTTGAGGGTTTTCAACATCCCCCATGTCGGCCTACTGTGTCTAGGAGGACGTGTAGACAGAAAGACAGCCCCCTTTTGTGTCTTTCCATGGCACATGCTAGGCAGGGGATGTGTTTCAAAACTCTCCTCAAAAGCTATGTTGGCCTTCCAGCACGCAGGCGCGGGCCTTACACGGCCTCATCCCAACACCCAAAAACGCAACGGCAACTCTTCGCAGGGCATATCGTGGTGGTGCGTACCTGTAACAACCCCAACTGTCAATGCCACGTATGCCCCCCAAACCGCCAACCGCCGCAGCGCAGGAGTACGACTGTAGCCGTACACCATGCCCAGGATGACCAGGTTTTGAGTCGCCAGGATGAGAGACTCGCCGTATGTGTTGAACGACAGCTGTCGGGTGTAGCCGTACAGCGCCGACACCAGTAACGTGTACGTCTCAATTTCGAACATTTCCTTACTAAGTCCCTCAGCGCTGCCGGCTTGCCGTATCAGCAGAATCTACACGGCGGGCAATGAAGACGGCGGCGGTGGCAACCGTAACAGGTTTTCGGGAATGGGGCAACAGGGTGAGGCCTGCGTGGAGCATTGTAAAGGTGTTGTGAATATGTATGGCTGGGCCCAACGGCACGGGAAGAAAAGCTCCGAGACCAGCTGTAAGGCCGGCGGCGAGACGGCGGCAATCTAAGGCTACCGCCTACCGCCTACTCACTCCCATTGGAGCGGTGCACATGATGCTGGGAGGGGGGAAAGGAGGTAGCGGCCACTCCAGGCACAGCAAAGCGTGGGCAAGTGGATAAGAGCACAGCAGCAAGGATATGCCGCCATGGCCGCACAGTTAGCACGACTACTAGCGAACATAATACCCTCGCAACCAGCTATTCCCAATTTCCTCTTCCCCCGTGGGATCGCTTTCGACGTTGTGTTCCTGTTCCAAATTGTTATTTTGATTACCTGGGGGAGCTTGGTGACGCACGCCCCGGCCAGGATGGCGTAGCCCAGCATCTGCATGCGTTAGTGCCGTATTAGTACGGCAGTATTGTGTATATGTACGCCGGCGGTAGGAGAGGCATACGCAGGGGCAGCGAGGTGGGGAGGATGGGATCGAGGGGTGAGGGGTCGAGTGTTGTGATGTGGGTTCGCGGCGTGTAGGAGGGGTGATTCCGTGAAGCTCAAGGCTGCGACTCGCGGCAGTGCGCAGTGGAAGGGATGCAGCTAAAGCGGGAGGAAAGACAAGGCTGAAGCATTGGGCTGATGCAGGCCATCTTCAAGGGACCGTGCGGGCGGGCGTGTGCGCGACAAGTGCTTGGGCTGTGAGGTGGACGGTATGCGATGAAGCGCAGGACAGTGAAACACATAACTGTGGCTGCTAGTCGGTTGCTGCAAAATGCAGGGTATGACTGCCAGAGATTATGATGGGGAAGTGCAAGTAGCGCAGCACGGTGTACGGCAAACACGAATTTGGCGGGGCAATTCGGGTAGCCTGGTAGCCGCGCAGCGCGCATCCTTTTCCCCGGAATTGCAAAAGAATTGTAAGCAACTCAGTACGCTTAGGAGACTTAAGGGATGGCGTACGCTAGATGGCTGACCTGGCTGATCAGCAGCTTCAAGAGGTCAACATCGGGCAGCGACCGCGTCTCCACGACGTGCCTGAGCACGACTTTTGTCGTGTTGAAAAGATCTGCCATGGCTTAGCACTGCTGCAGTCAAAAGTTGTGAGCGACTTAGTTGCTTGTGCGTTGTTGTGCGTTTGCAAAGTCGTCTGCTAGAAGCGAGGTCGGAACTGAAGACCACCATGTATCAGTTATTATCCGAAACGTTGACGATGAGAGGTCAACAGGTGAAACAAAACGGTACCGGTACGGAGTTCTGCGTCCAAAGCCATGATGTGCATTTTGGCAGATCCTAACACTGTATGTTTTCTATTAATCATTTTTGAACACAATGAACAACATTCAACCCGATGGGGCATGGTCCACGTCAACGCCCACCACCACTTTACTGGACCTTAGCGATGACCTAGCCGCGCGGATTTTGCTCCGGCTAAAGCCGCGAGAAATAGCTGCTGCTGCCCTCACGTGCAAGCGACTAGCAGCTGTCTGTGCGGACGACGCACGCGTTTGGCAGCCGCTTTGCACTTCTACCTGGTCATGCCTCACAAACCCTGACCGCTGGCTATGCACCATCCCCAGTATCCCCAGTTATCACAAACCTTCTTATCGCCAATATCCTTGGATAACAAAGGCTGCTGACGATGATGACGATGACGAGGAGCGTCCACCCACCACATACCGGTATGTGCGGGCAGGCAGACACGTCCACAAGCTCGCGCACCCACCCCGCGTGTCTGCATCCAGTCTTTCTCCCCACTTTCCTCCCTCGCTGTGCCCTCTTTTCCGCCATGGACGTCTGTCCTTGAACTCCCCCTCTCCTCCACCCAGGGAAGCACTGATTACTTTTGTCTTTTTATTAATTGTACGCTTTGGGCTTCAGGTCAGTGTTCGCAACACTTCGGCGCCTGCAGCCGCTTATGGGCCTGTGGAAGGGCGCTGGTGACGCGCCCCGAGGCTCCCTGTACCGAGTAGGCTGGGCCCCGCACGGTGAGCCGCACGTGGAGGTGGTGGCGCTGCGGGCCGCGAGGGGCGGCGATGAGCGGGTCGCCGGGGAGGTGGAGGCGGATGTGGAGGCTGGGGAGCCGGCAGTGGTGGAGGAGTTGACGGCGCGTGTGGGTCCTGCATTCCCTGGCCTATCGCTCAAGCTCGTGGATAAGGTATGTCTTAGAATGGAGTTGCGTCGTGGGTAGCAGCAGTGACTTCCTTAATGTAGTGTGGAAGGGTCCTGCATACTTCTGTATTCCCACTCCCCCGCTAGGCGGTTAGGAGGAGCCTGAATAGGTAGGTAGGTAGGTAGGTGGGTAGGTGTGTTGCGCCCGGGTCCAGAAGCTAGGTTTCTGAACCTCTCTGTGGTCCACGCGGGTCGTGTCACTTGTCGCACGTACCCTTCGCTCCCCTCACGCCCAGTCCCCCCTCTTCTCTCTCTCTCTCTCTCTCTACGGCGGGGCCCCTGTTGGTGCTGATGGGACTTTGGCAGGATGTGTTTTTTTGAACTTGCACGAGTAATTGATTTCGCCACACGGCCTTTGCTCCTCACACACTCCTTTCCTCACCCCTTCCCCCCAGTCCTTCGCCATATTGAAGGACGAGCCCTGGAAGAGGGACGTCCGCAGGGGCGCCGCAGCGGCCGGGGGAACGGGAAATGCAGCAGGTGGTGGAGACGGTGCTGGTGGTTCTGGTTCTGGAGCTGGTCCTGGAGGCGGCGGTGGTGGGCCCAGCCGCCCGTCTGCTGCCGCCCTGGCAGCTGCAGCGGTTGCCACCGGTGGGTCCGCCTGCCTGGGTGTTTTGTAGCGGAGGGGCTCGGGTGGATGGGCGGGCGGGCGGGCGGGTGGAGTGTGGACTTGGGGTTTGGCACTTGCTGGTGACGCACATGTGTACGCGTGCGTGTGGGTTCTCCTGTAGAAGTTGCGATGTCTGCAATATCACGGCCCACTGGCCTTTCTCCTGCTTCTCGTGCTATGTTGTTGGTGCTTTGTACGGCCCCGCCGCCCTGCTGCTCTCAGGCGGATGCGGTGACGGAGAGCTGCTGGGTGCGAGTCCCCCCCGTTCGTTCGGCTACGAGGTGCTCCGCTTCATGGCAGCCCACATCGCCGGGAGCAGGTGGGGGCCTGAGGGACCGGATGTATGTATGTTTGTATGTCCGCAATCGAGCTGCAAGGCCGGCTGATGAAATGCTGTTAATGTAATTTATGTATTTGCATATAACATGTAATGAGCTAAGTCACGGCGTTTGTGCGCGTATGTGGTGAGCGTGTGTGTGTGTGTGCGTGTGTGTGTGTGTGTGTTGGAATGGAAGCCAAGGGGAAGAGGCGGCGCAACCACAGGCCAACACTCGGACGCACAGGCGCCGGGATTGCTCTCTGATCCGCCCCACATGACACTAACCGACTACTAACCAACAAAACCGAATGCTAACCCGGAAGCCTTGATCCCCGAATGCTTGACATCGTCCCATCGCCAACACCGGGAACGACTGGTGAACGGACTGGCACGGATTCATACCGGGCGACAGGTCCAGCAGCCGTAAAAGCCGCAGCCGCGGCGGCGGCGGCGGCGCCGGATCTGCGGGGCCTTACGGGGGTGGCGGCGGCTGCAGCGGTGGTGCTGCCCGTCAGGCGACTATTCTGAAGCACCTGGTGCGCCTGCAGGTGCCTGCACCGTCGCGGCAGCGGCCCGTCTCGGGCCTTTGGACAGGTGAGGATTTGGGAATGTGATGGTGGGTGCAAAATAAGGGGGAGGGTGTTAGCTGTCAGGAACTTAGGGTTCATAGCGCACACCGCGTCGTCCCCCTTCTTGCCGCCGCTGTTGTTGCTGGGCAGGCGTGTACGGCCCGCACGGCATGGAGATCATCTCCGTGGGGTACGACGGCCGCGGCGGCGAGGCCAGGATTGTGGCCACCAAAATCACGGGTGATCCCAATGTACCCGCCGGGGAGATCACCTTCCGCGCGCATCCCGAGCCTCTGCCGCAGCCCTGGCCACTATCTGAGGTGGAGCTTATTACCAACCGGCCGCTGTTCAGCGCCAACCGAGCCGCAGCACTGGCGGCGGCGGTGGCCGCGGCCGCGGCCGACGCGGTTGCGGAACAAGAGCAGCGGCTGCAGCGGCCGGTGCAAGGCGTGCTGGCGTTGCCGGTGTGGGCAATGCCTGGCGTGGCGGCGGCGGTGCAGGCGGTAGTGCCGGAGGCCGGAGGCGTGCAGGATGTAAACGCGCCAATCGAGGATCAGCTTGCTGCGGTGGCGGCAGAGGCAGCGGCTGCCGACCCCGTCGACCCATGGGATTACCTTGGGCCGCAGGGACTGTCGGAGCACATGGCGGTGGCGGCGACGGCGTTGGGGTTGCCGCTGCTGCCCTGTCCATCATGGCGTGACAAGAAGCAGGCCTCGCGTGTCGTAGCCGTGTATCGGGGAGAAGGCCGGGTGGCGGGAACCAACTTTAGAAACCCGGCATGGATCGACGGGCGGCTCTGGGTGTACGACAACGGAACCATAGGGTTTCTCTGGCGCGGCGATTTTAATTTCCTGGTGGATTTGGATCGTATGAGCGTGCAGCTGATGGAGCGGACGAATGGACCGGTGGGATCGGCGACTGCGGGCGCCTTGTGATCATCCTGCCTGTCTTTTGATGTCCATACTAATCGACGCGGCGCTGCAGGGGCCATTGTATGATTGGCAGCAAGTAATTGTAGAGAGCAAAGCCAGCACGATTAGGCACATGTGCGTCTCTGATGGGATCTGGACACGGGTTACACCGGCCCACTGTCACACTTGGGGTTTCGGGCCCGTTAACTAACATAATGTTTATTCGTCCTCGCACTTCACACCTCAGGTATGCCCCTCTTGGTGCCTCCTTGGCGGTGTCTTGGAGTTGATGTGGCCTATACCCTTATCTGATATCTTTCAGGAGTGCCATGCATGGCCAGAATCGGAAGCAGAGAGCGAACAGGTTCCTAACCTGGCAAGAGCCGATTGAGGCAAAGGAGAGGCAAAGGAGCCACGGCGCACTCGCATCATCTACAAAGCTTATAGGCAAAACCGTAGTTTCCGAATTCCCACCCGGTTTAGCAGGGTTTTGCCATAGCAACCGATAGCTACCCCACCCCGTGCACCGCAAAAGCAACGTTTTCCTCCTCGTTCGCGAGTGTTTGAGGCGTTACGTTAGCCCGCGTAGTTTGGACATCACACGCAGTTTGGGCATCCCACTACGCCAATTACTACAAGGAAGGGGCGTTGCCGGCCCCGTCCTCAACTACGGCAACCTGCCCCGCTTAGCCCCAGAAACGCTTCTTACCGCCTGCTCAATGCTTCAAACATAGACACTGCGCAGCACCATGTGTCGTCCAAGGTTAGAAAGGCACACACATGTGGTGCTTGCTCCCGCGGTGGCGCCAAGGGAGATGCTTTTCGCAATCGCATTGGTCATCCATGGCTGTAGCCACGTGCATAAGACTCCAATGGAACTGTCGGGTGACCCTGTACTGTGCGGTACGATACAGTTTGCTGCCCGCTTGCAGCCATCCCATGCAATCATGCAACTGCACGTGCGGGTCCACCGCGAGGCTAGGCCCCCATTCGCCTTCCAACCACAAAATAACGATCTGGCAACCGCTATCGCCAACAAGCGTCAGACCCCGGCTCTAAGCCCCAGCGCTATGCCAGGGAGGCCCATTACCAAGCATGCAAAGCAAGGCACGACCTGACCCTAAAGCCCAGCCACACCCCCTCCTCATGGCAATAACATTCAAATAGTGCTTGCACACCTTAACAACATCACCGTGGCCAAACTGCAAGCCAGTCGGAAGGACATGAATTGCGCCAGAGAGCCCCAATGCATATCTACAGCATCATCTACAGTTCTACTTATACAGCTCCAGTGCTGCACCCCTCCCCTACAATCACCATGCATGTCCGTTCCTCTGTCCGTACAACGTTGGTCGAGTTGCTGGCGCACCAGCTTGCTTTTCGTTCCTGTAGGCGGCGCCTTCGATGAGCTCTTCAGGTTCACAGCAATGAAAATACTGGTGCATACTTCGCTCCTGCCTTCCGAGGCTACAGCCGTCTAGAGCTTTCTTCTGTGCTCCCAGCTTCCCTGCTTGTAGCTAGCCATCGGCTGCTGGTTCTTAGTTCTATTCAGAATCGTCCAAATAGGGTCACGTCACGTGTGTAAGACATACAACCATGCATAAGGGCATCCTACTCCGTAACGACTCAATCCTCTGGCAAGAATGCATTATCAGTTCAGTCCTGCGAGTCTACAGTATGCGCGGCTTTGGGCACGCAGGGACACGCCAAGCTGCCAACAAGCAGCAAGTCACGGCATGTGAGTCCAAATTCGCACGCGTCTGGTGGCGAGCAATATGAAATACGTTGTGAAAAGGCCCACACAGGGTCCAAGTTGCCTGCGGCACACAGGCACGCAGCCTACACACATGCTCCCCGTTGGCGACACGGCTTGCACGGCGAGTCCTCCACGCGACGTGCCCAGCAGGCATCGAAATGTACATGCATGCCGCCGCCGACTGCACACCTTACATGATGTGCCTCCCACGTCCAATACCCGACCGCGCGGCCCTAGTTGCAGAGGCGGAAAGAGGCAAGTAGGAGTTCTTAGAGCCCCTCTCCAGCTCCATCGTCCAGGCTGCTGCTTGCTTCCATGCAGCAGAGTAGTACCCCACAACGACCAGCGATAAGAAGATTATTTCGCTCCACTCCGCTGCGACAGAGACAAAACGCGGACACGGACCACGTGCGGCAGTTTGCTGCCTTAAATCACGACAGCTCCTTTATCCACTCTATCCGGAATCCCAGGCTGAGATTCAGGTATGCCGCTTCGAATTCCCCTACCCGAGGACAGGCTTGCAACTAAACCAAGTCCAGGGGTTCCGGGCTTGCTAGCAGGTACCACAAACCTGGGACATTAAGCGGGAAATTGGAACCCGTTGGCTAGCACCGCTGAACACAACGATGAAAAAGCCATGTTGTAGTAAATATCCCCAGCAGTTCCGCGTCCTGCATATCCATGGCTCTCCATCGGGCTCAAGTACACAGCTCGTGGTGCCAACATGCCGCTTAGTTGGACCGCTACTCCGTAAGGTGCCCGGCGCATACCCAACGAACATCGCTGGAGAAGTCCAATTTACTTTCTTCAACCGTGCTCATCCAGGAGCACTGGCAGCAGTACGCGACTGACCCTGGCCTTGCACGCATTTTTGCGGCAAGCTTCGCCTCGGTCGGGAAATTGTTCCGGAAGAAAAGGTAGTCAACGTCGTCACTCCAGTCGCGATTGTGAAACTGTTCGACGCGGAAGTCGCACTTTGTGCAGCGCAGCGCGTCGCAGCATGTCAAGGACCCAACCGCACCCATCCTGCCTCGCACGAAACTTGTGCCACCGATGAAGACTCCAGTGCACTTCTGCTTTGAGCCTATCACCGATGACTTCCGGGACGGGCCTGCAAGCTTTTGCACTGCTGCCTCAGCCGCAGCTACCGCTCTGGGGTTGTTCCGTCCGTTCATGCTGTTGTAAGGTGTCCCTCCAAAGTCGAGGTCACTGAGCAAAGCCTCCAAGTCATCTTTTTTGCTATTCGAGACACTGCGGCTCCCCACAGCCACAACTGGCTGGCTAGTTGCCGCTGGCGTCAACGACCGTGTAGTCTGTGGCAATTGAAGTCCGGCCGTAGATGCCCTGGGTGGAGGTTGAGTAGGAGGTGGACCACGCACGCCTCCACCCACACCTCTCGACCCTCCAGGCAGGTCATCGAACTCCTTCAATAATTCATCGACGCTTAGACTCATGATAAAAAAGCTAATAAGGTACCCGTATAGTGTGTAAACGTTCTACCAGCCTACTCGCTTTAATTGCTGCAGCAGTAACGAGTTAGTTAACTGAAATTGTGCGACATTCATAAGCTACCCAGCTGAATTAAAGGAATCGGTCCATATCCAAGGTAATATGCTACCAACGTTCTATGTGCGTCCCGGAAGCAAGGCGGCGAGTTGAGCCCGAATACGGTGTTGACAGAAAAGCAGTACCGCCGTACATTCTTCCAAACAGCGCGTAAAGGTACCTGGAGAGGGCAATCCCATAGCACGTAAATAAGCATCCAGTAGCTGATAATACAGAGTGCATACGTAGTTCAAGGCGCTGCAAATTTTTGTCGAAACGATTTAGACTTTCTGATATATGAGTTTAGGTTTCTCAAGCTTTCTTAACTTATTAACATCAAGAGTAATCTTGGGCTATCAGTATGACAGACGGTGCGTTGGTTGCTGCCCGTGTCCCTTGGTTGGTAGTTCGTTTGGCTCTCATACTGAGCCACGCGTGTCTCTGTGTACAGGGGCAAGCACTTCAGGGCCTCAGGGCGAGGAACTCACGTTGGTAGGCTCGAGCTCCTTGCTGTCGAATCCTCGGAAGTTTCGGTGTCTTTGCCTTGCCAGCTCACGACCGTCCGCCTCTCGATGCAGCTTACCGGGTCCGATGCCGTGAAGATTATCCTCCTCGGTGACTCTGCAGTTGGAAAATCAAAGTGGGTCGGCGTTTGCTGTCCTGGGTCGGGCAGCGCCGGATGGTGCGGACAGCCCACACGCGATACCTTTCGCTGTCCGCAGACTCGTGGAGCGTTTCCTGCTGGACAACTACAAGCCACACCAGCTCTCCACATACGCACTAACCCTTTACAGATACAACTTCAAGACCCAGGATGACAAGGTGGTTCCCGTCGGTAAGCTCATTCACAAACAAGGGCCCCAGGTCGCAGCATCCGGGGGTAGAGCCCCTTACGGCGTATCCTGACCAGCGCGCACAGCTAACAGCAAAAAACAGTCGAAGCATACACGAATGATCCAAACGCAATGGGGGGGTACAAATCTACGGCGTGCCCGGGAAAGGGCTTAAGGCGCCACACCGATTTGTCCAAAATGCCATTACAACGGCAGTCGCCAGTGGGATCGACCGCGTGTGCAAATAGCCCAACGATCGGTGCACAGAGTCGTGAAGACGAGAGCGGCAGCTGTAGCCATGCCATACAGCAGCACAGGAGCATCGGGACTGGTCCGAGGCGAGGGTTCGCTCCTCACCTCATCCTTTCTCCCGGCAATGCCAGAGGGATCTCGATCACCACCGCTGCATCTACGAGATGCTTCATGGTCACAGTCGCGAACAAAAGTCATTACACGGCAACAAGGGTCTTCACCAAAGGATCTTTTTCCCTACCCACGCGCCATATGGACTCCATGGAGCCGGAGCCCCATGGACGTTTGCACGCTGTTAGTGGGCGAGAGGAATCTCTTACTTTATGGTTTTTTTGCACCAGCTGCCGGCGCAGTGACGTGGTCCAGGGGTACTGGTGCCCAAACACCACCGAGAGCGAGGGCTCGTGCCCCCGCAATCAGTTGTTAGCTGGGATGATGGAGACGTGCTGGCGCCTGCCCTCAGCAGATGGTGTTGTGTACTACTCGTCCTTACTCATCTGGTGACTTGGCCAGCTGCAGGCGAAGTTTTCAATCGTAATCCGGCGTGCACATGTGTACTTCTACACGAGAACATGAGTATTTCCATGTGTATATCCGGTTTGCCGGGGACCGAAACGTCCGTCAGTGACCTCATCCTCATTTCGCCCTGCTCCCTGCTCGTCGGCGTTGTTCCTTTACCATGAACCTGCACCTGCAGATATCTGGGATACGGCTGGCCAGGAGCGTTTCAACAGCATGCATTCCTCCTACTACTACCGTGCGCATGCCTGCATCATGGTGTTTGATGTCACACGCAAGGTGACGTACAAGAACCTGGAAAAGTGGTACGACGAACTACAAGAGCATTGCAAGGGCATTCCGACAGTCGTTGTCGCCAACAAGATCGACATCGATTACAAGGTCACCTCCAAGAGCTTCAATTTTGCTGCCAAACGCAAGCTGCCATTTTTCTTCGTGTCTGCATCCGACGGCACTAATGTCGTCAAGATTTTCAACATGGCCATCATGGCCGGAATGCGCTGGAAGGCTGCCCCTAAGGATGACTTCTACCAGGAAGTTTTGGATTTGCTCGGGGAAATTTCGATGGACACGCGCAAGCAGCTGGAGGATGCGGTGAAGGCGCTGGAAGAGGGCAAGGAAAAGGACGAGGGGGGGAACTAGCGCGGCGTGGCGACCAGCAAGCTTATCGCAGTAGATGCATGGCTTGGTGTGAGAAGAAAGAAGAAAGGCGCGACATGGGTTGGCGGCTGATAGTGGCGGGCGGAGGGGCTACGGCAGAGCGATGTCTGAAAAAGAGAATGAGCAAGAGCCGGACCCTCTTCAGGCGAGCCGGTACGAAACCTGTAAGAGATTTTTAGGGCGTATGGTCTGAGAAAGCTTTTTGCGGGGACGGCATCTGGCAGGAAGGATTCAGGCGATGAAACACGGCAAACTTTGCGGTGCGCATCCAAGCCCGAGGTTTACCTTAACCTCGCGGTGATATCCTATCGTCTAGCAAACGCTCTGAAGCGTGCGGTTCCGTACAGATATGCTGACTTAAAGTCCTCGTGTTTACATTACAATGTATGGTGTACGGGTGCATGCACCCATTTAATGTGCCGCGTGGCGTGCTGGCGTTCAGTTCTATCCACTTCTCCTTTCTGGCGTTATTTGTGCAGCGCACGATTTGCGACAGCAAGGGGGAAGGGCCAAGTATGCACGTGCACGTGTCTGTCTTATCGAGGCGGGGTGCAGTAGAGGGCAGCAAAGGAAGCGAGTGTGCAACTGAGGGATGTGTGTGTGGGGAGTGTGCGGACGAGTGTTGCTTGCCAACTCAACTGGGGCCAGGGTGAAGGAAAAAGTTGGTCACTCCGACCCACGGGTCCGGCCTCGCCTAACCTTACCAACCATTCCACTCCACATGCCGCACATTTCACAATCGCTGGCATAGGTGGACCGGCGGTCTTGGGGAATATCGGTACCATCCTCGCAACGCCGGCCGTCGCTGTTGCTACCTTCTCAGCCCTCAACTTCCCGTCATATGTTCCGGTACCTACCTACACGCCTTGCGCAGTTTTCGCTGTAGGCCAGGGATCCCTAGTTTGGCCCTGGGGCTATGTCCCACAACCTAAGTCGTGGACCCTAAGCATGGGGCCATTTCAACAGCTATCAGGCGCCGCATCAAAGGCATGGGAAAAGCATGAGAACACATGTCAAGCTCATGTTCCCCCAGGCGGTAGGGCAGCTGTCCTTGGAGCGCACTGCTCCCAGGGCTCCTTCACCCACCGGTCATTGTACTCTTTGTTGGAAATGACCGACACGCATATATCAGGGAATGGTAACAGCAGTTATAGGACCCAACGGGGGTCCCGGCGCTTTGCTGGTCGCGAGTGAGACGGATGCCGGGCTGCTGCTGCAGCCATGACAGTGGTTCGGGATTGCTTAAAGGCCAAAAGCAAGCGCCTTCAGCGCTCAGCTGAAGGCGTGTATAGGCCCAGGGTCGGATTAGCCTGGCCGCGCCTGGCTGTCGTGGCCATAATAATGCGACGGTTACCGCAATTTGCAGAGAGGGGATGATGGTTGCTGGCGATGATTCGGCCGTGGCCATGTACGGGCCTTATCTGAGCGCTGTTGGCTCTTGGAGACGCGGTGCACGCCAATACTGGAACATCCACTCTCTTTGGGTCCACTCTCTTTGCAACCGGCAGACCGGCAGCTCTGCGCCGTGTTTAAGCGTTGCCATTTGCGCTGCGCTTTACAAAAGGAGGCTGTTTCTAAGACAGCAGTATCTTTCTCATCTGCTCACTGCAACACAAATCTGCGCCGTCTTACAGCAGTGTAATGGGGAGATATTACAAGCACCAGACGCGAATTACCATGTCCTCTCGCCGTACTACAATCGTACGTGAGCACAAGCGAATCCGAAATTTTCTACCCCCAAAGTAGCAATACTCACAAACAGACCTTGCACAACAGGACTTACTTCTCAGTTCTACCATCCCACATAAATAAACTCGTCGATCTACAGCTTTGTCAAGAATACTGTATCCACGTGGCTAGCTACGTCGTACCAGAACGGTGCGTCGTACCGGAACTGTTGCACAGACGTGGAAAACACAGCAGCGTGACAGAAAAAAGTGGCTCAGCGTGCATACCTGCGGCAACATTGTTCTCAACTCCTAAAATGCCAGACGTATGATCGTATAAAGCTCCTGGCCATGTCAGCAACCTAACGCAGCACGGTGATGATGCATACGACTACGACGGTCCTACAGGACTTGTACGATAGCGGATCCCACAACAGAGCACCGTGCATACACACGGAATGAGGTTTTCGGTGAAATGGAACGCAAATGCCCGTGTCCGGGAGACCATCATACAGCATTTGCCGTACATGCGCATGCCGAGCCACGTGACGTGCGTACCAGCACGACGCCAGCTGCGCCTGTTCTCGTGCTGCACGTACGGCGATAGCTGACGTTGGAAAAGCATTCATGCAGAGTGCACACGCACCTACGAGGGCCCCCATGTCGCCAACGCCCAACACTAACTTTCCGTGCGCACCCGCCGGTTTCACCCTAAGACGTAAACAAGCGGTAATAATGCACCTTGGAAGCGGAGTACCGTTGACACACAATGATGCACCACAACCACACGCGAGGCGTTCAACCCACTTGATGTGAACATCATGCTTCCGTTAGCAGCGTGAAGGAAAAAATTAGTCCTATGAGGTCCATGACTTGGTGTATAAATGACCACACAGTCCTCTTCGTTAATGCTTCCCATACGTTCAGCACGACAGCCATGCAGCATCAGGCTGCCATTTAGTCGCTCGCGGGTCAGTAGGATATGACCTGTTGGCTCCCACGACCCGCGGCTCAGCAGTGTTGTGCAAGACGCCAAGTTTATTCACAACGTTCAACATTCCAACCTGAGCAACCACCCATTCATCAAAGCCTTCAGGCGCCCATATGGCGAAGGGATGACGTGCGTGCGATCGACGACCGTGCGTTGCCTGACTCCAAAGAAGGTGAGCCTTCTGTGTCTTCGACAGGCAGCACGTGCAAATCAGAACTCCTAGGTGTACCTGAAACCTGGGCCGGCCGCATGACTTTGTATCACCCATAAAAAATACGTGGAGATTTCCCACATCGATTGCTACTAAGGGCTCTTTTAACCCTAAACCTTCCGTCGAACGGAGGGTTCGGACGGAACTGCAAACTCGTGGCTACCTGAAACTGTCCCAAGCGAAGCTGTGGATATGCAGCATGCTGAAACTCCTGCAATTCCCAAAACTATTGGCTCGCCCACAGCTTTGACAGCTTTGAAATCCATCTAGGATTCGGGCTTGCCGTGCTTCTTATGGCGCCACCTTTTCCGACCGACAATCATGATCCCCGGTTCGGGGCTCCTCTTCTCCGTCCCTCTCTCCCCTTCCTTCCTTTCCCATCTCCCCAAAGCCATCATAATTTCCTATTTTCCTACTCTCCCTTGTCAGGCTCCACAGGCATACGCAGCAGAGTACCGCCAGAGTGCGCCCCCACCAGAGCACGCTACCGAAACCTCATCATGATGCCACCACACCCGTGGCAAACCGTGCAAATCGGATCAGGCAGACAGGTCGCAGTGCTAGAGGTTAGGAACGAGCGCACTACGCCGACGCAAGCCCCCGACTAAAGAATGTAGCAATGACTACATCACCGTGCAAGTATCTAGATAAGGAAGGACAGGAACTTGCCAGCAAGCTCGCTGGTGACCCATGGCCAGCACCTTAGAATCGCACAACACTATGCACCTGCAGCCTACGTCATTGCCACTAGCAGGTTTTCTGCCCCACGCAACCAAACAATCGCGCACTCGCTCCCGCCACATCATGGCTGTGCATCAGTCGCTCACGGGCTAGGCCTAGGAAAGGAACAAATCCGTGCGCTGGCAAAAGCCTCCTAGGGGCCCCACCCGGGCCTGCGATAACTGTAATAAACTAAGACAACTAACTGGGTGCAAAATCAGGCCCAGCCATCCAAAAGGCTTGCTCCCCACCAAGCCAAACTCAGATGCGCGGAGATCCCTTGAGGGCTCCTGACCGTTATTGCCCTGGCCCGCCGTACATCCCCTGATAACTGATCCCCAATCAAAAGGTGTGTGTTACGAGAGATTAGCCTCCTCTAGGCGTCCTTCGTCCTGCTCTAGGAGTCGTTGCGCTTCCTCCTCTGCTTCACGCACGCGGTCGCTCACACTCGTGTGCTCGTCCAATAACTCCAGGGCAGCCCCCACGAAGATCAGATCCTCGAAGTCCGCGTCAGATTCCCTGGATGTATCGCCGTACCCGCCATGATGATGACCGTAGCAACCGTAGCAACCGTAGCAACCGTAGCCGCCATAGCCGCCGTAGCCGCCGTACGGACCGGAGAGAACTTCGAGGTGCAAAGCCCAGTGCGTCATGCAGTAGGGCGAGGCATGGCATGGCAGGGCGGGCGGAGTTTGGGCCAGGAAGCGCATCCGCGGTGAGGAGACCAGGACAATACGCACAAAGGTATGAAAGGTGAGGAAGCAGGGGTGAGAATTTAACAGCCTGGCGCGCGACCAGATGGATGGATGGATTCGCGAGCGTACGGCGCCGCATGGGGTCTGTATGGCAGCCGGTCGGTCGTTGGCGCGCGGGAAGCGCGCGTTATAAGGTGAACAGTTGCATTCAGTATGCGTGCAAACAAAACGTGCACAGCACTATGGCTGGATTTTACTGGATTTGACGGTGTTTTCAGAAAACGGCAGAGCGGCGGTGCGTTGGGAACGGAAAAAAGGTGGCGGGAGGGTGGGCGAGGGGGGAGAGCGTGGAACTGAAGCACAACGGGCTTGCACGGGACTCGTTGGTGAACAGCAAGTTGTTTCCTATAGGACTATGGGATGCGAGCAGTCGGCCGGAACAGGCCTCAACAATCGCTTTGAAAGTTTCCTTTCCTGGTAAGTCTACTTGAAAGTCACTTTCAAGGGGGGAAAACGATGACAGTTCGTGTGAACCAGCTCACCAGGCTCCCTTTCCTGAACCATGTCGAGGAGGTCTAAGATGTCTGGATCGCCAAGGAGTGCTTCGGAGCCGTCATGACAAGGTTCTGAGTGGTTACGACATCGACCAGTTGCCTCCTCAATTTCCGTGGCAAAGTCTGCTGCAAAAAGTCGCCGGGCGCCCCATACGGCTTCAGGCGAGAAGGCAAAGATGGCCACCAGCAGAAGCGCTGTCAGGCGCATTGACATGGTCGGGCTGACCGATATTTTCAGCATCCAGCGCATAACGGAAGTCTGCGCTCAGCAGGTAAACTAGTGCGATTGCTAGTAGTGCCTAAGCTCTCCGCAGCTCAACAAGGTTCCACCTGCCAGGAAATTCCCAAATCGAAGTCACACAAAGTTTTAGAGGTTTGGCGTATACGAGTTACTGCAAGCTTTGCGTAGCATCTGTTCCCACTTTGCCGTCGGACAGCGTTAGGCTCCAACACGGAAGGATAAAGGCCAACATGCCAAAAATGCATTATTAATTATGTATTATTCGGAAGCATGAGGGGCACAGGCGTACCAGGTAGTTCCACAGGCAATCCGACGGGAACGTGCCGGGCGTATGTGCTCCCTAAGCACCTGAGGGAGGTAGCCAAATATCTAACGGCAAATTTTCAGCTTTACTGTCTAGTGTGAGCTAAATGCAAGGATTACTTTGAACGGAAACTGAGTGGGATTTTCCATTAGTAGAACGTCCATGCCGCCCTCAGGTTCTGTGTAATGGACACAAACTTATAATATTGTAAAGTCACAGGTATTACGTGTCATTTCGGGGGTAGAACGTTTCCATTCTAGCATACGATCCATCACGGTAAGTACCGGACCTGAACGAACTTCAGAAGGTGGGCAACTATTAGCCATGCCCAAGTTAGTAATGCGTTCTCCATCACTAATTCTTATCCACAATATTGCAAGTCTGTGCTAAGGCCTAACGCCAAAATTTAGGCAAGCTCCTTTCAGTAACTGCCACGGCACACATAGGAGTAATGATAATGCCATTAATGCGCGCAGAAATATCCCCAAAGTAACGTACATTATGTTCTCATCTATGCCTTGGCAACCTGTGGACGCTTTATTGCACGGCATGCTGCTGCTGCAGTCGCCGGGTCAGCCCGTCTCTAGCCCATCGCAATTACTAAATAAGACGTCAGCCAATTGATCCGAGCACCTTCAGCTGTATTTCACTGATACTTGACAAGCGTATTTTTCTGAGGGCGTGAATTACCGTCCTTCAGCATCTCCGGTTGGCACTGGTTGACCGGTATTCCCCGAAATAGGAAACGCCCAAATCCAGGTTCTAAGCATCCCGTTAACAAGGTTGAGGTTTTCAATGAGGCTGCGTTTTCAATCATTTTGCCTCTTATCAGGTAACCCGTAAAGGCATAGCTGACACTGAATGGGTGCGCATCAATTGTTTTAGGTGTGCACGACGCAAGAAAGCCGTCTGGCCTAAGAGAATTTTGAAGATTATACATGTTTACGGGGAGGATTTCCTACCGCTGCATGGGCTCTATGTTTAGCCGCCTTTTTAAGGCGCACGGTGCCTAAGGCTTCATTGGCCCAATCAGGACGCACAAATCAAAAGATAACTTATAGTTTAGGAAAACTCAGGAGTCACGACCGTGTTGAACGACTGGGGACTTACAGGTTCTCGACCGGCTGGCCAATGTGTGTGGCAGCTCGCCACCCGAGGCTCACAACCCGGCGTCACCTCAGCCCCACTACCGCGTTTTGCCTCACGAACCAAAACGGGAGCTGCTGCCTGACGCAACAAGCCTATCACCCATGGTCACACCCCCTAAAGGTCATCGCCGTCGCGCCATCGGCCGCACCGCGCGGCCCGCTCCTCACAGCAGCCGCGCGAGATAGTTTGAGCCCTTCTGCAGCATCTGCTCTAGAGCGACATCTTCTTCACCCCAATCGGCGGCTTTCCCTCTGGCGACAACGAAACAGGGTCAGCTTCCCAAACCCCCCCTCCTGGCCCTCCCAGCCCAGCTACTTTCCACTTCTCCGCGCCTCCCGCATCTTCACCCACACATCGGCCACACACCATGCCGGGTACTCCCGCGGTGCCGCCGGTCCCGGAGCTCTCCCAGCCGCTCCCACGGCCAGCCATAACCCGCACGCTGGCGGGATGACGTTCTTTGCCACGTGTCATCCTGGCCTAGAGCAGGCAAGTTCGCGCGGTTGGCCCGCGTACCGGTAACTCCTTCCTCCCCCATCCCTCCCAGCACCCACCATTCCCATCCAGTTTCCTTTCCCCTCTCCTCTCACGTCCCCCGCTGTACAAGTTGGCCCTCTTCGTACATAACCTTCTTGGCAGTAGTCACTTTTGCTCTGTTGCAAGTAGAATAGAAAGCCAGAGATGGCTGGGGAGAGGGCGAAGGAGAAGGACGCACCAAACGGGCCTCCTGTTGCCGCCGCCGCAACAGCAGCACCACCCAGCACTGGCACCATTACGGCACCGGTACGGCAGCACTAGCACCCGCACGCGCAGGGACGAGGTCGGCATGGACACGAGCCGTGGCGAAAGGGGCGGTTCGGATTCCTCTCGAATACCTGAGGAGTAAAGGCACCCGGGCCCCTCGCCATGCTTCCAGCCAGCCCAGCCCATTCCGAACCCATGGCCTCAGAGCTTTTCCCGCCAGGGGAAGCCCGTACGGACCCTACCCCTACCTCGAACCCTACCCCTACCTCGAACCCTACCCCTACCTCGAACCCTACCCCCACCTCGAACCCTACCCCCACCTCGAACCCTACCCCCACCTCGAACCCTACCTCTTGAACATCGTTAGGTGATATTGTTAGACTTGGAAACCCGGCTTCCTGTAACCCGGCTTGCGGCGACAGGTGGTGGCTCGCGAGCTGGTGGAGCTGGGGTACCGGGACGTGGTGCCGTCCAAGGCGGGAGTGGAGTTCAGGTGGGTTGACTCTGTGTGTACGTATGTACGTATGTATGTATGTATGTCTCTCCAGGGTGCGCGTACGTAGGTAGATACCAACCTCTCAGCAAGGCCCCCGGAGCAGCTTCTTCGAACCCGTCTGGTAGAAAGCCAAGTCACAACATAGCCTACTGGGTGTTGAGCTTCCACTGCCAGGGGCTATCCCCTTCTCCCTCTTCCTCCTTCTCCTTTCCTTCTCCCTCTCCTTGCCGGCGGTGAGAAGCATGCGACTGTATGTACGTCTGTAAACCGGTACATGTGCACCCATTGCACCAACCGCGCAGAGGTCGCCGGGTGTCGGACGGCTACGCGGCCAACTTGTGGCTCCGCAGTGCCATCCGAGTGCTGGTGCTGTTGGCGGAGGGGCAGCTGGGGACCGACCCACGGGGCGGTGTGCGTGGCGGCCAGGCGGTGAGGTTTGTCGGCGGCTGGCTTTGGGCGGGTCCCGGCGGGGTGTCCGGGGTCCGGACTCCAGGGGAGGTCTTGGGTTCTTGGTGGTGCAGCTGCCAAAGGGCGCCCGTGGGAACCAACCCGGCGGCTACTCGGAGTGACGGGGGGCGGGAGCGGGGATGCAGTCGGAGTGAGACCGGCGGAGTTGTTCCCAGGTGGTAAAACGGTCTAGGTTTGAGCTGGCAGGATTGGTTAGTTAGGATACGGCACGATACGGCAACGTAATACATGTAATGAGGATGGTTGGCTGGTGGAAAGGGGCTATTTTATCGAAAAAACGAATATTACGGTGTTGTTTTTGGGACCGAAGTAAGGAAAGCAGAAGTGTTCATATTTGCATCCCTTTGGATTGCAGTTGTATGACATGGTGTACGACGCGGCGCCGTGGCACGAGATCGTACCCCCGGGTTGCACCTTCAGTGTGGAGCCGCGGCTCTGGAGCTGCACCGACATCTTTTCCACTCGCTTGGTTTGGTCACGTGTCAAGGACGCTGTTTGCGACAACATCCGGCGCTACGGGTACGGTGTACGGGGGCATGATACCATTAAGCGCTACCATTAAGTACGCCAGTGTCGACGCTGTACCCTTGCGCGCTGCGAGCCGGAATGTAACCAACCTGATAGGTAGAGAAAGGAAAAAAGGACGGGGAGAAGGAACACAACAAAAACGGCGATTTATGTTTCCAGTTTAGTGGCCACGTCGTACGGGTGAATGGACCGATATGCCTGGATGGATTGACGGACTGACAGACAAACGGTTGTTGTATAGCTGGATCTCCGCTTGTTTTCATCGCTCCTAGTGGATTTGTATCTCCTCTCTTCCGACCTTCCTTCGGGGCTCCCTTCTCCCCCTCACTCGTCTTGTCCTTGTCCCCTCTTCCTTCCCTCCCCGCCCCCCCCGCCCCGCCCGAGTGCTTTAATGGACTCTTCCCCCCCTTTCTTTCATCATTCTTTCCCCTTCAATCTTTTTTCTTCCTTTCCGGCCCCTCCCGCCCGCATGGCCTCAGACGTGAGAAGCCCCTGCCGCCTGCCAGAGGTCAAGTGGCGGATGTGCCCGTGTACGTGTCATGCTACCGAGACCACGTGCGTGTGTTTCGTGACATGAGCGGCACGTCATTGCACAGGTGGGGTGCATAAGGTGGGGGAATTGTGGGGTGCGGGACGGTGGAACGTAGGACGGATTAGACTGTAGGGGCCTGGAGCGAGATAAGCCGTGAGTCACACAAGTAATCGAAAAAAGAGACCGACGTGAACTCACGTTCTATCTAGGCAGGAATCAAACACGAGATCTGGATCCGCCACACTGTCGTAGGTCTGTCGTAGGAAGGGACCGAAAAGGTTCTGGTAGTCGATGGTAGACGCGCTGGCTTGGTGTGCATGTGCGCTGTTGGCGTGTTGGCTGAGCTTCACAGTTTTTGCAGCTGTCGCAACCGGTTCTCGTTCTGCCAGCGCAGCGAAGAAGCGTTCTTCCCTTCCCCTTTCCTTTCGGGGGGTTTTAGGCGGTCGCCTTGCAAGAGCGGCCCGAAGACACTGTGTCACCTCTCCACGCTTTCCCACACCACCGCCCTGCACCTGTGGATATACTCTTCAACAAGCTCATTATGATGATGATCAACTCTGCAATGTTTTTTCTTTTGACACATGTTCGCATTCTAGAAGTGCCTGGGTTTGCTTGCGTTTTTCCTCTCCGCATTTTCTTCTCCGCACGCCGCGATGTTGGCCTTTTGGGGCTTATTGCATTTGATGCCCAACGCGCTTCTCATAATGAGACCACTGTCGTTCCTTCCTCCCGTGTTTTTAGACGAGGCTATCGGGACGTGATGCACCGAGCGGCCCTCAACGAGGCGGCTGCGGCGGGTGTGCTGACGTTGAGTGGCTGGAAGGAGGCAGTGGATGATGCGGGGGGGAACGGGGAAGGTGCGATGTGGGGCGACATCGCGAGTGGGGAAGAGAACCCTAAGGAAATTCCAGATTAAATTTCAAATATCTCGAATGGATAATTTTTCGGTTGATTTCTGGTTGATTTTCTGTTTTTAAGTTTCTTCCTCCTGGTTCTTCCTCCCCAGCTGTCACTTCAGCCGTTATCCTCATTATATGGCCCTCCGACCTTACCCACCTTCCATTCGGCCCTCATCCCAATTTCTGTCTCGTGCGTATTTTTATAACGTAGTTATGCAGTATGTATTGCATTTCCAAGATGTTTTCATTCTTTCCCTCCACCACACCACCACACCACCAGGCCTCATCTTGGCTGACCCGATGTGCGGCTCCGGAACCATCCTGATAGAGGCAGCTCTCATGGCCCGGGACATAGCACCGGGGTTCATGCGGTCGCTGCTGCTGGATGATGCGCCGCCAACGCCATCAGCAGCTGCGGTTGGAGTCGGCCTTGGAGGCGGTGGTCCTGGCCGGGGTGTCGGCCGGCGGCACGCGGCATTGGCGCCTGCAGCGTGGCCTTTCCAGCGCTGGGGCGACTACGACTCGAGAGTGTGGAGTGAGGCGGTGGAGACGGCCCGGGATCGAGTTCGACCTCCCTGGAGGGGTCGCCTGCTTGGGGTGGATGTACACGAGGTAGGCCGGGGTGGGGGTTGTGTCGTCTGGGTTGGGAGAGTGTGCTTGCGTGAAGTGAATGGGAAAAGTGTTATGGACGTCTGATGTCAGGAGTTCAATATACTGGAGTTACTAGGACGAACAAGGGATTTCGTTGTCAACTTCGGAAGGTCATTGACTTCTTAGTGTTACTAAATAGCCGTTTCGGGGGTCTCAGCTGCAGTGTGGAGTGATGTTGGGGCCGCAACACGGCCGAGAACGGAAGATGTGGTGAAGAGCCAATCACGGCAGCAGTGGTGAAACTAAAAGTAGAAGCTTCTAAAGAGCGTGATAAGAGCGTGTCATGTCGTGCATGTACGGCGCAGGGCGCCCTGAGCCTCGCTGTACGGCAGGCGAAAAAGGCCGGCGTATACAACATGTTGGAGCTCACCCACGGCGATTGCGGAACTGTCGTACCGGCAGCCACACCCCATCTGGTAGTCTGCAACCCCCCGTGGGGTGGCCGGCTTGACGGTGGCGATGACTTCAAAGAGGTTTCGGAAATGGATGTTGTGGGAGCCGATGGAGGTGATGCTCTTGGCTATGGTGATCATGGCAGTGGAGCAGCAGTGCCGTTCGGGGCGCCGCCGTACGATGTGCCGTCAGCCGCCGGGCGACGCGGGTTGTATCGACCAGGCAGTGGCGGCGGGAGATCTGAAAACGCGGCCGTCACCATTTCACCTGAACAGGAGGCCTTCCTTGCCGCCGCTTGGCGGAGTCTGGACGGCTTCTTATACCGGCAGTGTCCAGGTACACAAAGGCCACACCGTGGCAGCGGTATGTGAGCTGGGGGATTACGGTACCTCACGAATCCGTCGGCAGCCGGCTAAACTGTTTCCAGGTTCTTTATTGTATATAGGGTCTAGTAAACTAGGCCCTATGTATACAATAAAGATTGTCCACTCCACCTGCAACGACAAGCGATGCCCCACGAGCTTCGCACATATCCCGTGCGTGCACGCACGTCATACGTACCTACATGCATGTACGTGTGTGTGTATATATGTATATATATGTGTGTGTGTGTGTGTGTTCGCAGGCGCTTCTGCCACAGTGCTATCCGGCAATGCCTCGACGTACCGCTACTTGAAGCTCAGGCCCCAGTCCAAGAACCGACTGGTACTCAGCGGCGTGGAGGTGCAGGTATGTGTGCGGGCTGGGAGAGCGTTCCCACTGGATTTAGGGGGGAGTGGGTCCACCCTTCAGGATGTATTCTTGGAGGGAAAAAACAGGCTCTTCCCTTTCCCTCCTCAGCTGCGTTTTCACTGCGCATAAGCCTGCAGCTCTTTTCCCGGTCACTGTACGTTTTTGGTTACTGTTGCTACACCAAAGTTGACGGCCCAGCTGAACCAAACCAACTAACCAGCCTGCGCTCCTGGTAGAAAGCCGGGACCTGCTAGGAACCTCGTAGTACCTAGGCCTTCTCGGAGAGATGGTCGATCCTGACGCCAAGGCTCAAAAACCCGTGGTCGGCATTGACGGTCGGCATCAGCATCAGCGACGGCTCACTCTCGTGCGGGGGTCTCCTAGCAACGCCAGTCCTTTCGTTTGGCGGTTGCCCACGGCCTATGCCTGCCTCTTCATCCAGCAGTCTTTTTCCTTCATCCATGACTCCCGCCGTCCCGCCTGCTCCTTACCACATCTCGTGTTACCTGCTGTACCTCTACTCTTACCCCTTGCGTTTTTCAAGGTCGCAAGTTACAAGATCAGAGACAGCGCCAGCCGCAACGTCCCGTCATCGTCGGCTGCCGAGCTGTCCACCACCGTCGCCACCGCCGAAGACGCGCGCCCTTCAGTAAGCCGTCAAGCCGTCACACCGAGGGCTCCAGAGGGCGCGCCGTCCACAACGGACGGGGCAACACCCGCGAGCGTCCACGGCGCCGTGCCTCCATTGCCCATTGGGCGAGCAGGTCAAGCGGAGGCAGCAGTAAGACTACCTGCTGCGGCTGCAGTTGCAAGGGCAACGACCGCACATCCGCCGCAACCTTTGCCTTTACATGGAGCCGCTAATATTATCTGCAGTACCGGCAACGGTGCTGAAGCCCGAGGCCAGGCTGGCTCAAGCTCACAGCTTCTGCCACCGAGCATGCAGGTGCCAGCGGCGGATTATATCGATGCTGATGACGACTATTGGCTACGTGATTGACCATGAGATCCTCCACGTGTCAATGCGCAAAGCGACGTGTGATGGTCAGAATCTATGTGGTCACTTAGATCAAGGCTCCCGGTGTGTCTGCAGACATTGACAAGGCGGTCGTGGAAGGCCTTTCTCTGTATGTCTGTACGTCCGTCTGTTTGGGATGCGCAATTAGCTTCAGCATCAGCGGCACCGGCACCGCGTGAAAGCACTACTGCAAACCAATTAAGGTGCCGGAACCACAGTACGCAAAAAAGGTGCACGGGAGGCGTGTTTGCAATCCCCTCCAGGAGGCCCATTTCTCTCTGCCTCTTTTGCGATTCTGCCTACTCTATACGCTCAACCTCTCCACTCCGTTCGCTCCCATCACACCGCCCACCGCCTGGTGAGGCCTTCCAGCTCACGAGCTTGGGGGCTCGCGCGGTACTCGCCAGGCCCTGCAAAGTGAACCCCCCAAGTGCTGTGGCCGCATACATCTTCTGACGAATCGAATTTTGTCGAGTCCGTGACGCCACATGGGCAATATGTGCGGGGGCTCCGCTAGCCACGTGTGAAAATTATGCGGGGGCGCAGGCACGGGTGCAAGCGGACTTTGGCGGCCCAAAGCCGCCCGAGGGAACTGTGCAGAGGTAGCTCCCCTGGTGTGCACGGGTGGCCACTCCACCCAACAGCAGATGTACATCTGAACAGAACGCACGGGTTCGTTACAGCAGACCTCAACCTCGCTCAGTGTTTGAGAGCGGGGTTTGCAGCGGCTATATAACGCGCACACATAGAAGCAAGCGCGCTTAAAAAAGACAGCCAGTCCCACGTCCCGAAATGAGGTAAGGCACGCCTGAAAACCTAGGCCCTCCTATGGTTGCTCAGCCTGCCAGCCAGCTTTTGGGTCCAGTGGACTCCGTTGTGTGTGTGTGTGTGTGTCTCACATGGTTGGGGGGTGCGTGACCCCATACCTGTAAAACTACCCATACGAGCCGAAGGCCCAAGGGCAATACTTCAACGCCTAAAAGCCACGGAGAAAAGGAAACACCGCATTATCAGCCCAGACTTGCGCCGTTGTGACCCGTTGAGACTCCGTTGTGACTCGTGCTGTGCCGCATTGTTCCCAGATAGTCGAGACCGGGTAAAACCCTAAGCCCCTTAGGAGTTATACAACTCCTTCCTGGCATCTGGCATGCCAGACAGGATGTGCCACATATAGCACACCAGCTCAGGCCAAACTGGTTCACCACATCAAACTTGCTCAAGCCAGGCCAAGCCAGCTTATGGCAGAATAGACGACTCGAGGGCTAGACCCTAAGCATCAGTCTCGTTCAGCTCTCTGGAGGCGGCCCTTGGGAGTCCTCCGGCCGTGCCACTACCCGCACGCCCATGCTTCGACAGGTGTGCATCAGCGAGGTGATGATTGACTGCAGTGGTACGTTGGGCATGTCGCGCTGCTTCACACGGCCAATCTCGTACAGGTGCTTCAGCGAGATGATGCCCACCACCTCGTGACCCGGGGTGCCTGAGGCGCGTGCCAGGCCTAGCGGGAGGTAGGGAAGCGGCGAGAGGAAGGGGTTGAGGAAGGCGCGAACGGGGAGAGCGTGACAGGTATCTCATAAGACGGTACGATTCTAGATGGTGAAACACCTATACGCATGCCAGTCAGCACCATCTGTATATGGGGTCTGTGATGCGCTCCCAGCTCTCTTTACACGGAACCCGTACCCACCCAGCTAGCCATCGCCTTTCCGCTGACACCCACCCGCTGCCTTCTTGATGAGCCAGGTGCTGGGGGGCATCCTGAGATCCCACTCGTACGTCTTGTCCGAGTACACTCGCATCTTTACACGGAGCAACGTGCCGTCCTTGAAGCCCGCCGTCTTGGCGTTGAACTCCTGTCGGGCCGTGGAAGCCGTGCGCGTGGTGCGTGCACGTGTGTGTGTGTGTGTGTGTACGTACACGGATTGCGTGAATACGTGTGAGAGATATGTGTACGGATTCTGTAAGAATTGCGTGCGCCATTGCATGCATATGTGCGTGCATGAAACGTCATGCATGGCAAGAGCCTCGTTGCGACAAGGGCCATGGAGGCCGCGCGCTGGTGGCTCTACCAAGGGTGTGAGTCGTGCCATATGCTGTCGTGTGCTTTGGACAGGAACGTCGGCGTTGTTCCCGAACGGGAGTAAGGTAAACCAAAATTAGGGAATCACCGACTCGAAGGGAATGGGCGGTCCGAACCCAAGGAAGGGGGAATGCGCGTGGCCAGCACGGCAGCCAAAGCCGTGGCTGTGCCTGACATGATGCTGCACAATCCCAGTTGTGCCAAGGAGCCTCATTGGCCTTCCGGCAGACGAGATGCTGCTGCCAGGACCGGTTTGCCCAATAACCTCCTGTGATAGGGGCGAATTCGGCTCACATCATCGCATGACATGTGCTGCTTGCAGTATGGATACACGCATGGCCGTGGCACTCCGGGAAGGGCACGCAGGCGCGGGGCTCCATGCACAGCAGTGCCGTTAGTGGGCATAAATGGCCATGTGGTGCATGGGTTTGGGTCCAGGAAAACACGAATACAAGCAAAGCCCGCGCTCACCTTGCAGAACGCCATAATGTTAAGGCCAGCCTGGCCCAGGGCGGGACCCACGGGTGGTGCCGGTTTAGCTGCCCCCGCGTTAATGAGGAGCTTAATAGTGTTTGTAAGGGTCCGAGGTCCTCCAGACTTAGCTGCCATGTGTTGCTTTCGGTATTTGCAATGGCAAACAGAGGTATCGTAGTACGCGAGGCTATGCTTAGTGATAAAAAATGATCACATACATATCAAGCGAGATTGTTTGAGCATTCGTTTGAGGATTGGAGGGATAGGACCAAACGTATTACTTGGAGTTTTCAGCACGTTGGGTTGCCAGGATTGCCAGGATTGCCAGGATACCTTGGAGACTCCGGAACGATTATATATAAGTCCCAGAGACAGCACCGTTTGGAGGACAGTGTATCAATCATCATCGTGAGAGCTCTGTCAACCATCGGCGACCGTACTTCAGTGGTTTCGGCGCCACTACGACAAAGCTTCACCTTTTCCTTACACAAGGAATAACGCAGACAGTTAATCAGCGCGCCTGATGATTATCACTTGGCGATCCGTCGGAAGCAACCTATTGAATTAACTATAAAGCTTGGTTACCAGGGATCACCTCCGCGGCTTGCTGCAAAATGAGCAGCGTCGCTGTAAATGCAAATGGCACGGCCAAAAAAGCTCTGGAATTTCCAGGTGCGCAGGAAGAAAATGTTAACCAAATTTGGATAGCAGCTTAAACACTTGAATTTTGTTCGCGCGCAGACTACCGTCGGAGCGTCGCGCTGAAGTACGTTAAGCGCGGCTACACGTTTCTCATGTCCTACCTCTTAACAATAGCGCTGGTCCCGCTTGGGGGAATGCTGTTGGTGAGCATGACAGTTTCATCATCCCCTTGGACCGCCAACCCAGACACGCCCCAAACCCAGATTGGTTTTTATGCAGCTGGAGCTCTTAAATATGCATCGCAACGGTGAACTTTCGCGGCTTATGAGCGTCGCCAAGCAGACGGACCTCACGTTCAACCTGGTATGTATGCGTTGGCGCAACTTCAACCACCTGCCAACTGTGTCACAAGAGCTGTGTGCCTCTTTGCCACTGCAGATTACTGTTGTAGCAACTATCTCTGCGCTTGTGGCAGTAACTGTGAGCTATTATGTTCTGCGTACGAGACCTGTGTACTTGGTCGACTTCCAGGTGTATCGCGCGCCGGACAGGTATGGAAAGACGCTGTACACGGCCCCTACCAAACAATCCATGTCATGCATTGGCACAGTAACGTTAGACATCGTGTAATCCTTACTACAAACGTTTTTAGTACGGCTGTCCAACGTTGACCATGGTGGTGTTGACCCGCAGTTGGATGGCAACTTATGCTCGCTTCATGGCTGGCTCCCGTGGTTGTCAGGTGCGTCAGTGTTTTGTTCCTTTTTGCACTGGGGCCACGGTGGGTTTGCACATGAAGGCTTAACTCCTACACGTACCGGGCTTGGATGTGTGTCATGCTCACGCATGCACCCGGCAATTTGGCCGTCTTCCTGTACACGGAGGGTCACCTTTCAAGGCTAAAGTTTTTTGTTCTTACTACGGCCCAGCCGGCCTAGTCCTGTGTTGGGTGGGGAGGCTGAGACAAACGGACCGTCTCGCCACCATATCCCAGATTGTCTAGCACAACAGGGCCGCCAAGGGATTACTATTCCAGCGTTGCGCGATGATGACCTGGAAAAGCATTGCTTCGGCGGCTCATCTGAATGCCACTGTGTCCATGGGCACCTGAAAATGCCGCCGTCGCTCGCAGCGCTTCACGGACGAAGCTCTGGAGTTCCAGGAAAAAATCCTCCAGCGGTCGGGGCTGGGCCAGGAGACGTATTTACCGCCGGGTGAGTTCTCCTGACCTCCTGGGTTTGGACATATCACCATTTGTATGTAGAGATAATTCCGGCTCCAATGTTGGTGGGCCGGGGAGAGGGCTGCGGCACAGCACAGGCAGGAGCGCACATATATGCGAGTTTTCGCGCTGCTGCCGTTTCAGCCCAGGCATGACATGTCTAAAATCCGTTGTTTCCGGTTGAAACTAAAAAGCCCCACGTGTTCGGATGTGGGTTGCGCTGACCCGTCTGTTCTTCGTGTGCTGTGTGAGTTCAGTAAGGCAATCGTGAGGCGTGGGAAAAATGATGTATGCATGCAAAGCGGTAGTAATTGAGACCATTTAACATGGTTAAGTGATCAGATGTGTTGACTCAGCCAAAATGCTGGCATGGCACATCTACATGGATCCCAGCCTCTCCCTTCCGGTATTCCTTACGACACGACTGTGCGGCCTATCGCTCCGGTGTGAACACCTGTCGCCTGACTGGCTGACTGTGTGGATGTGCTGAGCTGGGCGCCTACATGGTCTTGGTGCAGCTGGTCGTGCTTAGGCCTCTAAACTGGGAGGCAGCTGGAAGCATGTTGCATCCCTTCGCAGTCCTAGGAAAGGGAATGTTTGGATGCACTGCACAACGCCCGGTTCGTCTGGGTGGATGCATCTGGGTTAGCGCTGTCCGCAATCGTCGGAATTGCATGCCATTCCTGAGGGGTATCCTGTTAGGTTTTGGATCATGAACTGTGTTTATGGAATGGCATGTAACCCAGCAGTGCTGCCGCAAAGCTGCAGTGCTTGTTCCGCCCTCGGGCCTGCGTTCTAATCACCTGGGAGCTACCTATGCTGCTGTTCTTGCTTAGCGTGTTTCCCTCGGTACCTGAAGAGCTCGTGGGTCCATACTTATTGCAACCTGCAGCCGTCCAAGTTATGCCTCCGGATTGCTCCATGGCCAATGCGCGCAAGGAGTTTGAGATGGTTGTGTTTCCGATTGTTGAGGAGCTGCTTCAACGCACCGGTGTACATCCCAAGCAGGTGCGAAACGAGGGGGAAGGCGGGTCAAAGGCGCGAAACAGTGCCAGAGGGGCCTTACCTGGCAACATTATGCGTCGCCTTAAGTTATATACATATTGCTGAGAGAGGTTGACTGTCCATGGTACTTGGCTAGACGTTGGATGCTGCAGCTTCGCCGGTGTTAGCTAGCACCCGAGTGGCTGGACCGTTGTACTGCTTGGAACATTAGATGGCCTTTTCCCCATCCATGTGCCGCTGGGAGCGTTGCTTTGCAATCCTGGAATGGAATCCTCGTCCCGTTGTCCCCCCTGGTTCGCAGATTGCTATCCTCGTCGTGAACTGCTCTCTGTTTAACCCGACGCCGTCGCTGGCCGCCATGATTATTAACAAGTACAAGATGCGCTCGAACATTTTGTCGTACAACCTGGCCGGGATGGGCTGCTCTGCATCTCCGATTTCTATCGACCTTGCAAAACAACTGCTGCAGTTGCATCCCTCCTCGTATGCTTTGGTAGTCAGTACGGAGAACATTACTCAGGTGCGCGCGCTAATGTGCGTTTAGCTGCGTCCCTTTATTAGGCTCTCCCCTGATCTTGAAGCTCAGCTAAAGCAGTCTAATTAACGTAGAATACCTGAAGGCGTGGTCATTCAGTAAGGAATTGCCCAGGCTTGGTGGCAGGCTCTTCAACAGCAGACAGAAGGCTCTGGAGGCGCAAGCGGGGGCGATGCAGCGCAGGCTGTATACGACGGAAGCTTTCTGTTTTCGCTTGCTAATGAAGCTGCTACCTCGGATTTCCCTGGTTTGGGGATCCTAAAATGTTACTACTATGAAAACGTTGCTGCCCACAATGCCTCGATACAGAACTGGTACTTTGGCAACGACCGTGACAAGCTGCTGCCCAACTGCCTCTTCCGCGTGGGTGGCGGTGCCATTCTGCTGTCCAACCGCCGCCGTGATGCCTGGTGGGTCCTTAGGGGGCCTCGTTAGCCGCCCTCGGCCTTTTGTGGCGATTACGCTGCCCCCTCGCTCTGATGCCGGGTAGCAAACAACCCACCGCGTACACTGCTCTAATAGTGCAGCACCATTCAGATACCTGATACCCAGGCCCTCGCTGGGCCTGCTAATATAGGCAAAGAGTATAGGCAAAGAATCTGCAGGGGCATGCTGCGCAGGTCACGTGCACGCTCTGCCTGACTTCCTCCTGTGTAATTTATCACCCAGGCGCGCCAAGTACGAGTTGATGCACACTGTCCGCACCCACCTGGGCGCCAAGGATGCGGCCTACAGCTGCATCTTCCAGATGGAGGACGAGGAGCGCAATATTGGTGTCCGACTCACAAAGGTATGAGGGTGCCATCGCTGCATGTCGTCGTGCGCTCTCGCCTGTGGGGATTTGCGTAGTGCCGTCATTGTGATGTTTCTGTTCCCATGCGCTTGATGTGATGGGGATTAGGTTTATTATCTCAATTACAGCAGTTAAAAGGGTCGTTTGGCCTACCTTTGTGCCCTCATGTGGCGAGTAGGAGCTGTTCGCGGTGGCGGGTGAGGCGCTCAAGATCAACGTGACCACGTTGGGCCCGTTGGTGCTGCCGCTGTCGGAGCAGCTGCTCTTCTTCTTCAACCTCGTGGCGCGCAAGGTGTTTGGTTACAGGGGCAAGCCGTACATTCCGGACTTCAAGCTGGCCTTCGATAAGGTCTGCATTCACACCGGTAAGCCGCCTTCGATTTTTCTCATACCGAAGCTCATACCGAAGTTTCTAGCAGGTTACGGCGCATCAGTGGATGCTTCTTGGATGGAGCGGGCACACTGCGCGAACTGTACACTTGGCGACCTTTGATCAGCGCAGGAATGCATGTTCATCCGCTGTTGAATTCTGTTTTCGTTTCTCTTCGCTGTCACAACGTGCAGGCGGTCGTGCGGTAATTGACGAAATCGAGAAGCAGCTCCAGCTCAGCAACGAAATGGTGGAGCCCTCGCGCGCGGCGCTGTACCGGTACGGCAACGTGTCCTCGTCGTCCATCTGGTACGTGCTGGCTTACCTGGAGAGCTTCCAGGGGATGCGCCGCGGCGACCGCATCTGGCAGATGGGCTTCGGCAGCGGCTTCAAGTGCAACAGCGCCGTGTGGCGCGCGAATCGCACCTTTAAGGTAGGCCATTGCATTGATTTCTGTTTGCCCTTGCAGCACTCCTCCTCGTGATTAACAGTGGCCTTCACTGCTCAGCATGGATTGTTGTTTCACAATAGGCGCCAGAGGGTGGGTAATGGATTGTTCTTGGCATGATTTACAGAACAAGTGCTTTACAGGCTGGCGGTTTGAGATGCAGCGAAGCCGGTCCTAACGCTGATTGTGACCATGCATTACATCAATTTTATGCCTTTCTTGGAATTTTGAATGCTTCGCAGCATTGCCACCAAGCCTGGGAGGGCTTCGATCTCCAAGAGATGCGGCAGCACCTGCAGATGCTCAAGGACTTGAGCAGGCAGGCCAAGAAGGCATAAGCACCGCATGTGGCCGTCTTAACGCAGACGCTAGGGCCGATGGAAGACTAAATTCAGCGGAACAGCCGACGTGAGACGCGGTGTGTTAGGGACTAACAGTTGCTCTGCGTGTTTATGGACTGCATGTGTCTCCCGCTTGAAGCCTTGGTCGGTCGCTAAGGACTGTAACCTCGAGGCCTTGCTACTGGAGCACGAGGCGAAGGGGCAAGGTTGTCTTGCCTAGCTGATATCCGCTGCGGCGGCGCTGCCGTAAGCTGCATAGTTAAATACAGGTCTTAACATTATTATATTAAGGCTTGCAGTCATCCGGGGCGAGGGGAAGTCCCCCTGACACTCATGGTGCGACACTCGGGGGACCTGAGCACCAAGCACAGATGAATGGCTACTGTACAGATCTCTTTTCGCTTGTTGTGCATGAACCGGTTTTGATAGCTTAGTTTACCATTCTGCCTTGTGTGCATCTTGTTTTCATTTGTCTATTGAAGTAAATGCCATCCATCTGTGGGGTTAATGTAAGGCTAGTGTTCACTGCATCGATGTTCCTTGGTGTGGGGGCGGCAGGGCGGCCATGTCAGCGGCCCCATTTCTTGTGACGCATGGCTGGACTTGCGGTCTGTCGTTAGATTGGAGCCCTGAGCTCTTCGCCCAGCTCATCGTGCTCCCGGATAACTGTGTTCGGGGAGGACAGTGTAGCTTGGTGAGATATACGGACTGGCGACGATTTGGGCCTCTGACCAGGTAACCAGCAGCATATGCCTTGTCCGGTGTCAGGCATGGGTGGGCATGAAGCAGCAGGGCTTCCTTAGGCCTGGTTTGATTCAAAGCAATACAAGCTTGGTTGTCATGCAGGCTTGGCGAGTCGTTGTCGGGCATGCCTAGGTTGTTTCCCGATTCGGTTTGTGTAGGAAGCCGTGGATTGAGCTGGGGATAGTGACAAGGTGGCCGTGACCCAGACATTGAGCTTGGACACTGCTTGATCGGCTGCACCGTGAGCCAACCTTCTGTGCGGGGATAATGCCTTGGATCCTTAGATCCAGTTCCTCGGCTCACGAGAGTAATATTTCGGTCTGTCTGCCATTGACGCTGTGTCGCATATGAGGGTCCATTTTGTGGTCGGGCGCGTTTCTTTGTGGTTCTACTGACTGTGCCAGTGGTTAACGAGCAACTTTCAGCTGCGGTAACTGGTGCGGCGTGCACAGCGTGCGTATGTAATCAAATGGTGCCGGCAACCTGATATTATTTCACGGTAGATGTTGAAAATGGCACCAAACAGCTCCTGGGCTAGTTCAAGGCAATGGCAGGTTTTTCGAGGATTACGGGCGCTGTGCTGATTTCATGCGTTACTTCCAACAATCGTTGCATGGGATTATCTGGCAAGCTGGGAACGATGGGACCGCCGCCTGAATACGGCCGCCTACGCGTGCTTTAATTTGCATGTCCGAAGGGTCTTCGGATCGATGGCCTTCAGAACAACGGCAGCATAACATGTTGTGGAACCATAACTGTGGAAGCCGCGTGCAGCTACCTATGATGTTACAGGGTTGTATAGCTTCACCAGCGGCCCCCTTTCCCGAGGCAGTTCCCTGCTCTCCCCTGCGAGAGGAGCACCCTAATCCATTCACCCCATCCGACTTCAGAATGGATTCGTTGGTTTCAGCAACTCACCACCAGCATCCACCCAAATCTAACGGATCAACGGCGCCTCAACTTAGTTCCTGGTCAGCTCGCAAATTGATATTATCACGTCCTACACCGTCATGAGATGGGGGGGCCACCTCCCATTTCATCACCTCTCAGACACCCGAGAGGTCGGCAGGCGGGTTTGAACTCGGACACTCCGGGAGCAGAAGTCAGACCGCAGCACAATTTACATCGGCGTTCAACCCACAAACGGGCCCACCTATGAAGAATTACTGCCCATTAGTAGCGCTTGCACTTTCCGTACTGGCCCCCCAAGATCGAACGCCCCCTTGAGGCAAGCAATACGAATGGCACACTGTACGAACGGGAGTCGTCATTCGACGGACAAACCGGAGGCAGAGGGCCTGGATACGGTTGTTCCGAAACATTTGCAATGATTAAAGCTCGAGTTATGATGAATGGGGATTATGTAGCGTCAGATAGTGCTCGCACATTACATGACCAAGTCCGGACCCTTCGCCCGTAAGTAGTTATTAAGTTATCGCTAGGTATACTCTTTCCAAAACACCGTGCATACCGCTCGCGTGTCCCTAACGCGTTCGTATGTTAATTAGTGAGTGCTGGGTTAGTAGAGGGAGGCTCCAGGCAGTCACATATACGAGATCGATTTGCGGCGGAGTTTAGGGGTTAAGCCTAGGGTTTAGCTTGACATCATGTTTTAAGACAGGGCGGGATGGGGAACTGAGGAGCCATTGGTCCCTGTGCGGCCGCACAACCATCACATAAAAAGTGCAAGCCAACAGAGTCTTTTTTCCGGTCCAAATTAAGATTCTTAAGCTAAAATATGGCACGTAGCTAGGCAACGCTTTAACTCGGCTATGTTGCTTGCGGTAGGTGTGTCTCACTGTACGACAGCGACTGCTACCGACCATGGTGCGCCAAGGCCATCCATTCACACTGCAAATTCTCCAGACTGTCACCGAACGCTTGTACGATATAGCGCGTGTCCAGGTAAGACCAGGGTACGGCATGCTGTCCGGTCCCTTGCCGTCCTTGCTGTCGCGCCTCCTCTTTATTAAGCACCTGTACAGACAAGCAAAGGGGCGCAGTGCGGGGTTAGGGTTAGGGTTAGGGTTTCGTGGGGGTGTCGCCGGGGGTAGGTTTGGGATACAGACAGTAGAATGTTCGGAAGGAGCAGGACGGCGGATGACAGCGAGCCTTACTTCTTGTCTTGACAGCCTAGCAGAAGCAAGTGCACGTACATGAAGGCGGGCAGCAGCAGCAGCAGCAGGAGCAGGTAACCACGACCTGAAAAATGACCAGATGACACGTCCAAGTTTCACGAGTGTGTGGCCAGCCGTAGTAGCGTGTTGGACTTGATTCATCATGGGCGTCTACGTACATTCATGGCTGGTCCCTAGGGCAGCCAAGCCAATGGATGGTGTACGTCGTGCCCTCTGGCGCCCTTACCTGTCCTGGAGCACCACTCTGCAGGAATGGTTGGCATCTACAGGCGAACAGTGTTTCTACCTATAATATCAGGTTTTCCCGTTGTAATGACATGTTGACAGTCACCTTGTATGATGTTGTCACTCGTCATCTAGGAGGCACAGAGCGGATCTCACTGCTGGCTCTCGGCCCCCAAGTTCGGACCCGAGACCCACATGCTTATTAGAACTTTGATTATTGTATTCACCAAAATTCAAAATTCAAAGCTTTTTGACTGACGAACTAGAGCATCAGCCAGCCATTTTTGGGGCCAATTTAAGTAGGGGGAAGTAGCAGGGCTGGGCGCCATTTCCCCACCACGGAAGGTATATAGGCACACTGCTCGCGAGTCGCGTACTGGGTAGGAGATAAGTAAGCCAGGATAGTGCACCGCACCATTTCAAAGCAGATTTTCGCTCATGCTCACCCACTCGCTATCGCAGGACGCAGCGGGCCACGCCGCAATGGCCCCCAACGCCACCGCCACCTGCGCCAGCCCCCGTACAGCCGCCACGTACTGCTCCTTGCCTGACAACGAGTAACGACAGGTGGGTGGATGCGTGGGGATGGAGGGAGGGAAGGAAGGAGGGAGAGTAATCCAAACGAGCGCCGGCACACAGCCACGGTAACAATAATGTACCGATGTTACAAAACGCCATCCCGTAGGAATGAGGCCGTGCACTTACATTTACGGTATGAAATCTTGATTCAGAGCAGCTAAAAGGCCTTTCCGATCACCGCTATTACAAACAGGCTGGGCGATTTACGGGTTGCTTGCATGCCAGCCGGCGGAATGCGGGTAGGGTTGTGGCTTTGGTGTCAAGGCGGAAAACAGCTGCGTGGATGGGACAAGTTTATCACCATACATGTCATCACATAAATGTTTGTAACATTCACAGCACTGATGCACAGCACAACTCCCAACACTTTCATCGCTGGTCCCGTTATGCACGCCCGGAGCTAAATTGTCCTGCAGTAGATTTGACTTCACTTTCACGTTCACATTCATAACACGCCAGGAAGCACAGCACGGCACACCGCAGCGTGGCACATATAGACAGCTAGCTAGCAATTATGCGCTAGCTGCTACTGTCTTTGTTTACGGCTTACTAAGTCCTCCATGTACGACGCCTGGCTGGTAGGCGACCACAGTGCGGACCTCCGGCACGGGATGCGATTCCTCAAAGCAGTTCTGGTTTGCGAAGTACGTCCGTGGCCTGCTCTTGGCCAACCTGCAGCAGTAGTTTGAAGCACGGGGCTTGGCGTCCAGATATGGTTTACCGAGCGGGGCGCGCAGCCGTGATGAGAAAGCTGACGCCTGGCTACTGGTGATGATGATCTGTCCGTGCGGCTGCTGGTGATGAGGAGTCATCAGCAACCTATAGCGCACCCAACTGAAATGAACTTTTTTGGGCATGCGACCCATAACACGACCCAACAAACAGCATTGTGAGCTGGTAGGGGCAGCAGGGACCACGTGAATGCCATTCACTGAAGGTAGGTTGAAGGTAGGGTGGAAAAAACAGCTGGAAGGCGCGTACGAGTGAACTCGAGGACTGTTTATTTAATGGACATAATTAATGCATAATGAACCGCGTGTAAGCAAAAAAGGTTGGTGGTTTCCTGCAAGAGGCCTCGGCTTGCTCCCAAGTCCCATCCCCAACTATCATCCCTCAACCAATCATCACGCACGAGCAAACGGCGCACACCACACCGGAAGACCCGCGAGGTCGCCCACCTGGCCGCTATCCGCCAGTTGTACCAGCCAGTATGCATGAGGATGATCTCCTTGGCAAACTTGCTGTCAAACAGGTTAGCCCAGATGTGGCCGATGGCCACCTGTCGTACGAATGTGAGAGGATGAATGGGCAACAGTTTTTTTGGTAATATATTACTTTTTGGGGGAATAAATGGGGGTCTGAGCCTGGAAGAAATGGAATCGTTGGTCAGTTGGCCGTACTGGTTCGTTACTTCGGCCATAAGTCGCCCCAAATGCCTTCTGCACATATAAAGCTGAACATTTGGAGCTTATACACTATTTATATATAAATATTTGATGATATCACCATGAGACGGCCCGCTGTTGCATTCAACTTAGGTCAACGGGGCATTCGTTCATTCTTGACCAAAGCAAACGGCTCAGAAACTCCGCAGACGCAATGCCCCAAGGCTTGGGGCCCAAGCACTTAGAAGAAGAATTAGATAATACAGAGGACAAGGATAGGTGCACAGAACGATGGTGGTACGGCATGTGTGTTTCCAGACGTCAGGTGTTGTTTGCAGCACACCGTACGGCCTTTGAGGGCGGGGTCTGGGGGGGGCTGCGCCCCCTTCAGCGACTATACAAATAGGAATTGTAACTGCAAGAAACACCCAGTTTATTACTCTAGGGTACTAGGCCCCAAACGAAAAAAAAACACTGATGGGCAAGGTTTAGCTGGGTGGCATACATACATGCAGGCAGGCGGCTGGCGGTACATACATACATACAGGCAAGCGGCTGGCAGAGGTTAAGGCCTGACTTCTGCTCCCGGCCGACCCGGGCTCAAATTCGCCTGCCGGCTCCTCGGGTGTTTGAGGAGTGTTGAAATGGAAGGTGGCCCCCCCAATATATGGACTATGTAGGACGTGATAATATTAACTTGCGAGCTAACCAGGAACTAAGTTGATGCGCCGTTGATCCGCTAGATTTGGTTGGATGCTGGTGGTGAGTTGCCGAACCCAACGAATATATTCTGAAGTCGGATGGGGTGACGGATTAGGGTGCCCCTCTAGCAGGGGAGAGCAGGGACTGCCCCGGGAAAGGGGGCCGCTGGCGAAGTTAACCACCCTGTAACAACATACATACATGCATACATGCATACATCGCCATCTATGCGAAGGGCACCCATAGGAAAAGCGGATGAGAAGAGAGACTGGGTGCAGAATGAACGTTGGGAGTTGAGGCGCGCCACTTGCTGATGCTCTATGTGGTGTAAGGTAGTTAACAAGTTAGGCTGTAATAATCTGTTTTCACACCGGCAGAGGCGCGAGGAGGGGACAATAGCAATGCGATGGCGACGGCTCTACGTTGGCGTGTAGGTGGTTGAGTTATTTGTTAACGTAGGTTAGAGGGGTACGAGGAGTAGACGGTTATACGTTGCCCCAATCAGCGCCAATACGCTTAGCTACATAGAAGTAAGAAATAAGAGGTTCACCTTAGGGCTATTTGACAGTTGTCACACCTTCCCAGGCCCCTGCCCATTTGCCTTGTCTTCTATCTGCCTCTCCCTTGCTACCTTAGGTGCGCTAATTCACCCACCCCCCCCCCCGCGGCTGCCGTGTCCTCCAGTCGCCTTTAGTTCACGATTTTGCCTTCCCTTGCAGTCTTCAGGCCTGGAGAGGCCGCGTATGCGCCTTATACCTAGAAGGTTAGATTACTATTATATATTAATCTCTGTCTCAGCAGGACAGCAGGAGGCAGGAAGCAGGAGCCCAGATGACGACCTTGCAGTCGGACCCCGGCAGACAGACACCATGCATGGCCGAACCCAATCCTTAGGGAGGGCTTTCATTACCGCTTATCAAGGGATGGACGTGCGTGCCCACCTGTTGACAGAGGTAGGCGTCGCTTTTCCTTAATAGTAAAGGACCCAGCTAGGCGGCTAAGTGCCGTGCTGCCTATATACTAAGACATACATACTTTGTTGGAGTGAGACACTGAAGCGTTGCATAAGGTATACGTCCAGCCCTGCTAGCAGTGTCGCACTCCAATCAGCGCTGATGAAGCAATGGATGGCAACACTTGCAGTTTCCAGCGCCACCCTTCGTCGCTTCCCCCCCAGCACGAGACCCGGCGCTCGGCCTGCTGCCTGTGTACGTGCGTGCGTGCACGCACCTTGCGCGGCACTTGACCTTGCAGCTGGCGGTGCCACCAGCCATGGCGGCCCGTCATCCACCACGTGGATTCAGCCCAGCAGCCCCTACAGCCTTTGTCTCCGTCATCTACGTACGTACGAACGGCGGGAGGAGCATAGATCGATAGTACGTGCATGACCGACGGCTGGGGGGGGGCCCCAGGATGGATACACGACGAAAATCCATGTCTCACGTCAGAAATGCCTAGACGTGTATAATAGAATGGACGGCATCCGCACCTAACATACCAGGGCGCGATCTAAAGATGAACAGTGAATGGAAAGACTTCAGGACCTACATGCTTTCGACACGTAGCCGAATCTCTCGGGCTTGGTCGCCCTCGCCGCCGCCGCCGTGTTGGGGTCCTCGGGATCCGGCCACAGCTTCACACCTGCAAGAGGATTCAGAATAAACAGGAATCATACAAATGGGGGATGGGATTAAGGTAGTGGGACAAAGGTGCATGTAGTAGCTGATACACAGTACGGCTCTACAAATACGTGCGAAGCGCGACCACCAGCATCTCGAGAGGCCTTTTCAGCGGCCAGCTACTACAGTGCAGCACGAGTATGCGAACAAATTACGTTTGCCTGTTTGTTTGTTTGTTCGTTTGTTTGTGTGTGTGTGTGTGTGTATGCCTTGCAGTAAGAAGCCCTTCCAGAGGCCAGCTATTACAGTCGGCGGCTCGTATCGGCATGTGTGCATGTGTTCGCCGCACCCTCGACATGTCACACACACACAAAACACACACACACACACACACACAAAACACCATATACACCATACATAAGGCATCTTCGTGCACCTAGCAAGCAAGCACTGTAGCACACCGCTCCGCGCACCTAGGTCTGCGTACGCCTGCCGGTATGCGACGGTGAGAGGTCCCGGTGTCCGGTTGAAGGGATACCTGCGGTCGGGTGCAGGACATGAGGGACAGCCACCGGCGCTGTCAACGCTGCTGCTGCTGCGGCTCGAAGCAAGCGAGATCGCATGAGGGAAGTACCGTCGCAGATAGGGCGCCAAGCTCATGCGGCTTCTGCCCATCATCGTTACCATGACTCATACATAACTGGAAACAGCGTTCACGAGCTCATGGGTCGCACGAGGGACGGATCGAGAATGCGGAGGATGACTAACATAAACAAGGGCAACGGCAAGCGGCAGTACACAGAGAGATCGAGGAGGCACTGGTGGCGCTGGTTGTCATTTCGGAGCGCCCACCGCTACGTACAAATACAAATACGAGTATGATAGCATTCTCCTCCTATTTTTAAGGGAGCACGGCTGGTGTGGCTCGGTCGCACCGGGGCTGTGTTGCCTATGTAGGTCATTTCACCAGGTGCTCATGTGTTTCATTCGGATAATTAGGTTGTGCGACCTAGTAGCCGCACCAGAACGTGCCGCGCGTACGAGGTCATGAACCTCCGCCACCACGAACCCCATTATTACGAGGAACTTCAGAACCAGAGTTAAACGACCCGAAACTTGGGCAACCTAATGCAGCAGAGTCTATTCCAATAAAATTTATTTCATGGCGCCTTTTTATTCGCCCCAGTAATTTTATTTGTATACAAAAAGTATACAGGCAACAGAGCGATTGTCTCCCTTCGGGATAAGTGATATATGCTTGGACTTACCCGCCCAGTTCGCTGGGCCACTGCCCACCTGTGCAGGGGTGGAAAAGCGAGGCGCGGCAGCCAGGCACAAGAAACAGATAATCACTTTAAAGTCCTATATGCACGCACCAAAGCAATCATACACGGCAGATGGTTGGCAGAAGTTAAGGCCTGACCACTGCTCCCGGAGGTTCCGGGTTCATATCTGCCTGCCGGCCCCTCGATGTGTGGCCAGTTGCAACTTCTTCAGCAAAGCAGCAAAGCAGCGTCTACATATATATCCACCAAGTGTGTGGACACATACACCTTGCATGGAGCGCACATAACGTCCGCCACATACAACATATTTATTTTGTGGCATACTTCATTAATACCAGCAGATGGATGATGTATATGTGTGTGCCATACATACATCATCCACCTGCCGGTTAGGGGTGTGGACGCACCGCTGTGGGGCATCTTGAGCATGACGGTGGACACCTCCACGGCGTCCTTCTCATTGGTGCGACAACTCGCCTCCATGTACCGCTCGCAAACCAGCTCGCCAAGCTCAGCTGTCACAGGGTAGCTCTGCCGGTCCGCGGCGTCGTGGGGTACGGGGGCGACAATGGAGCGTTGGAGGTCCAAGGGTGGTGCATACACTTAGGGTCATTTACTGGCTGGGGACTGGTCGCCGGGGAAAGCGTGTACACCGCCAATGCCAATGCCGTACAAGGTCATGAACGTGTTCTGCCCTCATGGTTATTTACGTGTCCAACACTACTGCGAGCGGTCCGGTGTCATGCAGCTAGATAGTTAATTAGTGCTGGGCAGCTGCGCCACACATGGCTAGCAAGGTGCCTGTACATATACATTAGGCGTTCACACACACAGATATTAGGCGCACATTCACACACGCACACACGCACATTAGCCGCACACATATTATTATCGAGCGCCTTTTGCGTACCTTGGCCGAGTCTCATGCGTTGTAGACTGGGTCATGAATCGCTGAGAACATCTGCAGAAGAAAAAGCACGACGGCACGGGGACGATCCAAGCATGCGTGCAAGCTCTTGCAAAACACGGGCACGCACGGGGGAAACTGTTCGGGTACGTCCATCACAACCGGCCTGGGGGTTGGGGTGGGTGCACCACAGGCGCTATTACTATATCAGCAGGCATGTGTGTCTTTTGACAAGCGGATGAGAGCTGCTTCTGCTGCTGCTGCACCGGCAGGAAAGCGGCGAGATAGCCGCCCAATGCAGTTCAACATGAGGACGTTGCTCTATTGGGATGGTGTTATAGAAGCACATCACAGGTTGGACCGACCGACAGCTGCAGTAGTCGAGCTGTGTCATATTCTGGGCATATGCGAGAGGATCTGCATCCGCCGATCGGTACTTTTCTGAAGTCGTGATATCACAAACTGGTAGCACAGCCCGCACCAGTCATACACGTACGTCAGCACGCAAGCAGCAGCAAAAGTAGTATTTTTTAAAATGTAGTATCACCGGAAGTAAATGCCGCTGCGGCATGCACGAAAGCAATGCACTATTCGGCCCCCCATAATTTTTTTCACATCGCCACCGCAGGGGCCCACCACACCCCGCCCCAGGTTGTAGCTGGCTGGCCGCTGAAAAGGCATCTCAAGATGCTGGCACGCAGAGCAGCGCGCCTCATCGCGTATTTTTAGACGATGCGTGTGCCGTACTGTACGGCAGTTATTACGTAGAGACACTTGGTTCTGAGGGATAATGCAACTCATCAAGACACACACACATTTGGCTACACCACCAGTAGGCCATTTGACACACATACATACACACAAACACACAAACACGTACACACAAACACACAGGAACCCATACACAATCACACATATATTTACACATACATAAAGACATACGCATACCCACACACAAGCACACATACACGTACCCAAACATACCCCACACAAACACACACACCTACAGACGTGCTACTCGCACAATGCGTATTTGCAAGTATATGCATGCACGCACACGCACCCTGGACCTGTTGACGCCGATACGTCGGTAAGCATCTTCATCTTCAAGATAGAAAGACAGCACGGCGGGAAAGACCGGGCGCCCCGTCACAGCGCTAAAGACACACTCCTGCAGGAGGCCTTGGTCGTCCAGGGGCACATCCTGCTCCCCTGCAGGAGATGCGCAAAAGTAGCAGAGGATAAAAATCAATCCATGCGATGTAGTAGTTCTGCCGTAAAGGTACTACATATGTATGTACACGCATTCACAGAGTTGCTGCAGGAATGCATACGGAAAACGCCTGTGACAATGTTTTACAGTCTATATGTAAATCACTTAGATTATCCATAGGTTTGGCACTACTGATAAGGCACGGACCATTGCTCCTGACAGTCCCGGGATCGAGACCTATGTTGGAAGGTAATGTGCCCTAATAGAGTGGACATTTATGTCCTGAGAAACAGTTGATGCGCGAGCCGATCAGGAATGAAGCTGGGCCGCCGTCGATCCGGCAAATCCCGTAGCATGTTGGTGATGGGGCGGGACCGAAGTGATCCACGAGAAGGTGTCTAGGGTGACTAGGGTGAGGATGTCCCGAAGTACCGGGGAAGGCAGGGTTTCGCAGGGTAGCTGCCGCAGGGTGAAGATATGGCCCCCTGTCCCATACATCGTATAGATCGTGGCCTTGTACATTCGGTAGATACCGTTCCTATTTACGGTCTCGGGGTCTAGGGCACGGTCTATAGACAGTAATAACTTTACTTGCGAGCTAACCAGGAATGGGATTAAGTCGCTGTTGAACCGGCGGATTCCCTAGGTTGCCGGCAGTGGTGCTATTTCTGAGCAGTGTTCTTTGAACTCGGAGAGTTCGGCTAGGGTGGCTGGATAGGGGCGGCCCGAATTTCTGGGGAAGGCAGGGTCTGCCGGGTAGCGGCTATAGGTTGAACATATGAACCCCCTGCCCCATACATCACACATTCACTTGCACACAGGGAGACATACACTCTGCAGGAGTAAGCAATGTATGAGCATTAATAACGACTCTTCGGCCCTTAGTGCGTCGGTCAACTATATGTATGTGTGGCATCTTTCATCTGCTTGGGCATGGACTAAGTTGTCGACACGTATGCCAGGCGCGCATGCGGCATGCGGTCACCGTATCCATCTATTCCGAAGACTACTGCATTATCTAGCGCTGCCACGGCGATTCTACAAGGAGGAAAAATAATCCAATTTTCTCATCGTGCACTACCGATTACACAACAGTGGTTGTGTCAAGCTACGACATCTATAAGATACATCAGATTTTATGTACGGCACGCAGCGGGGTGCCTAAGATGCTTACGGTATGCTGGGGATGTCGCTTCGATGACGGAGTTGTCCTCCGCCCATCGCACTGCGCGTGGAAGTCACACAAGCAAGGAATGTTATGGCAAGGCGGCTTTATGCATACGAGAGGGGTTAGACGGGAGGGAGGCAAAAATGAATAGTTGGTACGGTTTAGTATCCCGGAGGGTACATCACGGGATCTGCATCCCCCGATCGGTACTTTTCTGAAGTCGTGATATGACATAGGGCTGGCGGCATGCATGCATGCACACTAGTAAAGACATACAGTGATATGTGAGACCATACATAATGTTTGAGGCGTGCATGTTAGGATATATATATGGACGAATGCAGCAGCAGGTTCATGCAGGTGACGATTGGGTGACGTGGGAACGAACACACCGCACGCACGGCGACTAAGGCCGGGCAAACACGCCGATGAGGAACAGTAGCTAAGCTAAGCTAAGCTAAGCTAAGCTAAGCTAAGCTAAGCTAAGCCGTGTCGTTACCGAGACGTCACATACACACGTGCAGCAGCACAAGCGGCACATAAACACATCACCTTTGTGCAACAGCTTAGCTTGAAGGCTAGGTCCCGTTTCCCGCATCGGTCGCTGTATATATACCCAGTAAGCCTTATAACCGCCATCGCCCCACGCACCCGCTCTATGCAGCGCCTCGAACAGCAGCCAGGCGATTGGCCCCGAGGAAGCTGCGTTCTGGATGTAGCTAAAGCCGCCGTTGAAGCTGATTCCCCACTCGTTCTGAGTGAGCATATTGAAGTCACTAAGTGGCGGCTGCTTCACCCGCCAGTACCTGCAAGTGATCGGCAGAGGTCGCACACACATATGTGCAGGAATTCAACGAAGTGCCATGGGCACCTCAAACAGTGTTACGCTTCATTTCATCTCCTGGCAGTATCGCCGATGGAGCGCACCCGTACCATGAAATTCTTGCTTAGTGCAGCCCTCTGCTATACCCTACCTGAGAATTGACAGCTTATTTTAAAAAGTGAATTTAATTAAAAAAACTAAAAGTAAAAGTAAATTGTGGCTTACCGTTGCACGTGTAAGCCCTCCCCCTCCCCCTCCCCCTCTTCCTCCCAACCAGCAGACCTCAGCATTCACCAACGCTACGCGAGCCGCTCTTACCAGTCATCCAGCACAAGTACATCCTGAAGGCACCGGCACCGGCACAGGCGTGATGAAGGCATTGCACGAGGGCGCTCAGGGCGGTGTGAGGGGGCCATATGTGGGATTTGGCTTATAATCCCTCCCCTCCCTTGCTTCCACCTTCTGCCCCCCCCCTTGCCATCGCTGCTGTGCGTGATTGCTTACCGTGTCCACGGCCATCACGTTATATCCCAACGCCACGGCTCGACCTGAGGAGGATAATGACACAGAGCGTCAAGGTTACATGCGTGGCTAACTTTATCAAGCAAAAGTAGAGGCAATATATGATTTTGGCAGTGTAACCTCTAGAAACCTCTTTCTGCGCCTAGGCCTTCTCTGATATCGCGCTTGCGAGGCCGTCCTCAACGCGTGTGATGTATGCGTGTATGTGAAATCGCAGCCCGACAATCTTATAGGTTGAATCTGTACAAATCTCGTTAAGGAACATGCACGTCGTACGTCCAACCTGCATGGATATACGATAATCACCCCCCAACGATTTACGATGAAGCAGGTGAAAGTAGCTAGCTGGACTCTTAACGTAACCCACGTGCATGCTGTCAAGAGTCCTTTCTTCGACAATACACAGGAGATGTTACATGCCGTACATTCCGTATTGGCCAGCAAACATGTGTTCCCCCAATAACGGATATCTATCCGGACAAGGGGCGAACATGCGACGACCAGAATTCAGGAAAGTTGAGGTCCGTTTCTACAACGAATCCCTCGCCAAAACGTTTGGCCTAGTTTCGCCTGTTGGACCGTAATGGCATTACTTCTCGCACTTCCAGAACATTAGGAAACTCCATAAACTCGGCACCCCATAAACTCGGCACACATGAAACCGACTCCATCCGACTTTTTCATTTTCACACGTACGTGGGTATGCACACACACACAGACAAACACACATGTCATGGTGAGTGCGCTTGAATGCAATGATCCCAGGCACCTGTACATAACAGCGAGGCATTATGCATGCTCTTGCATACCACTTAAGAGCATACCAAAGTGATGATGTGCTGGAATGTGGTAGACGGCTGGTCTCGCTATAGATGCTGGCGGAGCGATTTAGCACGCGTTTATCGACGATATGTGTGTCGTACAATGTACAGCTAGTACGTGAAAGGCTTAACGTAGTACTCATGTTGAGCCTTTCCCGGATGGCATTTGCCCGTTGCCACATATCTTTTTGTGCGGGCGTGGCCACGCCAACACAAGTTCATCAACAATTAGAGACACAGCTTCGGTAGCCCCCTCCCTTAGGGCTTCCATCTATCATACGACGAGTCACGTTGCGCATCAGCTACTTATCTTAATGTTGCTAATCAGCTAGAGAAGAGCTGTTGCCTAAAATTACTGCTTGATATTAACCCTGCAAGGCAGCTAACCCACCGACGGTGAACCACTTGCGCCACCAAGAAGTCATTCCAACGCCTCGGGCCAAGTACTTGAACAGCACTGGGTAACGATTGCCGCTGGTTGCAAGGATAGGACGGGCAACTGATGGGGGTCAGGGACAACGTCACGATACGTAGGTAGGTGGGTGCATCCAAGCACTGCTAGCAATGTCAGCAACGAGCTGAGCTGAGCTGATGGATGGAGAGTTAAGAGTTAAGACGCACGGGGGTGGCTGCCCATATTGCCCGTGGTGTGCGCGAGCTGGAGTTTGAGGAGCGCTGCCTCGCATGCCCCGCGTGGTGGCTACCTGGAGTCATGGGTTTCATACGTCCCACAGCTGATGGGGCCTTCCCCGGGTGGCGAAGGGTAAAAAAGTGCCTTCAGCTGGTTGCATTGCGCGGGGTTTTCCTGCAAAGCGGACGGCAACACACGAAACACACACACGGCAACCACGGTAACGACTTTCTTGTTCGGCGGGCGCAACGGGCAGTTCGTTATTTATTTGGGCGCATCTTACCATTACAGCAAGCACGTGTGTGTAGCCAGCGTCGCGAAATCGTGACAAGGTCTGGGCGGAGTCCGGCAGCCGTGTGTCGGCGAAGACTACGACCTCTTTCTTGAAGTGGGTTGCCTGCAGAGCCTCGCGAATTTGCTCAGCGGTGTCAAGAGACCCCATGTAGCCTTTGATTTTTCCATTTGAACAGAATCCACTTCGCTCGCACACCCGCCCGTAGGCCGCAGCCTCAAAAAACAGCTGCGCCACGAGTATACAAGTCCTGAGGAGCATTTTACAACGGAGATCTTAAGAGAGATGAAATATTATCATTTGTTTTTTGGGTTCGATTTGCGTCAGATTGTGAGCGTGAGATTATGGCGAGCTGCTGAGATGTGGAGTTGGGGTCACAGTTGATGGACCGAGATTCGCACGCTAGATTGGTGGCGATTGCTGAACCCTCTTTATCTGCGTATGTTCGGGCGGCTGGATGAGGAAATATCCTAGAAGGGCAGGATCATCCGCCTTGGACTTGCAGTTCGTATGGCGTAGTACAATGTAGTAATGGTGGATGGTGATGAATCGTAGAAATGGCAATGTTTTCAATTGGCCCAGAAGCCATCCAGTTTGTAACAGCATTATATTCAATTACATTGAGAGTACAATGCAACGGCCCCGGCAGCGATGCCACCAGCAGCAAACCTAACCAAACTTCATCCAACAGCTCGCAGTCAATAACGCGGTTACAGCCACTACTCACTACAGCTTTTGCTTTCCTGCACCGCCCCGCTGATCGGCTTGGTGCCCCTCCCACATGGTCTGCCCGCTGATCGGCTCAACATTTCTCTAACTCCCCTGCCCCGAAAACCCCTTATTCATATTGGACCAGTTGTAGCACGCTACATTTCCCTTAGGCAATGCCTGTACCACCTCAATTTATGGCTCGAATAAAATACGTAAACAAGGTTTACTAATCCTTTTTGGATTTGTAATACATGATTCTTTTCCTTACCACGATAGAATTTTTTATTCCATATTTCAACGATTTATTGATATAACAATAGTTGTTAACTTCGTTGATGATTCAACACAAGTTGCGGACATGTCACGTAATTGCGCGACATGTCACGAACATGGCAGATGTTCGTAGCGAACCTAACGGGCTGGGGCCCCATCGACAGTATCCTACTACTATAGCTAGGCAGGTATACCGCTACCCGGCCAGGGTGCTGTCGCCATGCACTTAAGTATTACGTCTACTTGGTGTTAGGACGTGTTCACATGTGGGCGAATCAGGGTTGATTCATGCGAATTGGACTCTGAATTGGACCTGATTGAACCCGAATCGGAATTGGGGTCCGGTCGGAATTCGGGTATGATTCGACGTGATTCACAGTTTTCTTTCTCAAAACAAAGTTGTTTAACAAACCGTTTCTCATAATTACCATTACAATACTATAGGAACATTTTCCAATTGTTAATTCACGCAAAGCGCACCGAGCATTTTTCACGAACTCCTGCAGCTATGTATGTACAAGCCTGGTAATAATTTTCGCCTAGAAACGATACTTATACTGTTCTGTTCCTAGATAATGCTGGCTTGCCTTGGGTGATGGGGCGTAGCCGCGGAGCTTCAGCTGGGCGCGGTGGCACCTCGCGCGGTGGCCGCAAATCGTATGTGAACACAATTCAGAAAGCCGCCCCGAATCGGACTCCCAATCAGACTCTCAATTGGACTACATGTGAACACACCCTTACAGACTCTGCTGCCGGCGATCCAGTTACTTCGTATCCGTCTATGTATGGTTGGACTCCTTCCCGCTTCCTCAAAACGATCGGCCCTACGCTTCTGCGAGGTCAGTCGTTTGTTCAGGTGAGCGACTGCTATATTGGTATTGAGGGTCAGGTTCGATCCTCTTTTACGGTTGATGTGCGATGGAGGAGTTCTATTTCAAAGCCGCCAGTCGAAAGCGCTTGCGTAAAGTCTTCCTTGCCTTTCAGGAGTCTTATGGTAAAAAGCGCGAAGCGCAGTCCTGTGCCGAATAGGTTCATGCACCTGTCGAGCGCGATGATAATACTTCTGGCAGTCATGGGGCATGCCCGGATTCTGCTAACGAAAATAATCGAGATCTTGTTGATCTTCCTGATGCCACTGGTGTGCAGATGGACGTTGACAATCCCACCGATAGGGGCGAGGAAGCCTCATAGCGCGTCCCGTCACCTACGGGCGGCGTATACACCGATGATTGATGGTCGTACACCCTGAAGGTCGTACGCATGTACGGGATTATGCCAGCATAAAAGATAGGATAATTATTTTATAATAGTCGAGACTGAAAAGGAGCCAGATCGCTCCTAAACAGTTAGGAAGTGTAAGCTGACTTACTTGCCGAGAAACTGGCGTACGCCAAGACAGTCGGGTTTTTCAAACCCATATTATGCTTACAATGTCATTACTTTGTTCAGCTTATATAGTCAAGCTAGCGATTATGAACTTCACACGTCTGAGTACTAGCTCCGCTAGCTCCGAAGTAACGACAAGATCGAACACAAGGCCCGAAGGTCGTCAACTAACTTTGAAACATTACATAGCCCCCTTTTTTTAACGTGCACCGTCATCGGTGCGAAGGGAACGCATTAAGCGGCGGAAGTTGTGCGCCTCGCCGACTCCCTTCTTACGAAATCGGTACCGCGCTAACGAGAGATAGGGAAAAAAGGAGCCGGAGTTAAGGCTTCCCTGCACTGCTTCCCCGCACTGGATACCGACGGCCTAAAAGTGGCGCATAAGCTCACAGAGACATAGAACATAGGATACAGGTGGCCCTCGCAAAAGGGCGACAGGGGAGAAAGGATTGAAAACAGTTACCATGATAGCCGACGCACGCCGTTAGTACGAGCGAATGGACCTTTCCGTGAGGCGGCTCTCCAACTCCAGAACCCTTTCTTAATGTACTGTTGATTCCTCGTGCGTATGTCGTAAAGCACCTTAAAGATGGCGAGCCAGGCTTTTGTGCGAAAATGTGGAGCGGTGCGTCCATTTAATCAACAAATATGCGCTCTAAAATATGCTATTACTATTGCTCCAGGTGCGGCGATCTGCACGTTGCAGTCCACAGTTACACGCCCTTGCGTCTTTCGACGACCTGATAAGCAAGTGAGCCATTGACATAACAAAACTCAACAAGCATTCTCAAGTTAAATATATTTCTTATTGAGATTTCATGGAATACATGGTTTAACCAGCCTTTTGCAGCTGCCAGTGGATGTAACCGTAGGTGAGCTGAGCTGACATCCGCAGTTACGATCCTGTACAACTATGCGCGACCATGCCGCCAAGTTATGATTACGGCGAGAGGCTGAATCGATTAAGGTCTGACATGCAACCCATTTTTACAGCTCAGAGTGAGTAGAAGGCCTGCGTAATTGGCTCATGTCATCCAATGAAGCGCTTTTGTTTCTCCTTCTCTTTGTTCCTCTTATATCACCCAAATAGACTGAGTACCAATTGTGCTCGGCTTTGAGTCCGCTTTCAAATAGCCATTCTTTGGCCAGCAGGAAGACCGATGGTGCGTTGGTGCGGCGTTTTCATGGTACAAGACGAAACGCACTAATCCATCATGGTAGGAAACAGCAGCATCCCCTGGAATTGCTAGCAGCACCGGCAGGCAAGGTTGTTGCCAGGAGGCTCCGTCGATGTCCATACCGCCTTTTCAGTAGAGCCATGCGTCGCATTTCTCATTTCCCAAATTCACTGATTTATATGTATTGTAACCTACATGCTTTCATGCACCTATCGCTAGAAGCTGGGCCGGCACATCCTTTGGACCTTAATGGCAACCCGCTGAAATGTCGTTGCCTTAACCTGCCGCCATCTTTGGTTTCAGGTCGCCGCAAAAGGCACATGGTACTATCGCTGCGACTATTATTTGTTGCCGATTCTGTCCTTGGGAGGTGTGCTCGGAGTCGGGCTCTGGGGCACCGTGCAGCAGTTGACCGCGGACGGTCACAGCAGCAGCGCTAGCAACCGGCGGAAGGAGGTGTGTGTGCCGCTGCCGCTGTCCGGGGCGCTGGTCCCTTCATGTCACACACCCAATCAAAAGCCCTCTCCGGCATGATGCAGCAGGAAAACCTGCTCGGGTTGCCTTGGGTTGCCTCGTCGCCTTCTATCGGTTCGTATGGTTTCGCTAGAACCAACCCCAAAACAGAAAAGCGCCACCAAGAGATGCGCGTACGCGCTAGCATTTAAGCACGAAGGGTTGCCTGCCGAGGTTCTTACTTCCGTCAGTTCCAGTTCAGGCCCCAAAGCGTGCCAAATGGAGGAATGAAACAAGAAGCTTGTTCCAGCCAACTGACGGGACGACACGCTCCACGCATAGGTGTGTGCATGACTGCCCCGTCACGCACGGTTCGCTGTATGGCCCCAGTAATGACGGACCCCAGGAAGCTCTGAGTCTTTATCTATGCGGACCAGAGTCAAGCCGCTGTACAACGTTATTGCTGAAGGCTAGCTTATAAGCTCCCTTTGGGAACGTACGGCATCTCAGCAATCTAATGCAGGACACTTATTCCTCATTCAATATGTGTGCTGCATGAGTTTTCCGATGCACGACCATTGCTAGCCATCAACAACAACTAAACAACACTCTGCACCCTGCCGGCCACACAACCGCGTTAGCCCAACCCGGCAAAGGTGATTTGAAGTCGGGACTGCACGAACAAAGGGCTCAATATCTTGAATGGATGAACGGCGGAGAGCTAGGAGTAGCAGTGCCCCACCCATATCACACCCTGGTAGCGTGCAGGGGCCGCAAACAAGTAGTAACCCAAGCCCGCCAGATACCAGGCGGATGGACCGGGCTGGCAGGTCAACCCCTCACATAACCTTCTCGTACTTATCGTGACTTGTTAAGTAAATACGTGTCAGTTTAAAATGGACCAACATGGCACAACTGATGAATGCTTGCACACATTCAAACTGCCACCACCACCACCACCACCACCACCACCACCACCACCACCACCACCACCAGCAGGCTGCGTTCGGATGCACATTGGGGGCCCTCATCCTTCTGGCGCTCGTCAATGCCAGGCTGATTTTCGCACTGGCTACATCACGGTATGTAATGATGTATGTATGTACGTAGATATGTATCTATGTACGAATTTACTGTGTAAATATGTATGTAAATTATGTTATCATGCTCTGCTGAGGGAACCCCTGTCCTGCCTGCTGAGTTAGTGAGCTCCTCCCGGGCACGCCAACTGTACCGTACCGCGCCGTACACAGCAGCGGTAATACTATACTGTAATAATGGCCGAGAATACTATCATTTGACCTATATGTATATATCTAAATATGTGTTGGGTTATCGTACATGCCACATATATAGGGCAGGCACTACTGGGTCAGGCAAAAGTACAGGGTCAGGCATTACTTGTAACGTACACACCAATGCCCCCGGAGGTTCCGGGGTCGAGACCAGTCAGGGTCGAAAACCCCCCGACGATGGAAGATAAAAGTGGCCCTAATCGATGGACGGTGGTGACCTCGGAAAAATAGACCTACGACTGACCAGGATGGAGTTGAGCCACCGTCCATCCGGCATATTCCGATGGATTTGGTGGGTGGTGGGTGGTGGGTGCTGAACCTGAGCGATCCATTGGGAAGTCGGCTAGAGTAACTGTAAGAGGGTGCCCCGAAATACCGGGGAAGGCAGGGTTTCGCCGCAGGGTAGCTGCCACGGGTGAAAATATGCTCCCCTGTCCCACCCATCACACGGCAGGCGACGGATCCGGGAGCTGCTGGGGGCGCTCCTGCTGTCCCCACAAGATGGCATCATGTCGCTATTGGGGCGGGCGCCAGCAGGTATGTATGTATGTATGTATGTATGTATGTATGTATGTATGTATGTATGTATGTATGTATGTATGTATGTATGTATGTATGTATGTATGTATGTATGTATGTATGTATGTATGTATGTATGTATGTATGTATGTATGTATGTATGTATGTATGTATGTATGTATGTATGTATGTATGTATGTATGTATGTATGTATGTATGTATGTATGCATGTCCTTGGGAAAACATTTACATAGTCTGATGATGGTCCTCCTGCGCAAAAGAGACTCATCGCTCCTTCGCCCATATCCATGCCCAGTCGCGCTCGCTCCGTCGCTCAGTTTTGGATCTTAACCCCGCTTCTTGGATTGCTTTCATCCTACCCACACGCTGCAATTACGCGTAATGGGCACCTTGGGATTCAGATGCCGCCACTGGCCGGCCCTGCGCAACCTCCCGGTATCGAATTAGCTCACAAAGCTTTCTTACTAGTCGATATCTTCCGCTACTTCTGCTTCTGTAGTAGCTGGCCGCTGAAAAGGCCTCTCGAGATGCTCGAGTGACCAAGCGCTTCGCGCATACTTATAGTTGGTATGTGTGCCGTACTGTGTACCAGCTACTACATATATGCATTAGAGATAGACATCACATCAGAGGATGGATGGGTACGTGCAGTTAGAGGTCCTGCTGCTGGCAAAGTGCTGAAGTACCCTGTACATGGCGTGTGCGTATGTGCCGTACTGCTGTACTACATCTACCACGCCTGCACGTGCCACCATACTTATAGGTGATCTTGGCACCGTGTCATTATCATCCGTAAAACATCTATCGGCTGTGTATTTATCCAGACGCAATGGGCATGTCTTCTCTTCCGCAGACACGCCCGCCAACATGCTGCTCAACATGATGGGTGACCTGCTAGAGGGCAGGGCACCCAGCACCCAGGAAGTGATCTTCATTCGGACCGCCCTGCTTAGCAACGCAGACGTATATCAGCCCGTCAACCTGCGCGCCACGCTTAAGGGCGCCAACCTAGATGTAAGATGGACGGCGTTAGCATGGGGATAGTAACGACGGGTTTATTTTATATTGATTGGGTCATATTCCTGATGGCAAGGAAGGCTGGAGGCTACTACGTACTATTAATGATAGGGGTTTGATGAGATGTTTGGTTGTGAGAAGGAAACTGATGAGGGCAGTAAGGGTTCGCTGCTGCTGCTGCTGCTGCTGCTGCTGCTGCTGCTGCTGCTGCTGCTGCTGTTGGGAATTAGGCTCGCTGGCTGGGGTAATACGTGTGCGTAGTGTCAGTGCCTGTGGCCGCTGGCGGTTACAGGAAGCTTCAGGAGGACAGATCAAGCTCCTTTATCCAGCAGGGAAACCTCTAGCAGCTAGGAACAGCAGCACCAGCAGCACCAGCAGCACACGCACCAGTATCTTTCCACTATGTATGCCTTTATATGAGTACATGTGTACCTGCCTTTTGCAAGGAAAGAGTCTAATGCCAAAGCTACAATCGCGTAATCAAAGTTTTGCTCGGTGCGTGGTGGCACTGGATGGAAGCCCTTTTATTATTTCCCTTTTCACACGGATGACGACCACCCGCTCACTACCCACCCACTCCTACATCCACCGCTTTTATCCAACCTCCAATCAATAGGCTGACGTGGCCCAGTCCCTCATGAACCAGCTGGGTGGTGGAGGAGGTGACGCCGGCAGGGGCTTCCCATTCCGGTTAACCCACACTAGCAGCAGTGGCAGTGATGGCGGTGGTGCAGGTCGTGAAGGTTGCAGCACAGCAAGCAGATTTCCCAATCCCTCTATTGCTACGGCTGCTACCATCACCACAACCGCTGCTGCTACTACTACTAGGAGGGCTATTTCTGCCACCGCAGGCGGTGCTGCGGACACCTACCCGCATGTCGTCATCATGCCAGCAGAATTACCAAGCGACGTGTTGTCGGCCGTTCGCCTCAGTAACGGCAGCGGGCCTCTGCGGCAGCCTGACGTTTGTGAGTCACTAACTAGTGCTTTGGCCCTGATCCTCACACCCCAGCCAACTATCTGGCAAGATCCCGGTACCACAACAGCTCTGGATGATGCGATGATGACCAGCAGCACTAATAAAAAAAATAATGTTCTGAAAGCTGGCCTTGAAGCGCGGCGGGAACTGAAGCCGCCCACTGCAGCATCGCTAGCAGCAGCTGCTGCTGCGCTGCTGACGGGTGAACGCAGGGCACCGGCGTTGCAAGCGTCTAAAACTGCAGCTGGGGCTCTGCTGGAGAAGGCGACGAGCCTGATGGACCGAAGCCGTCGCCAGCGGCGAGCGAGTGTTGACACACGGACACAGCATCAGATTACATCGGTGGCGGATGAGGCGCGTGACACCGCCAAGTCCCACACATCACTGCATGCCTTTGCATCTGCTCGGTGTGGCTCCACCGCAGGCAGTCATGATAACAATAATTGCAGTAGTAATAACAACTGTAACCCTAGCAGCGCTGTTAACGTTGTGCGGCTGGACTTCCGCTGTTCGTCGCTTCTGGTACCCGGTAGTAACACTACTACTGTCGCCATGGACGAGCATGCCTTCCCTGCCGCCACCACCATCGCAAGTTGTGGCGGTGGCGACGGGGGTGCAGAGGACGAAGAAGATATCGATGACTCCGCCACTGGCACAATTACTGGTGACGGGGAAAGCTGCGGCGGTAGGCTGCTGGCGGCGGCAACAGCGCCGCCACTGCAGCCGAGTGTCGAGACTCTCGTGCCTAGGCGGCTGTCGGCAGTGTGGGGCATCATGTCCAAGAGGAATAATAACAATAGCGCTACCCCAAGCGGCGGCTCTTGTAACCTCACCCTGGACGGCAATCCAAACACAGCACCTCACGTATCAGCAGGCGGCCGTGTAAGCCCCTCCTTGAGTCCTCGAAGTTTCACAGCGCGCCGTACCTCTGGCACACAGAGCCCCTGGTCAATTGTGGCCTCGGAGCTGCTCCAGCATGCCCATAGCCGACTGGGCCTTGGAGGCGGCAGTGGCGGCAGCGCCTTGCAACGTGCCGCAAATGTGCGGGCAGCAGCCTCAGAGGTGGCGACGGTGAGCTCCGTGATCGACATGCGCACTGCTACAGCTGCAGCTGCAGTTGCTGCTGCCAATGCAGCAGCGGCAGCTGCCGCCGCAGAGGAGGCCGCGAAGAAGAGCATGCCGCCACCCGCAGCGGTGCTTGAAGAGGTAAGTACAACCAATCCGATGCAGAAGAGAACATGAATCTAGACAGTGGTTTCGGGGCGTTCAAGTGCAGTGCAGCTACATTTCGTCCCATGTGGCCCCGGGGTGGCAGGGAGCCACGAAGGTGACGCCAGCGAGACCGACAGACCGACCAGTACAACATGTCAACAAATGTATTACGTACAGAAACTGCAGGTCGATGCGCGTTGCTACTTTGAAATCGTACAGGGTGATGAGTTAAGTACGGACTTCCTACACAGTAGAAGCCAAGAAGACAGCCAAGAAAACTGTAAAACCGTACGTACCACGCATACCGATGAGCATATATGTATACATCTGCTACACATGTAGCAAGTGATAAAGAAACGTCGTGTGATCTTTCCAATACCAAGTAGGTAACGGCATATCACTCTTTACGGACTCACATAGGTGGAGAGGCTGCTGTCGGGTGCCGATGGCTGGCAGTTCGACACGTGGGGCCTTCAGGCTGCCACAGGCGGTCACGCGCTGTCAGCTCTGGGCTTCTACATCATACAGAGGGAGGGCCTCATCAAGGCCTTCCGCATCCAACCTGTCACGCTGGCCAGGTAGGCATGTGTGAGTGCATGGGCCTTGGAGGATCTGTTGCTTTCTTTCTCTTGGGGGCTGCTGAGGGCATTTCCTTCTTAAATAGCCGGGATCGCGCAGCCAATCTATAGGGAAAAGAATTTGCGGAAAAAAGGTCACGAGTTCAAATCCGGATCGAGGTTGTTTCAGATCATTAAGTCCAAGACTCTCGGTGGAATGTCCGGCTGGTTGACAGAGCCCACGTGCTACAGTTACAGTTACATATCCGCAGTCCGACTATGTGTCAAGAGACGTCCGAGATAGTGTCCAAAACCGGGTTGGAGTAACCGCCAATCGTGGACGGTTCCCGGACGCTGGCAGTATGGGTAAGGAGCCGATAGGGGATAAGGAACCCGCCTTGAATGCATTACTGGTGCGTGGCCAATGTCGACCCCAATCACCTCTATCTTCAGCTCCTCAATACATACTGGGGTTCATGGCCGCTGGTGAAGGGGGCCGCTGGTGAAGGGGGCCTCTGGTGAAGGGGGCCGCTGGTGAAGGGGGCCGCTGGTGAAGGGGCCCGCTGGTGAAGCTTAACCACCCTGTAACGACATACATACATACATACTGGGGTTCATGGCCTCGATTAAGCTACCCGCGCGTGCTCATCAGGCTTCTCCGACAAGTCGAGGCTGGCTACATGGACAATCCGTACCATAATGCCGTACATGCTGCGGATGTACTGCAGACCCTCCACGTCATCATCCACACCGCACAGCTCCACATCCACTATCTTGACCCTCTGGGGCTGCTGGCGGCGTACTATGCAGCGGTGAGCTGGGATACGGGTGGAGGTCGTCGCGATCGATCACTCGATGGGTAGAGGCCCGTTTATAATAGTAGCACACGTAGTTCGCTGCTCGCCGGTAATTTTATGCCGAGGACAAACGAATGACCTTTCTTTATCTGCATGTAAATATGTGCGTACGGGTGTACTGCCTTTCCGTTGCTCCTTTCTTGCCGCCGCCAAGGTTATATATAAATCCCAGCCATACATATATACATACATACATGCATACATCGACCCCCATCCCTCCGTCCATTGCCAGCTCCAGATAGCAGTCAAAAATAATGTAATTCCAGAACCCTGCTGCTGCCTGCCGACCTTTCTTGTTACGTGAACTAACTGAAACAACCATAAGCAACCGTAACCAACCGAACCAGCTTCTTCCGCTCGATCACCCTCGTACGACGAGCGAGCGACGCAGTACAAGCTTGCGTTGCTTATGCGAACTTGTGATGTTGTTCTTACAGAGTGGGAGGCTTCTGGGCCACTTGAACACATCATGACTGTCATTACTACGATTTATCACACCATACAGCACCATCCACCATTACCACACTGTACTACGCCATACGTATTGCAAGTCCAATGCAGATGATTCTGCCTTCTAGAATCCCTCCGCAATCTTTCACCCGAGAACCCAACCCATGGCGTCTCGTCGGCACACATGCTCCCTCCCGCTCTTTACATCTTCCCCTCCCCATGGGTGGCCACCCACCGCTGCCGTAATACCTCTCCTACATTCCCACACACGTGTGCGCGGTAAACACTGGCAGATCGTGCACGACTACGGGCACCCGGGGGTGACCAACGACTTCCTGGTGGCCGTTTCGGACCCGCTGGCGGTCAGGTACAACGACCGGTCACCGCTGGAAAACCACCATTGCGCGGCCGCTTTTGAGCTGCTACAGAAGCCAGAACTGGATTTCCTGGCACCGCTGACGAAGGCCGAGCGGACCACATTCAGGAAGCAGGTGTGTTTGCTCGGCCCGGGTCACTCGGGTCCCTTTGTGGGCCAGGGAATGTAGGGAGGCACTTTCGCCATTCGCCCTTTTCTCTCCCCCCCCTTTTTGCATGCTCATGAACCTCTTAGATAGCCTAGCTCCCGACTAATGACTAATGATGGCGACGAGCGATTGTGAGAACAGGGTGAGTTAGGAAAACCCAAACCTGGTACTGGTATTATATTATGTAATTCGCCATTACGTCGCCTATGCATATATACGCGCGAACATTGAGCTCTGACCAGACTGAATTTTTTTCAAAAAACAACGCTGCACACATACGCTGCATACGTGCTATCATTGCATGTAAAGGCTGGCTGCTGATTAGTACAGGCTGATTTATCATTCGTATGGTCTTTCTGTGCAAAGCGTGTGAAGCTATGCAAGGAAAAAAAGGATTTTACCCCGCCTGGTAAACCGATTATCGGCGGGGTAACACATCGTTAGTTTAAAGGCCCCGGTAGGTGACTCCCCCTCTCGGTAACCCTCCGGCCCCAACCGAGGCCCCACCCTACCGACCGGTTGGGCTGGAGGGTTACCGATTGTTGACCGACCGGTCGAATAGTACATATATATGCCATAGGGAGTTTGAGTTGAGTCGTAGTAGTGGACTGTTGAGCTATATATTGTGAGGGGCCCACCTACACACACACACACATATACATACATACACACACATACACGGCGCTACGCACAGGTAACGAAATCGCCGTACATGTAGACATAGCATTTTTAAGGGGTTCTTGCGAGTGGCTGTTATTGACCAATTAGCTAAAAAAATTTGATTCTTTTACTGAATTGGCACAATTACCGATTACTAAGGAAAAATTACCCTTGTAGCACGCACCCTTCTCATCTATCTGCATACCCATCGCGCCACCGAGTTTGAGTGGGTCCCGCAAAATTGCCGCTAACTTCCTTCGCGATCTGTAGTAGCTGGCAACTGAAAAGGCCTTCAATCGCCGTACATGTACGTCTTATTACTTACTTTGCACTTCTGCATCATCTACGTAGGCAATCGATATGGTTCTGGCCACCGACATGAAACAGCACTTTTCGATTCTCTCCCATTTCAATACCGTACACCGCCTGGCAGCTTACTCGCAACATCAACAACAACAACAGCAGTCTGCGGCTGCTACACCCTCGCCACCAGCCCCGAGTAATAAGCAACAAAAACGGACGATGCGACGCACTATCACACGCGCGCTAAGGTGCGCTCGTTTTAAACGCACCCTGCACTGCCACGCGCGGTCCTATGGCCTGCAGTAGGTATCTACTTCCTCATCATGTGTGTGCGTACATATGTATATATGTATGTATGATATGCATGCATCCTATGTCTGCAGCAGCAGCAGCAGTAGCAACAGCAACTGACGGACGTGGAACCGCGCGCCCACCCCTGCGCTGTGTTTCGGCCCCCGGTCAGGGCCCCCGACGGCCGGCACGCGTCGTCCTTTCTCAGGGCGAGCTTTGCCCACACAGTTTAATTCCACCCCCCGTCAGCAACAGCAACAACAGCGCGCCAATTTCCATGTACACTTACCTGATATGTTGTAATGTATGTATGTATGTCCATCTCGCTCCTGATACAGTACGATAAACGACAGCACTCAAGACATGCCGGCAGTGCCATCAACTGCCTTCGCCGCCTTTTGGTCCGAGCCGCCTCCGAAACCGTTGGACGAGACCGAGCGGCTGTTGAGTCTCCAGGTGGCGCTCAAAGCCGCGGACATCGGGCACCTGGGGGAGGAGCTGACGGTCCACCAAAGGTGCGCACGTACGTACGTATGTATGTATGTGCGTATGTATGTACGTATGTACGTATGCACGTATGTATGTGCGCAGAGTAAGAGATACATACGTAGGCTAGGTATGTATGCATGCATGTATGTCAGCCTTAGTAGGCTGCAGGCCCTTGGTCCCCATCCCTCGGGGCTCCAGGTGTGGGCCCCACTTGGGTTACACTTTTGGAGAGTAACGCAACGTAACTCCAGAAGGTGTAAAGCACACACACTCACTCACACACTCACACACTCACACACACTCACACACACTCACACACACTCACACACTCACACACACTCACACACACACGCTCACACACTCACACGCTCACACACTCACACACTCACACACTCACACACACACACACACTCACACACTCACACACACACTCACACTCACACACTCACACTCACACACTCACACACACTCACACTCACACACTCACACACTCACACACTCACACACTCACACACTCACACACTCACACACTCACACACTCACACACTCACACACTCACACACACTCACACACTCACACACTCACACACTCACACACACTCACACACACTCACACACACACACTCACACACACTCACACACACTCACACACACACACTCACACACACTCACACACTCACACACTCACACACACTCACACACTCACACACACTCACACACTCACACACACTCACACACTCACACACTCACACACACTCACACTCACACACTCACACACTCACACACACTCACACACTCACACACTCACACACTCACACACTCACACACTCACACACTCACACACTCACACACTCACACACTCACACACTCACACACTCACACACTCACACACTCACTCTGACATGCAAAAGAAAGGCACGTGCAAAAGAAAAGCTCGTGGGTAGGGGCCTGCCGCGTGGTGGGTGAGAGGTAAGAGAGCCCGACCGGCAGAGCGACAGCGCAGGGATTTCCGGACAGAGCGAGACAGGTGATGCTGCTGGCTGGCTGGTGTCCGTGGAGGCGCATGGGCCGGGTTGCTGTTGGGCTTCTTCTGAACTACGTGTTCCTTCGCGATGGCCAGCTGCGCAGTTGGGGACGGAGGAGCTTAGATTTAATTTGGCGTGGATGCCTGGATGTATGTACCAGCAACGCCGTCAGCACTGCCGCCGCACAACTGCTCGAACCCCACGCGCCCAATGTCATGTCATTTCACATGTAAGTAATGTTTTTTTGGCATGCATGCATGCATGCATGCATGCAGGTGGCTAGCGGCTCTGGAGGAGGAGTTCTTCCTGCAAGGTGATCGGGAGCGGGCGCTGGGGCTGCCCATCAGCCCCCTGTTCGACCGGGCCAAACAAGGAGTCAGCAAGAGCCAGGTGGGCTTCTACGACTTCGTGGCGCTGCCGCTGCTGCACGCCCTCACCGGCGCCTTCCCCGGGACGCAGCAGCTTATGAAGTGCTTTGTGGGGAATTATAACCATTGGCGGCAGGTGGAGGGACAGCAGCCCTTGGAGATACCAACGGCCGCCGCCGCCGGAGGGGATAAGCCGGGGCCTGGTGGAAGGCGCGGCGGCCAGCAGCAGCAGCAGCAACAGCAGCAGCAGTCCAGCGCCACCGCCGCCGCCGCCATGGCAGCAGCCAACGCCCCGACAGCGCCCGCCAGCAGCCCCGCTGGTGTGGTGCTATCGGCCGCCACCTTCCCCGCCAATGCCGCCGACGTCGCCAGGCGAGTTTCGGAGCAGGGCGACGGGCTGGAGAGTCTTCTGCTCGCTGTGCCCGACGATGCAGTGCTATCCGTGGTCCTGGCAGGGAGCGATGATAAAGTGTAAAAATTTTATCCAATACAGTTTTGTTGTTATTCGTTGAGCCGCTGCATGAGGAGAAAAGAATCAGAACTGATGTGTTGATAGGGAGCGAGGTTGGTTCATGTTATTGCTGCTATAAGGAAAGGAGTTCGGGAATGCGTAAAGTATGTATGTTGTTACAGGGTGGTTAACTTCGCCAGCGGCCCCCTTTCCCGGGGCAGTCCCTGCTCTCCCCTGCTAGAGGGGCACCCTAATCCGTCACCCCATCCGACTTCAGAATGTATTCGTTGGGTTCGGCAACTCACCACCAGCATCCAACCAAATCTAGCGGATCAACGGCGCATCAACTTAGTTCCTGGTCAGCTCGCAAGTTGATATTATCACGTCCTACACCGTCCATATGATGGGGGGCCACCTCCCATTTCATCACTCCTCAAACACCCGAGGAGCCGGCAGGCGGATTTGAACCCGGGTCGACTGGGTCGACTGGGAGCAGAAGTCAGGCCTTAACCTCTGCCAGCCGCCTGCCAAAGTATGAATTGTTTGCACGTGTATGTTCTACTCCATTATTTGTCCTAATCTAGCTTTTGTTTGCGACTTGTTTCTTTTGTTGTTGTCGGGAACTAAAGCTAAAACTGCCGACAAAAACGACGGAGCATAAGAAATCCAGCGACGGCACACGAATCCATCTATTTATGTCCTCGCTCGCATTGTGGTTAGCTTGTGGCTTGTGGCTGTCTAAGCGGTACTTTTTTGACAGGTAATGCATCAATCCAAGCCATTTTATTAGACAGGCTGCGGCGGCTACATCTACATGGCTCCGGCGGAAAGGAACCAAACAAGCGAGTTCGATGCTTGGGCGCTGCATGATACCCAGCAGCGAGGTTGCTTGCATTGGTTTTTTAGTAGCATCGCAATTGATGGAGCAAAGTGATATAAGTAGTGTGAGCAATACCAGCACCACCAGCAGCACCACCAGCAGCGGCGGACGGCTTTACGGGCGGTGATCTGCCGAAGCTAGCTAATTCGCTGATAGATGACTGTACGAGCAAGTGAATCTATCGCAATGGGCGTAATGTATATAGCGAGAGTCTGTAACCACCCACCGCAGCAGCTGCTGTTGGTCCCGGGAACAACCAGGCGATGGCGTAACTGAAGGATGTAAGGGTTTTAGGGTTTTAGGGTTTTAGGGACCGTCGGGGTGGACAGGAGAGAGGATGACCCGCTGCACACTATCACACAGATTTTTCATCATGCAGAATTGAATTTCCACACTTTTTAAGTAAGCCACGGTCACTTGCGCCCACTTCGACGGATAGCCCCCGTTATGCTGCCGGTCAGTACGGCCGGTACGACACGTAACTAACCACATTAACCGCAGGACAAGAAAAAGCTACGTACGTACGGTTATTGGAGCCCCGCTGCTATCGGGCTCGAGCACGGCGTATTGCTTGTATCGTTTTATGTTTATTGATGAGCGGCAGGAGGGTTGTGAGAGGAAGAAGGGAGATTGCGAGAGGCAATCGAGTGTTTGGTTTGCGCGGACTCCATCTCTCCAAGCAAGCAAGCGGCTTGAAGCCCGCAGCCAGCAGGCTCTTGCTGAAGCCGGATGAGCGCACTCCCTGCAGCGCGCTAGGGGAAGTGGTTTCCCATAATTATCACGGCGGTGGGACTGTCCCCTCAGGGACAGAAAACGTATCTATGGCACTATCGATTGAGTTCATTTTGCTTGGCAGAGCCGATCGAGTAGCAACTGCTGCTGCTGCAGCAGCTGGGACGTATTATGAATAGTCCAATAGCCATATGCATTCCCATGAAATGCATAGTGAGAGATGGATTAAAATCAAGAGTGTGCATGGGACGTATGCAGAAGCAAGACAATGGAGGGAAAGCAAGGTGCAACCTCTTTTGCGGTTTTTTAGGGTCGCAACGCGGCCGATGTCCTTGGAAGCCGAATGAGCGGGTGATTCGTGATGGCGGCATGAAGGACACGCTGCTGGTGCGGGAATCCCGCTGGTGCCGGTGCCTGTGTGTGTATGTGTGTGTATGTGTGTATGTATGTGTGTGTATGTGTGTATGTATGTGTGTGTATGTGTGTATGTGTGTGTATGTGTGTGTGTGTGTTTTAATATCTGAGCGGCGAGAAAAAAGGCCGAAGTGGGTACCGATGTGGGCTCCGTAGTCCAGCGACGTGTCAGCCTTTTTCAGAAGAAATGTAGACATAACTTGGATGTTCCAAGAAGATGTTGAACAGAACTGTGAATGATATCATGAGACCGCAACAAAGCGCGGCGCTCTATTGGAGTGTGTGTGTGTGGGTGGTGGTGTGTGTGTGTGTGCGTGTGTGTGTGTGTGTGTGTGTGTGTGTGTATGTGTGTGTGTGTCTCTGTGTGTATGTGTGTGTGCCTGGTGCATGGGTATGTAAACCATTACATTTATCAGGCGGAGATGATGCCTTGTTGTGTACATTACCCGACACCAAACATAGCAAATCTGATATCATTCACCCTGGAAGGTTATAGGATCCGACAATGGGCGGGCTAAGCTCCCGTCGACCGGAAGAGGGAGGATATACAACTCCCGTGCCAATGGGCGCTGAAGGAACCTGGTATGTACAGGATTCTGACCAGCGAGCTGATCGGGGTCGGAATTGATGAAGCCGTTGATCGCATCCGATAATACCCACTGGATGCCGGTGGTGGGTGCTGAACTCAACAAAGATATCTTTAATTCCTTGTAAACCGGCATGGCCAGGGAGGATGAAGGAGAGGATGAAGGAGAGGATGAAGGAGAGGATGAAGGAGAGGATGAAGGAGCCCCGAAACAATGGGGATGGTCTGGACTGCATGCTCTGACTGCTGCTGAGCGAAACACGAGCCCGAGCGATGGTGAATGGCTACAAATCGAAGCTGGTGAACATGGAGGCAGGGGTACGGCAAGGGTGCCCCCTCGCGCCCTTGCTCTACCTCTTCGTTGCCCAGGCCCTACAATGCTGGCTCCGGAGCCAAGACGTGGGGATCAAATTACAGCCGGCCGACTCACAACCAGTCACCGCGTGTCAATATGCGGATGACACGGAAGTGGCGCTGCAGGGTGAAGACTCAGTCCCTTCGTTCCTCCAGGCCATGGACACCTTTGCCCGGGCATCTGGCCAACGCCTAAATCTCGACAAAGTGGAGCTGCTGTGGATTGGCCAATTAAACCAACAGCAGGCGCAACCTGCAACCCAGGCCGGACCCCAATCAGCTGCCCCTCAGCAGGAGTCAATAGGAGGTCTCAAGGTGGTGACCACCACCCTGAACCTGCCGATTGACAACCAGCCATCCCCGCCACAGCCCGACTGGATGAAGAGACCCGGGGAAGCCAAGCGGCGACTGCAGCGGCTCTCCCGCTTCCCGCTATCAGCATTCGGTCGAGCCACAGCGGCATCAGTGTACGGAATGCAGACAGTCACCTGGCACATGGAGCATGGTGGGCCGCCCCCCAACCGTACGCTGGACGAAATAGAACGCCTAACGGCCCGCCTAGTCGACCGGCAGCAGGGCCCAGAAGACCCCGGCCGCCGCTTGACAGGGGTGCCTAAGGATCTCTTGACCGGCCACCCGTCGGCTGGAGGCTTTGGCCTGCTGCCCCTCCAGCAACACATCCAGGCTCGGCATGCGGTATGGGCTGTGCGCTTCATCATAGCGGCCCTCGGGCTATCTAACGCGTCATGTGGGCCAGGGACAGGTGGAGCTGCAGGAACCACAGGTGGTACCGGGGGGCACGGGAGAGCAGATGGTGGTCTCCATCCCTGGGTCCGGACGCTCTCCGCCTATATGCTGCTCACCCACCCCGCCTTCCAACCGTGGGCCCTGACGACCGCCAGCCAAGCCGGGCCCCGACTCGGCGGCAGCGATCTACCCACGGATATCAGCCGGATTGTGGGCGCCCTGGGACACCTACCACCGCTCCGGGATATCGAGACCAACCCCCTGTCCCCCGGACCGTGGTGCTGGGCAACCGCGTTGTGGGGTAACCCGTTGCTCCCCAATACCAGCGAGGCAGACCCAGACAGCTTGAACCGCCGCCCGGGCCTGGAGGCGCACTTCGTGGGGATCGCTACATGCAGGAAACTGCAAACGGTTGGCGACCTAGTGCGGATCTGGGACCTAGTGGTGCATACTCGAGTGGCCTCCCTCCCCAGGTCGACCTGGCCCGCATGGGTCAGGACACACCTCGACCCGTCAACCCCAGCGCCCACGCGGGACAGGTCAGCGACCCTGGCAGCCCTTAAGACGCTACATGGCGCTATCAACCCGGCCTGGCTCGAAGCTGCAAGAGCAGTGGAAACCCAACAGCAACAGCAACCCCAGCCGCAGGCACAGCTGCAGCCACAGCCGCAGTCACAGCCACAGCCGCAGCCACAGCCGCAGATACAGCCACAACAGCTGCAAACACAACCACAGCTACAGACACAACATCAGCCGCAGCCGCAACAGCAGCAACAGCCGCAGCAGCAGCTACAGACGCAGCCGCATGAGCAGCAACCCCAACAGCAGCAGCCAGAGATGCCAACGCCGGGGGACATGACGGCTCCAAGCACCCCCAACAGCACTCAGGCAATGGCTATGATCCTAAAGCGGGTCGGATGGCAGATACCGGGCGGCACAACAAACGTCCCACTCACACGCCTGACGGTCCGCCTAGCGACACAACTGCAA